GATGCCAGCAAGGTGGAGGTAGGTTATGGTATGGTAAAGATGAGCTAGTTGGACCTTTTCAGGAAGATGGACTCAAAATTAACTTCCAAACCTACTGCCAGTTTTTAGAAGACACTTTCTTCAAGCAGTAGTACAGGAAATGTCTGCATCTTTCAAGAAGACCATGATATTTATGCAGGACAATATTCCATCATATGCATCAAAGTAATCCACTACGTGGCTAACCAGTAAAGATGAAAGAATAATGACATGGCTCCCTTCCTCACCTGGCCTAAACCCTATTAAGAACTTGTGGACCCTTCTTAAATAGAACATTACAATGAACAAAAACAATATATCTCTCTGAACAGTGTCTCGATGGCTGTGGTTGCTGCTGCACAAAAAGTTGATCGTCAACAGAAATTGACAAACTTCATGAATGGAAGGCTTATGACTGTTATTGAAAATAAGGATGACTATATTGGTCACTGATTTTTTTTTTTTAAATGTTTATTTGTAAATTTTGAATTGTTAGTTTATTATTCTCACTTTAACAGATGAAAATAAACAAGTGAGATAGGAAAATATTTGTTTTTCATTTAGTTGCATAATAATTCTGCACACTAATGGTTATCCCCTAAGAAAGCCAAAACCTCACTTTTACTGTCTTAAATATTCAGGTTTGAGGTTTATTAACAATTGGATTGATCGAGAGCAGTGTAGTTGTTCAATAATGAAATAATCCTCAAAAATAAAACTTGTTTAATAATTGGGCACACAGTGTACTAATCTGATCATTCACATCAGTCCCTGTCTATTAAAAAGATCCCACAATCATTTGTTCCTACCATAAACATCTGCATAAAAAAACTGGGAGGAAACCAGTTAACTATCCAGTATGTTTTTGTGTTTACATACAGTCCATGTGACGAATTAAGCACACCCTATTGAAATACCTGATTTTTTTCAACACAATTGAACAGGCAAACATTTGGATTTTCATTCAAATAGTATCTACAAGTAAACGTGAACTACTTGAACAAATAGCAAAACTGACATAAAGTATTTATCCTGACAAAAGTATTAGCTTTTTACAATCCCTGCTCAACAGGGCTGAGAGGTAGTAGCAGCACAAGGATCCAATCAGTTCATATGTTGGCAGTAAGCATGCTGATAGGAAGAGAAAGCAGAGTGATAGAGAGATTAACTCATCAGTGTGCTGCTTCTCTTTTTCTTTGTCCAGTCACAGGCTGAGGTTGGTCTTTGACAACCTGGACTCAGAGAAAGCGGGCTGAATGATGCTGCCCATCAGACTGAGGACATATAGGGCCAGAAAAAAAGTACTGTAGGAAATCTCCCAAATATTATTTTATATTTTAATGTACTGTTCATTTTTATCCTGTTATATTTAGCTGGAGTTCTGCTTTAAAGATGTTTTTTTTTTCTCCTGTCAGAAGCTGGAGACTGCAATAAATCTCTCCTCTATTTTGAACAAGTTCCCTGATGATGTTAATATTTACAATGTTTTACAGAATGGCATCCCACACCAAGAACTTCAAAAATACATATATACTTATACTTACAAAAGAAAATCTGTTTCTGTATCAAAAATTAGAAAGGCAGCATAAAAATATCCCAGCACAGTGAAAATGGTTTGACCCAAAGCATGTTCTTTTTTAGGGACATCATAACTAATCATGTAACACCACACTGACATTTCATCAAGCAATCAATGTACAGCCAGCTTCTAGACTTGATGGGGAACTGCACCTAATGTCAGTAAACGAAAAGGCATCACCATAAACCATCAATATAGCATTGCACAATATATCTTATTAATACAGGTGGCATCCTACTTTGTTTTCTTCTTGACCACCAATGCTTCTGCTTTGTGGACCTACCATTTGACTTGTCTTCTGCATCCCAAGCATTCTCCAATGTATGGGTTTGTGCTGGCTTTGCTATGTTCCAAGGGCTTCCCTGTTGTGTGGTATCTGGGTGACTTCCTGTTGAAGGAATATTTGTCACAGTTTGTGACTAGACACAGCTCAGGCCAAGATTCTCCTCCAAAAGGGAACTTAAATCTTGGCATTTCTAGACTTGAACTTTGCGTCCAAGAGTCACTTGTCTTTGGGATCTGTGTAAGAATTCTGGGTCTGATGTAAATTTCCCCCAAGGCAGTTCCACTAACTTTGTCCCTCTCCATCCTCTACAACTCAACTTTCTGTCATTGTGGGATAATTTAGTTTAGTCTATGACAGACCGACTCGACCAAGGTCCAAGATATCTTTGGCTTAGTGGCTCAAGAATCCAGTCTGTCCAAATACATCCTACTCTATCCACCTTTAGGATATCCCTGATCCTATTTGGAGAAGCCCATCCTGCCTCAGCCTAACAAAAAAACTTTTATTTTACCAGCTCATCCCACACAGTTATTAACTTTTGTATCACATGACCCTCCCTTTTTAGACTGTAAGCTCTAACATGCAGGACCCTCTGATTACACTTGTATTGAATTGTATTGTAACCGTACTGTCTGCCTTCATTTTGTAAAGTGTTGCACAAAATGTTGGAGTTATTTAAATCCTGTATAATAATAATACAATAAGTAAGTCAAGTAAATACTCAAGGAATCAACATTCTGGAACTTCAAGAATTTTAGTTGCCCCTACAATACTAGACTTCCTAGCTGGAGGGTCATCTGATTCGTATTCTATCAGAAAACAATACAGCAGTAGCCTTCAATGTCCTAGGGGTGGAAATGTGGAGCGCAGCCGTCTTTTGTCATCAGATCTTGCATTGGGGGAATGGGCCCCAGACCCAGTGATGTTACAGGTTTAACATTATACTGTACTCATTTTGTTCTCAGGTAAAGTGATCCTCTGACAGAGGTAGTGGTAGCTCTGGTAGCTTTGTGTCATCAGTACAGCCTGTTCTCTCTGACTCTGATGTACTGCTTTGCAACTAACTGAGTTGTAGCTAGCAGTTAGGAGGTTTGGCCACCACCAGTAGCCACACCTAGGCTGTGCTTTTGTTTTTGTGCCTAGTGTTCTACTTCTGAAAGTGATCTGAGATCTCCACTATGTCTTTCAATTAACAAAAGGTGCCCTTGGTGTGGGACCCTCTCTTTGTGACACAATTTTGATAACCCTACAGATGCTGATGGGTTGGTGACCACTGCATGAGGCAATCTTTTTGGGCTGTTTGGTGTGCACTCTGCATATCTGGTAGCTATTTTTTACAATGCCATAGGGCTTGGGAACTGATCTCATTTGTGCTGTTGCAATAGATGATAGATCTGCTCATCTTTGTGGTCCTTAGGCCTGATTTACTGAAGAAAATGTGCATGTATGACACAAAGAACAACCAAATGTACTCAATGGAGCAACCAAAGCATACACTGAGATGCAAATGTAATTTGTAATGTTCTCTGAGATGCAAATGTAATTTGTTGGCCAGCATGCTATAGTGTATAAATGTATGCCAGCTAAGTGGTGGTATACTTACAAAAAAATTAAATTGGGGGTGGTAGTTGACATTTGTTAGTTATTTTAAATGTGTATTGTGTACAGAAAAAAAACCTTATAATGTGCTATTACTAAAGGCCAGAGTCTCCGGGCCTTTGTATCAAAACTAATTTTCTCACCATACAAAAGGTCATTGTAAAAATTCACTGAACATAAATATGGCTATAGCGTGTGCTTTGCAATGGTATCACAGTATACGTGTGCATATGTGCAAACACACACTGTTCGTATACTACTGCTGTAGTGATACATGCTAATAAGGAAAATAAGATATATTGAAATAAGTTTCCTGTTGATTCCATTTTTTCAACTTGGGATGTTGGATTTTGAAACAGCATATGCTATATGGGATCTGAATTTGTGAGCATATGGAGTGTAAAAGAAAAAACTGTGATGTTCCCATGGAATAAATTATGGCATTGCTATAAATCGCATGCACTAGCCCTATGTAAATAGCACACACTCGATTATGTGAGCATATGAAACATGAAGGAGAGACAAATTGTAATGTCCCTATGGAATGAGCTACCATGACCCTGAGATGAATTGGAAATGATACATATACCACTCTAATTTATTATCTATGTCAGAGAACAAATATATAATAAACAAACACCAGTAGGACTAATAGCAAGAAAGATAGTTACAGAAGGAATCTATGAAGTAAGAGCAAAGGGAAATAGTCTTTTTAAATGTTTTTCTTTTATTCCCTATTTCGGACACTTTTAAATAAAATGAGCTTACAAACTTGGAGATGAGTGGACTCATTAGTGGACTCATTATCAAGGAAATGAGATATTCAATGTTGACTGCATTCCCAAAGCTGAGACAATCCACTGAGGCTTTAGTAGTAAAACTAGTAATTAATAAATATAATTTTAGCGTTACAAAAAAGTATTTTTCTTAAGCATTTTATTGTTAAATTTCATCCCTTTACAACTTACTTCCCATTTCACACAAATGAAAATTTTTATATTAAAAAAAAAACCATAAACATAGTTTTAAGATTTTTAGAATACTTCAGTTTCTGATATGTTTTAATATTACTACCTTCTTTGTTTTGTTTCCGAAATGCTATTTATAGATAGAATTATGGATATTATAGATAATTATAGATATAGTACATTGCAGATAAAACATTGGTCAACATTGGTGTAATGGGAGAATGTTACAGAAACATGTAGAACAAATGAATCTGTTCAGAAGATGGTCTTTAAGCATGACGTGTAGCAGAGATCGTAACTAACTTCACAGCATTCACTATGTATTAGTGAATGCTGTGAATAACAAAATCTACATTAGCTCTAAGCCTGGACAATAAGATACTAACCAAATTACTGTAGGTCTGACTAGGTGTTAGACTAGAATAAAAGCCAAGAAAAATTGTGAAGTAAAATTCTAAATTTTGTTTACATCTTGAAAGTTTCATATTCCTGCGAAATTATGTATTCACTTACAGTAAATCACTAATTTATATTATAACTTTTTCTTTAGGGACAACCTGGGTCTCTTGGCACACAAGGTCCCTCTGGGCCACCAGGTCTCATTGGAATAGCAGGCTTACCAGGACGTAAAGGAGACAAAGGTGAAAGAGGTCAACCAGGCATTTCTGGACCAACAGGAGATAAGGTAAGTTTGCAGATTTCTTTCTTTAGTATGAAAGCATGTTTTCATTGAAGGTTATATCTTTAACAATAGGTTCATGTTAATAAATATTCCCCTTTTTATGCAGGGCCAAAGCGGTGTCACAGGTTTTCCAGGAGCCAATGGTGTGCCTGTAAGTATAGCAATGCGACACGCCTGACAAAAGTGGATAAAAGCTAAAGAAATGTATCCTTTAGAGCTAGTTGGCATTTAGGTTATAACGCATCCTGTAAATAGTACATGGTGTATACATATTGTGGGGACATAAGAGTTCTAAATCTAAAAATACCACACTCCCAGTTTGGCTTTATCTAATCCAATTTCCAAGTAAATCTTTCCCAATTAGACAAGGCTCCCTAGAAGTAGCCTGTCAAAGTATGCAACTTTTGTCACATGTTCTTCAAGCTCTGCTCTATAAAATCTATCATCTCCTCATCTTAAAAATATATATTGATGTGTTTCTGTATTAGGAGGATAAACATATTGGGCTCATTAATACTTGGATGCTTCGCTATGCATTTTGCTACACTTTCCAGTGTAAACAAAGTGTATAAACAACCCATTGTTTTCAGTACACTTTATTAATACTAATGTTGCACTACCCCATTAGGGGTCACTAGAAGATTTGGGTCCCCAATAGTCCTGCACATCCAGACATCACACATCTTCACAGAAACTTGCATCCAGAGTCAGAAATCAGTTCTTGAGCTTAGGTCTTGTTATTTTATTTAGGGGATTTTGAACTGGGATAGCCTAGCCAGCGTCTTCTTAGTGTACCACCCCAGACCCCAGATGAATTTCTCCTCTTCACCCAGCACTCTGGAGGTGTCCCTTAATAAGGGATCCGGTTACTGTCAATTTAAAAGATGAAACAGTCACTGGTGAGTGGCTAATCTGGTTTCCCACCAGAGTGTTTCTTCCCCTATCTGCCCAGTGGGTGTTGATATACTCACTCAGATCCTCTCCTGCTTGTGAGTTGGTGGCTGCTACCATGCCTATCAGCTGGGCCATTCCTTCCCTGCCATACAGGTGGTCCTCACTCAGGGGGCCAGTGAGCTCTGAGTTTTTCTCCTGTCCAGCTCCAGACTTGCAGGTAGGCCCCATACCACTAGGCCTCCTCGCAGCCTCCTGCTCTCAGCCTCATATCTTCCTCTCTTCCACCCAAACTCTCCTTGCACTGAACAGGCTTACTCATATTTAAGAGCTATTCTGACCCCTTGCCAACCTTGAATATGCAGATCAGCCACTCCTTACATCCACCCACTGCTTCGAGAACTTTCTCCAAAGTTCCAAAGGAAGTCTCGGAGAGCTGAGTCTGCAGAGCCGTCCAGCTCCTGACCAAAATTTGACCCCTCTAACTATTACACCTGGGCTCCTATTCAGTCCCTGTCTAACCATTAGGATCTAGCTTCCCCTAGCTGACTAGGAGGGTGCTACATCACTGCAATAAGGGTTGATTAAGTATAGGCAAATAAACTGTTCATTTTACATGTGAAGTTGCACTCTGCAAGGATATTTTCCATGAAACTTAGTGAATGCGGTGAAACTTTACTTTGTAAAGAGTACCCAATCACTTGCAAAAAACAGCATTTTAGGTTGCACATGATTGAATAATGGAAGTAAGCAGTTCTTTGATTAATTTACTAAGCTCTGGAGAAAATTCCCTCGCAGAGTGCTCAGTCTGTTTACCTTTAGTAAATCAGCCCCATTGCGTTCACTAGAGCAGAGCATTGGAATAAAAGTCCTGTATTCTGTATTTTTGTATGCTAACCTACCAATGTGAGCACTTCTGCTTTCACATGGATTTTAGAGCCATCAGCAAATGCAGCAGATGTGTTAGCAGCAATATACTATTGCTAGGTAATATTATATAATAGTAAAAACTTTGAGACAAGCATCCTGTCCTCCCTGGCTGTAACTCAACCGATAAAAAAAAATAATTCAAGCTTAGGCGACAATAGTTAAATGGTCACAGAGACCTGCTCCTCTAATACCCCTCTTTAGGACAACCCTATGCTTCCTCTCCTAACTACTATTCCTGATCTAGTTGTTTGACAGAGAGTGGGCATTCAAACCCTTTCAGACAGGCGACCCATTCAAAGAGAAACTGTCAGACTGTACAAGGCACTTAAGCTACCCTTAACACCACATCCTCTTGTACTATTGCTGGGTATTTATTACAATCTATTAATTTAAACACATGTTAAATTGCTGCTTTTCATGCATCTTACTTTGCTAGAAGATAAATTCTTCTTAAAAGGAAACACTCCTCACAGCCATCCTATATTGACTGGTGGTTGGCCTTTAGATCTGCACTTCCTATGTACTATTTGACATACTGTATATGAGCAGAGGCTGTCCAGCCAAATATGACAAAATCTGGTCCGCATGGATAGATTTCGCTTAAACACCCTGGCACCTCCAGCCTCCACCATTTTCCTCTATTCTTACCTCTCTCTCCTACTTTCCCCCTCCTTCCCTCTCTCTTCTATCTCTTGTGGGTTTAAAAACACCTAGATTATTGATGATGCTTGCTCTTTTAATACAGGCATACAAATGTCATGGACTATGGTTTCTGTGAGGTCTATTCAAATATGGAACTACTTTACATATTACTTTCTGTACGTTTACTGATTTGTGGTACAGCTTTTGTCTCTTTATATTACATCGTAACTTTAAAACTTTTAATGAAGTTTTTACTGTTAAATAAACTTTGAGAAATTTAATAACACATTTTTATAATAATATTCAAAGGGCCATGTTGGGCAAGGTGGTTCAAGAGGAAAGCCAGGACATGATGGCTGCAATGGAACAAAAGGTGACCCTGGCGAGGCAGGCTTCCAAGGCCCAAGAGGACCTTTGGGGTCTTTGGTAAGTACTGTATATTCTCTGTATGGAGAAAACATTTCCAGACATATGGAGGATGTAACATGTTATAACATATGAAATATAACATAACATATAAAAAAATGAAACATTTACAGTATACAGTTGCAAGAAAAAGTATGTGAACCCCTTGGGATTACGTGGAGTTTTGCATGAATTGAGCATAAAATGTGCTCTGAACATCATCTAAGTCACAACAATAGAAGAACACAGTCTGCTGAACATAATACTACACAAACATTAGATGTTGCCATGGTTTAATTGCACATAACATGTAAACATTCACAGTGCAGGGAGGAAAAAGTATGTGAACCTTTGGACTTAATAACTGGTTGACCCTCATTTGGCAGCAATAACCTCAACCAAATGTTTCCTGTAGTTGCAGATCAGACCTGCACAATGATCTGGAGTAATTTTGGACCACTCCTGTTCACAAAACTGTTTCAGTGTAGCAATATTCTTGGGATGTCTGGTGTGAATCGCTCTCTTAAGGTCATGCCACAGCATTTCAATCGGGTTGAGGTCAGGACTCTGACTAGGCCACTCCAGAAGGCGTATTCTGTGCTGTTGCAGCCATTGTTTTGTTGAATTACTTGTATGCTTTGGGTCATTGTCCTGTTGCATCACCCATCCTCTGCGGAGCTTCAGTTGGCGGACAGATGGTCGTACGTTTTCCAGCAAAATGTCTTGATCAACTCTGGAATTCATTTTCCCATCAATGACAACAATCCGTCCAGGCCCTGAGGCAGCAAAGCAGCCCCAAACCATGATGATCCCTCCGCCATGTTTTACAGTGGGGATGAGGTTTTGATGTTGGTGTGCTGTGCCTTTTTTCTCCACACATAGTGTTGTGTGTTCTTCCCAAACAACTCAATCTTGGTTTCAACTGTCCACAGTATATTTTGTCAGTAGTGCTGTGGAACATCCAGGTGCTCTTTTGCAAACTTCAAACGTGCTGCAATATTCTTTTTGGACAGCAATGGCTTCTTCCGGGGTGTCCTCCCATGTACTCCATTCTTGTTTAATGTTTTCCTTATTGTAGATGTGTCAACAAAAATGTTAGCATGTGCCAGAGATTTCTGTAGGTCTTTAGCTGACACTCTGGGATTCTTCTTTACCTCATGCAGCATTCTGCGCTGTGCTCTTGCAGTCATTTTTACAGGACGACCATGCCTAGGGAGAGTAGCAACAGTGCTAAACTTTCTCCATTTGTAGACAGTCTGTCTTACCCTGGACATATGAACATCAAGGCTTTTGGAGATACTTTTGTAACCCTTTCCATCTACATGCAAGTCAACAATTCTTGATCGTAGGTCTTCTGAGAGCTCTTTTCTGCGAGGCATGGTTCACATCAGACAGTGCTTCTTGAAACCAGTAAACCCAAAACAGGTGTGTGTTTTTTAAGGGCAGGACAGTTGTCAGCAACACATCCAATGTCATCACACTGATTGGAGTCAAGGTTGGCTCACTCCTGGCTCCAATTAGCTTTGGGAGAAGTCATTAAGCTAGGGCCTCACATACTTTTTCCTCCCTGCACTGTGAATGTTTACATGTTATGTGCAATTAAACCATGGCAACATCTAATGTTTGTGTAGTATTATGTTCAGCAGACTGTGTTCTTCTATTGTTGTGACTTAGATGACGTTCAGAGCACATTTTATGCCCAATTCATGCTAAACTCCACGTAATCCCAAGGGGTTCACATACTTTTTCTTGCAACTGTAACTGCACTGTTTTGTCAGATTTGATAATGTAGGAATGATATTCAGTAACATTATCAGTTTTATTCTTTACCTCTTTTCCTGCCTTTTTAAATGTCCGTTGTGTCTAATGATAAATGTTCACTAATTTAGTGCTGCTATAAAGCAGCTGAAGATTATAGAACAAACTACCCGCCCCCCCCCCCCCCAAGAAAAATAAAAGGAAAATTTGTACACAGCAGCTGCTTAAACAAGATGTACAAATAATGGAAAGGGTGATATTCAACCGTTTAAGCTTGTTTCACTGCCTACCTTACAATATAACATTTCTTCACAAGTTGGAATTACATATTAAATCAACAGACTTTGTTGATCATGGCCTAGTTAGATCTTCTTTGATATTACAGTTAATTTATAGGCCAATTGCATTGCATGATGATGTTACTATACAGAGGCGGACTGACAACTCATGGGGCCCCTGTGTCCTTGCCCAAACTCAAAAAAGCCTATGAAAAAGGTACCAGGGGCATCTCATGGGGCCCCCTATTGCTATTTCAACCATTTTATTCATTGGTCATAAAGAATGGGTTGTGGTGGAGCTTACTTTTATTTTCTTTATTTCACAGGGTAACCCAGGTAACAAAGGTCAGAAAGGAGAACCCTTCTATATATCAGAAGACATGATAAAAAGAATAAGAGTAAGTAACATATTTATGACAAAACATCAAGCCTAGTCTACTTCCATATGTTTAATGTTCATGAGTTCTAATTCATTAGTTGCTGCGTAATTATGAAAAGCAGTTTGTGATTGATGCTATTAATAATTTAACATTAGAGTCACACTTTATTATGGCACTGACAGGATCCTGCACTTCAATGTAGGCCCCACATGGGCTACTGTTTGGGGTTACTTGGGTTGCACCTTATCTGCCCCAAACAAGAAACCCATACCACGATGCTTTGAGAGGACTTTCTTCTCTTTCAAACCCCCTCTGTTAAAGCAGCCCCAGTGATAAAGAGTGTTGGCTATTTAATTCACTATTAAAATTCAAAGCAAACTTGCCCATCTATCAAGTCTCCATGCTTTATTTTGCCAAGAAATCATTTTGAAAAACATTTCTGGCAGTGGTCATCTTGACTAAGGGCAGATGATTAATGTAGCATGTACTTCCTGGAATCCATCTGCCCTTAGCTCAAGCCCCTCCTGAAGACTCCTGGTATGTATGACATCATTTGCCTAGGCTTGGAAACCAGGAAGTAACTGAAGAAATGTAGGAAAAAAGTGTAGAATAAGTAAATATGATATACGTTCCTATCTATTTACTAATGCTTGCAGCATAAGGATTAAAAATAGTCAATATTGATTGAAAAAGTGAAGTATCTTAATGTTGGGAAGCCTTCAACCTCATGTTGAAACTTTATATAAAAATTAAAGGATAAGCTCACCTTCCATAACATGTTACATGTTACACCCATATTCAGGGTGTAACATGTAACATGTTATGATCAGACCGGCCCCTGCTCCCCCCCCCCTCCCATTCCCTTCTTTGACAGCTAGTGGGAGATCTTCTCCCTTGCTTACTGTCAAATGTAAAAGAAAGTGGCCGTGTGGGGCTCCACTCACATGGCCGCGTCACTCATTCACAGTCATCTGTGAATGAAAAACTACAAGTCCCGACAGCCTTAGCAGCTGTCAGCTTGCAGTCCTCAATGAGCTACCAATCCGCTGTGAAGTGCCGTGGTAGTTTCATTGATTCTTCCTGTCAGTATATCTACTTGCTCTTACATCCTGCATGAACAAGCAGGTATACGGACAGGTCTGCAGGAGACCTGCATGGCACCAGCGATCTGCTGATTGCTGGTGCAATGCTTTCCAGGCTCCTGCAGAAAAAAATAATGAATGCAATAATAATCGACCAGGGAGCTAATGAGCACTCTAAGTAGTTCATTAATGCTTCCTGTCACTCAGTAACTGCCTGCTTGTTTGAAGTATGGACAGACAGCTATACTAACAGTCTGCAGGAGCCTGAGATTGCACCCTTGATTTGCTGATCTGCTGATAGTGGGTGCAATGCTTTGCAAGCTCCTAGTAAAAAAAAAAAATAAATGCACATTTTTTTACCTGCAAAAAATGTGCATTTATTATTTTTTCTAAAAGGTGAACTTATCCTTTAATGGCAGAAAGAGTAAGAAGAAAGAGAAACAGAAACAAGAAGATAACTGGATGAGCATAAATAATAACCAAATAGCTAAACAATTAGATACAGTTTTAAAAAACACCCTTTTGTTGCTTTTTTTTTCTTCTACTTTTCAGTAGCACTAGTTTACTTTATCGTTGCAATAATGAAAGTCCAACTCTGCCTACATTTATGTATAGAACGCTACACTGTTATCAACTTATCAACACTACACTACACTGTTATCAACTATTATGAATTCCAGCTCTCTTAGACCTCCTTATCTTCTAACAATGGTTTAAAAAGTATTAGAAGTAGGAGTAGGAGATTTTTTTCATCAGAGAGAACACATGAAATACATGAACACATGAAAGTGAGTGTTCCCACAGAATTTTGCAGAAGTTATAAAATCAGTTTTGTAGAAATCACTCTGCTCATCTGTGTCTATACAGATATACACATAATAAAATGTATCCTTAGAGTACTGAACTATGTATGGATTTATAACCTTATCTGACTTTTTTTCATTTTAGGGTGAACCTGGTGAACCTGGATTAGCAGGATACCCAGTGAGTATTTGTACATCTTTTACTGCTAAAGAAAGAGAATACATTATGTTATGTCAATAAATTCCTTGTTCTTTCCACTTCTTCCTACTTTCAACAAATTAAAAAATCTTCTGTCCTAAACTCTAAATAGTGGGGATTTCACTTTCCTGTGCTTTTTACCTCCCCTCTGCTTAGTTTCTTCTGTCTGGGTGAGTACCCACAAAAAAACATGTGTTTTACTGGGAAAGCATCCCTGTTTTCATGGGTACTGTTTAGTCCATTGTTGTTGCAGTAGGGTTTTGAGTTCAGTTCTCACTATGGAAGCTATATTCTATCTTCTCGTGTTGTTTGGTTTGTCTGTTGGTGTGCTATTTTGCCCATAGATTGTCCATATGGGTGTAGTAGTAGTGTTAGGTCTGCACAGGAACTGATGTGAATAGCCTGCATGCTTTATATAGTGATGTAGAATCTTCTAGCCATGTACTTACCTTCCAACTTTTTGCGATGGGAACAAGGGACACCTATTAGGAAAAGTATGTGTAGGCATAGGACATGCCCCCTGTCACACCCCCTTAAAGGAGAATTATACAAAAAAAGATTAGTTAAACTCAGAAGTGCTATTTTTACCACTACAATTTTTTTATACTTTTGAAATTTAAAAATGCAGCAATTTAGAAATTGATTGAAAGGTTTGGCACTAGGAAAATCAGACCAAAATGAGGGACAAAAGAGAAGGAAAGATGGACTTTGTTCCAAATCAGTGACAGTCCCTCGAAATCAGAGATATTTGGGAGCTGTGACTGTATAAATGAATTACATAAATTAAATTGCACCACAAGTTCTGCTTTTACAGTACAAAAATTCAGCAAAAGAGGAGTAAAATATGCACACCTAAAGAGATAGGCTACACTGGGTCATTGGTTCAAATCCCAACCATGGCACCACCTGCCTGGAGTTTGCATGTTCCTGTGCCTGTGTGGGTTCCTCCCACACTCCAAAGACATGCTGGTAGGTTAATTGGCTCCTGTCTAAATTGGCCCTAGTATGTGTATATATGTGACTTAAGGACCTTAGAATGTACACTCCTTGAGGGTTAGGGACTGATGTGAATGTACAATATATATATGTAAAGCGCTGCGTAAATTGACGGTGCTATATAAGTGCCTGTAATTAATAAATCTAAAAAAAATTAGTTTCCTCCCATTCTCATACAGCCTATGTTTGTTTTTGGTACTTTGATAATAATGTGTTACTTTGGTGAGTATATGTACACATGTTCTCTTTGTACCAACACACTTGCTATTACTAAGCTTACTGATTTCTAAAATACAATGAAATTTCATGCCCATTTACAAAGTACACATAATGATTCAGTATGTCACTACAATCTACAGTCAAACATCTGAAATACAGTCACATTAGCATGCACAAGTATTAAAGACATTATCAGATTGTAGGTTGAGTTCTTCATACCCAGAGTATGTGTACAGACTGAAGATGGTGACCCTAGTGGAAATTAAACACCGGTTCTGTCTCTGCAAGATAACAATGCTGACTGCCAAGTCATACTGCAATATCTGTTTATGATTTTCTCATATGTGATAAAGTAGAACAACACTATCACAGCACTTATTAATATCCTTTCTACTTTTCTGCTGTTAAACACAAGGAGCAATTTTTTCTTAAGAATGTGCACACTTAATTATTCTATGTTTTGTTTACCATATAATTACTGTTTGATTTTTTTTTTTTTTTCATTTCCAGAGTCCCAATGGTCCACCGGGGAGAGTGGGATTCATTGGTCCAATGGGTGAACCAGGATTACCTGTAAGTACAATAAAGACAATAGTGTGTTTTCTACAAACAGACCAGAAAATGAATAGGCTAAACCTACAGGGGATGTGTATTGTTTTTTCTAGATTTTAAAGTAATTAGAAAAAATACATATCTATATACAGTATATGCTTTATATGAATGTTTTGTATTCTTTTATCCAGTTAAAAACTGGAGCATTAGGCAACTTTTCCCATTTTTCAGTTTATCTTTATCTGCTGTGTTGAAAAAAGACTGTTGCTTACAGAGTTCAATAACTCCAATTTATAGGCAACTCTGCACAAGTCCAAGGAGTGCTACTCTGTACGAAACGAGAATTTCTATCAGAAAGAGGCTAAAGGCAAACAGCTTCTGCTGTTCTCCCTTTGCAGAAAACTCATAATGCTGTGCGCGTCAGGGTGCTCCTTAATAAATAATAACATTTTAATTGAATATTTGATATCAATAGTAAGAATACAGATGTATAATATAGTTTTAAAAACATGTAAACTTTAAGTATAAAATTTATATCAAAACTATGATATTTTCCATTTAATTATGATATGACATTTAGGTATTATCATATTAACACAACAAAAAATGACAATGGAGCCAGTGGATGAGGAGTGACCAGAGTAAACATTGTGCTTATTAATCTGCTCCTGAAATTGAAAGCCTCCTGGTTTGTGAAATCAGGCCATATTATGAATGTTTTAAAAGAGTTTGCAGCCATCAGCAACAGCCCAGTCTTTTTCTGACCCCCTTGCTAGCTTTAAGACTTCAAGTCTTCTCTTTTCCTCTTAGTAGCCTGCAGACACATTTCTCTTTGCTTGTTGCATCAGTTGATCATGTCCTCCAATATCAATCCAGACCCAGCCAAGATGGCTGAATCCTGCACTGGAGAAGCTCCATAGACAAACACTGCAGGTGGGCTCCTTAAAGATGGCTACTGCACTTCTGCATTATTTAACAGTTTAACCCTGTTCACACTGCAGAAGAATCATAAAGCAGCAACAAAGGAAGAGGTTCCATAGCAGTTATCAGCTACAGTCCAAGTTACAGGTGCATTAACCAACATAAACCAACTGATTCGTCATTATAGGGCAAAACACTTGACAAACCCTTTCGGAATAAGCCTGGGAATTTTAGAACTGATGTTACAAGCAGTTCTGCAAAAGAATATGCTATTTTATTTCTATTTTAAAGCCAAACTTCATGTTTACTTAAAGAACTCACCCTCTGCCCCATTCCCCATCCAACTTCCTAAGGCCCCCTACAATAATTAATTTAAAAAAATAAAAGCATGCATACCTTTCCAGCAGTCTGCTGCCTAGCCGCAGGTCACAGGTCCTTACTTTCTGTTTTCTGGCAGCAGTACTGGTACGTCCTTCTCCTGCTCTGAGCAGTTTTCGTCTAATAATATTACATACAGTTGCATAGTAAGCTCAGGGCATGACGATGCCCCCAGGGGAAAAGGTCTACGATAGCCTGAGCTGAGAGGAGATAATTTGAATGACGATAAGCATACTTCAGCCCAGAAGATCGCAACCTATAGTTGCAAAAAGAAATTGAAAGGGGGGAAGCTCTGGATTGAAGGTGAGTATTGCTGCAAAAGTTTTTTTTTTTTTTTTTTTTTTTTATACTTTTACATTTAATGGGCTACTTTTTATATTTTCTGCAGCTTTAATTTGCAATGAATGCAATGAACCTGTTCCAAAATTATGCACACTAAAGTGTTTGCATATTCTGAACAAGCAGTAAAAGCACTTTTCAAAAAAGTCACCTCTGCGGTTGTAGGCATTGTGAAGAAATTACATTTCGAAATTCATACCAGAGACACAGAAATCTTAGCTTTTTCCTTTAAAGATAAAATCTTGGCATCCTGCCAGCCTTCTAATGTAAACAAACAGTAGATGCTTTTAAGGCATACATGGGTCAAAATTCGACCGATCTTTCGTTCGAAAATCGGACTTAAGAATAATCGGCCGATTTTCGCTCTGTTAGTGGGTCAATGTCACCGGCCGATTTTCATGGTTCCTCCCCTTTTTGGTGATCGGACATGTTGGAAAATTCGTGAAAAATTACCGATTTTCGACTCAATGATGGTCAAATCGCAGGATCATTTTTCCAAAAAGAATATGCGCATGAAGCCGGACCTGGAAGGAACAGAAGTTTCGCCTATTATATGGGGTGAACTTTATGACTTGGTCGGACGATTTTTGAAATCATTGATGGCACCATAGGATTACCCAGCGAACAACGTTTTCGATTTTCGAACAAAAAATCATTCGGAATTCCAACCATGTATGGCCTGCATAAGCTGTAAAAAAAAAACCCTCACTGAAACCCAATTTCAGAGTCTAATGTGATCTTTAAGAATCTTTAAAAATGAACTTCTTCAAAGGACAAGCAGCACGAGAGGTGAGTAAGTGCTCGTTCTGAAGCTTTACTGCTTAAGAATATGTGTAATATCCATAGTATGGGCACAGGTGCACTTTATGGTGCATGAAATCTTTTATGTATAAAGACAAAAGGACAACATTGACATGCAGAAACTGTGTAGCACAGTGATAGTTATGGGAACAAGCACCTGTTTAATAATAACCTTCTTGCCTTATGGAATTGTTTTTACAGGGGCCACCAGGACCACCTGGATCACCAGGACCACCAGTAAGTTTTAACAAGCCAAAATTATTTGTATCATATTTTAAACACTGCAGCATAAAACTCACCCAGCAATTTATTAGAAACACTATACTAATACAGAATAGGGCCCCTATTTGCTCTCAGATAAGCCTAGTTTTGCAGCATTGTTTCCAAATCACACAAAACTAATCTGTCAGCAGGGTCTGAGAACTAGGAAGACACTGGCTGCAAGGTTAATAAAGGGTCTCTCAGCACAGGTCATAATATGTGAGGACTGAATAAGGTGTAATGTGTTCATTAAATGGTTAACATAACTATTCTGTGGTGAGAGGTGATAACATTAGAGATGAGCATGACAGAAAATTTTTTTCATTTTGGATTCGTTCACTTAGTTAATAATTTCGTTTGGTCATATACATTATGTTAGAATGATTAATTTTTGGAGTTAATTTTGTATATTCTGATTAGTTTTGTATATTCATTATTTTCAAATCAATTCAAAATTCAGTTTGAGTCTACTATAATATTCTATTTTTTTTTCCATTCTCTTTTATTCTTTTATATTCTTTTCTTTAATTTCTGTTATATTCTATTCTATCCTATTCTTTTATAGTCTAATTTTTTATTTTATATTCCATAATTTTCTATTCTATTCCTTTCTATTCTATTCTACTCTGTTCTATTTTATTCTATTATTTTATTGTATATTCCATTCCATTCTGTTGTATTCTTTAAAGCAGCCTAAGTAGGAATCATCTTATTTCACTTTTATATCTTACTGTATTTATTCCAACGTTTCCATTAGGAATTAGAATTCATTTTCAAATACAAATTTGGATAACTCCTTTCATTATAATTTAGATTTTAGATTCACTGAAATTTGTTACTATTGTGATTCGGAAATTCAGATACATTCGAATCTCCGAATGATGAAAATTTCGTTAAATTTTTGATTCATATAGAATGGATCGCATATGTCTGGATCAGGGGCGGACTGACAACTCATGGGGCCCCCGGGCAATAGGGGATCATGGGGCCCCTGAGTGCTCACCCAAACTCAAACCACACCCAAAAAAGCCTATAAAAGGTACCAGGGGCATCTCATGGGGCCCCTTACTGACCCCGGGCCCTCGGGCAGTGCCTGAGTTTCTGAATGGTCAGTCCGCCCCTGGTCTGGAAAACATTCTTTGGGATTTCAATTCAGTTTTCATGCTGTTCTATGGTAGCATCCCTAGTTGGGTTTGTTACATGGTATGATACACCTCAGTACTAAAAATCCAGCTGTATGAATCTGTAAGATTAAAGTCCCTATTGCATGTGCAATGCTTGTTGACGGAAAACCTACACTGTATGTTTTCAGCATTTATTCTTGCAAGTTTCGTTCCCCTAACAGCATCCCTGTATTCAGAATAAAGTTTGCTTGTAGTTAATGTCACAAGTTAGCTGGCTGGCTGCAGGGAAGGATTGGGGGCTTTTTGAAAAGCTTCATACTCTATTATGATGGATCGCTAGCTCTCTGATTATTTTCTGTATACCTTCTAGTGCTGGATTGTACTTAGTTACAGGCTAATTCAGCTTTTTCTTTTCTTTTTTGCTTTTTTGAATTGCAGGAGACTTTCCCGTAGGCTTTAAAAAGTTAGAAATCACTGCTTTCTTGAGTAACATAAAATAAATGACAACTGTAGGTTATGAAACATTAAGATTACCAAGCTACATGTAAAGAGATGAGAAAAAAAGGTTTTTTTAGGTTTGAATAGGTAAGAATTCAAACCCCTGCCAAGTTTGTAATGCTTGAAGTGGTAGATAGAAGGCCTTGGATATATTAGTTTATACAAAGGGCGTTCAAGTCAAACCAGGACTTTTAATTTTGCAGGTATAAAAAGGGATGCTAGCATGGCAGTACTACATGCAGTAGTAAGTAACAAATGTGTCCTATTACTAATAGGCAGCACACATGTTGTGGGCCAATCAAGATGACAGACAGTGTTAGTGCGTGCATGGAACAGCGTGTGGTGATGAAGTTTCTTGTGAACGAAGGCATACAACCCGTGGATATCTACAGAAGACTTCAAGCACAGTACGATGATGAGACACTCAGCCACAATAAGATATTTAAATGGTGTAAACATTTAAAAGATGGTCAGTGATGATCCCGGCTGTGGTGGTTCCCAGCCCACAGCAGTCTTTCCTGTGAACATTCAGCATGTGGGATGTCTGATTCTGGATAATCGACGCATTGCGTGTCCTGAAATTGCGCAAGAGAGTGATCTTTCTGTGGGAATGGTGAACATAATAATGAAGAAGTGAAGCAGGCTATTCTAGAATGGTTCAGGCGTACTGGCAACTCTTTCTATGCTGAAGGTCTCTAGGCATTAGTTAAATCCTGGGAGAAGTTTATAAATGTAGGAGGGGAGTATGTTGAAAAATAAATGCAGTTTCCACTCCTTGAAATTTGTTATTTTATTATATAAACACAAAAGTCTCAGTTTGACTTGAATGCCCCTTGTATCAATTTATTTGGCCTTTGAAATGAATGAATGCTCAAGCACTAATTGTGCCTAGCATTTAAGTGCATTTACACACGTTTAGGCACCTCTTGTGTTTTTTTTTATTTTTTTTCAGCAAGACACTCCTCTCCTGAACACTCTAGTCCTGGGTTTTCTTTTCTGCCTCTAAACACCTGTAGATGCTTATGTGTGCATGGACACATAGCTAACAAAGAGGTTCATCAAGAGGTCCCTTAAAGAACTTGACACCTAGTGTGCATGAGGCCATACAATGAGCAGTATATACTGTAAATGTTTCATTTTTTTCACCAGTTGTAAGTATATTTAAAAATACATTTCAACCCAGTTTCCATGCTGTATTTTTCTAACTCTTTTTTTTTTTTAAGGGAAGCAAAGCAATTGCCTTTGTTGTACAGAAGGGACAACCGGTAAATAACTTATTCTTTATATAAAAAATGTCTATATATAGTTATTGTTATTTTATACAAATGGGAGAGGACTGTTTCTGTCTCTTTAACAAAATTGCATGTTATATTGATGAATATGACAGTTGACAACAATTCCAGAAGTCAACAGAAAGTAGATGTTTTGTTTTATCTACCAAGTTCTAATCACATTACCCATTCAGACTATGAATTGTGTTGACACGTGTTATAATGTAAAGCATTATTATACATTATGTTGCACTGCATTAAGGCGTGTTGAATGGGCTGTCAGAACACCTTAAAACATTGACCCTTGATTATAACTGAGTGCATCACAATGCACAGCATGTGCGTTGTGGTGCACTGCAGTGCCAATTTGCTGCCTGCTACTGTAGTAGAGTGCAGGGCTGCATTTTGAAATGAAATTGCATCACAACACACTGCAACATGGTTCCTGTGTTTTACTGTGTGTTAACTGTTAAAAAAGGCAAATAGACCATTAGGGGGAGATTTACTAAAACTGGTACACTCAGAATCTGGTGTAGCTGTGCATGGTAGCTAATCATCTTATTATTTCAGCTTGTTCAATTAAGCTGGAAGCTGATTGGTTTCTACGCAGTGCTGCACCAGATTTTGCACTCTCTAGTTTTAGTAAGTCAACCCCAGAGTATCTCAATGTCATGCAGAAAACTGGTACAGCGTTCCTTATTCTTTGTTCAATATCATTATTGTTACTTCTTATTACATATCATTTATTATTAAAACAGGGTAAATAGTATATGATGTTAAAGTTTATCTCTAGGTAACACCTTTTTTTTTAAAGCTTTGAACAGAATGAGGAAGGGTTAGCCCTCTGTCAAGTTCTTATGTGTCCCCATTGGGAAAATTATTTTTCTTGCAATTATTGTAACTTATTGTCATCGGGAAAGTAAAGGGAAATGCAAAATTTCAGAGTTGACCAACAAGAGGTAAGAAGAAATCTTCCAATTGGGGACACCTGTTTCTGGGGACAACTGTCTAGAAGGGGAATCCCCCTGACTTTTTGGGACCTTCTTTTAAGTTCTGTTTCTCTGGGACAGGAAGTGGAAGGAAAATTACCCAACAATACAGGAGACAGCAAAATAAATAAAAGAATAAAATGACAGGGGGTTTAATCCTTCCCTACTCTAGAAAAGAGCTATGCATACACTTCAAATATATTTTGTAAAATCACTTTGCTGTGCCTGACCAGATTACCTTGTTTGCCTCTAGAGGTCAATTAGTATTGATGAAAGGTATGATGTAATTTTCTTCTATCCTTGGGATCCTTACATTGATGCATGATTTAGATGTTTCCTATGATGCCTCCACTGGCTTTCAATCCCCCAGTCTCACTTGGAGGTTAATACAGAGGCATTAATCACATTTATATATATCATATAAAAATAATTACATAAATTAGTAGCCCTGTAGCTTTTGTGTGTACAACCGCCCTGTTGGATTTTCCCCACTCCATCAGTGTTGCAAGCTATAGCCTGTAAGGCTGGTCAGTGTATTCTGACAACAGGGAAGTTTCCCTGCTGTCATAATACAATGACGCAGTGGGGAGAATTCCCCCATCCACATCAAGAGTGTGGATGGGGGGATCAGATCGGGGTTTTTTTTTTGTTCAACCCACAACTCATCTCTGGGCTACTTAACACATCACTCTACTTTGATTGAGGAGTTTGAGGGGGTGGCAGTGCATGGTAGCCAATCACCTTCTAACCTCAGCTTGTTCAATTAAGCTTTGGTAATAAAACCTTGAAGCTGATCGGTTTCTGTGCACAGCGGCATTAGATTTTGCACTCTCCAGATTTAGTAAATAACTCCCTCTGTGTCAAGGTGATGTCAGTTTTGACAGAAACAACACACCTGTTTTGTATACTGTCAGAGAAAAATAATTGCACCTTTACAGGAACCACTAAAAATTGTAGATACTGAGGGAAGTTATTATGTTAGGGCTGCTGCCTAGTTGCCAGATCTGAGGTCTGGTCAACTATATATTCACAATCTGACAACTCACTCTGCCATTTACAGTGTAAGCTTGCCACTCAAATGCCCGGTAGACTGAAAAACCAATATGCTGTCTGTGTTGCAGAGAGTCTTGTGCAGCCCCTAAGCCATCTCTCCATTCAGCTCATTGTAGACACAGAATGTAAATAATGTGCTTTGGTGCAGCTCTCTCTTTCTCTACTCTACTAAACGCAAGCCCTCTAGTAACTTATTGTAAAGTTGGCCCTACATGTATGACCAGCTTTGTTATAAAGAGTATTCTGCTGTTCTAATTAATATTATTATATTAATATAATACAGGATTTATATAGCGCCAACAGTTTGCGCAGCGCTTTACAAAATGAAAGCAGACATTACAGTTAAAATGCAATTTGGTAAAAGAGGAATCAAAGGGCTCTGCTTGTTAGAGCTTACAATATAAGAGGGAGGATCAAGTGATACAAAAGGTAAAAGCTGTGGGGGATGAGCTGTTGGAGAAAGTAATAACAGTGTAATAGTTAGATGCAGGATAGGCTTCTTTGAAGAGAAGGATTTTCAGGGATCGTCTAAAGGTGGATAGGTTAGGAGATAGTTGGACAGATTAGGGTAGGAAGTTCCATAGAATGGGAGAAGCTTGGGAAAAGTCCTGGAGGCGAGCATGGGAGGAGATGACATGGGAAGTAGAGAGCAGGAGGCCTTTGGAGGACTGAAGAGGATGGTTTGGTTTATAGTTTGAGACACGGTTAGTAATGTATCTTTGGGCAGAGTTGTGGATGGCTTTGTAAGTGGTTGTTAGTACTTTGAATTTTATTTGTCGAACAAGTGGAAGTCAGTGGAGGGATTGGTGGGGATAGACACTGAATGGTTGGTAAGGTGGATGAGTCTGGCAGCATTCATGATGGACTGAAGGTGGGATAGCCTATGTAAAGGTAAGCCAATGAGGAGGGAGTTGCAGTAGTCGAGTAGTTGATTTTTCTTAGTAATCTTTTTTCACTAAATAGTGCATATATATCACAGTAGCAAAAGAAATACATGTATGAATCTGTGGATACTGGCACTGAGGGAAGTTTTCCCTCCCTCCTCAGTCTCTGCTTCATCACACTGACACTGACTGGGGCATGACTAAGGAGTTTTTAACTGGACATGCGGAGCTTGATGGGGACCCTCTGCTGTGCACTGTTGATCATAGGCAAGGCAGACCTGATGGGGAACTAACATCAAAGCTCCCATCAGGCTCCGTCCATGTGACAGGAAGATAGCAGTGGGCAGATTCTACAACTGCTGTTGGACTGAATACTGGCTATGGATCCACCCATTGCAATCCACTATCAATCACAGGCAAAGCAGACCTAATGGGGAACTAGCCTCTTACTCCCACCAGGCTCTGCATATGTTTGTTCAGTGTGACTTGCCTCATTGGTTGCTAAGATGGCATGTCCCTCATCCAACAACCAATGCTGCAAATGTAAAATATATTAATAAGGTAATGAATACACTACAAACCCCTCCCCCTGTACGCCTACTTTGTGTTGGTCTCAATCACCACAGGTTCGCTTATCATTAAACTGGCAGTAACTTGTTGCTTACATATTAACAAATTCTAAAGGTGGCAGTAGTAAAAACTACTTGAACCTGGCACATGTGTCGGTACATGTAACAAAACTGATGCAAAGCTTTCATGCATTAGAAGCAAGACATATTAAAGGGGACATACCATCAGAAAAATGACATTACAGCATTTTTTAATTTCCCTGTATGCATTTAAAGCCTTATTCCTATTATTTTTGTGTCATTACAGGGTGACCCAGGCAAGCCAGGGCTCCCAGGTATACCATGCCAAACACAGGTGAATAAATGATTTGTTATGATGAACATACAAATTATTCATTGTATTATGCATATGATACATTTTGTGCCAGTCTGTGTTGAGAACAAATAGAACTTGAATGAGTTTCATTAAAATGTACACACATAAGGTTTGATTTTCTAAAGGAGTACAGCATGTTCATCATTAACTAAATAAATTGAGGCTGTGCTAATTTCAATCATCTATTTTCTTGAACATAATTGGGTTTTCTTTGCAAAGTGTGATGGTCATGCTTGATTGTGTAAAGGTTGCTCTTTTGCTTTAAAGATCCTATGGAGCCATTTGTGTGCATTACCTGGAAAATCTACAACTTAAATTATTAGGGCACAATAAACTCAAGGAGAGAGCTTTTTGGGGCACAGGATACCCAAAATGCATCCAACAATGAGTCCAGGTGTCTCCACTAGCAACAAGCAATACGGGATAAGAGCCTTTTATCTGAGAATGGTAATCTGTATTCTTCAGACAGTTAAACACCTTCAGGCAGAACTAATACCTTTATAGCTGAGCCACCTCCTGAAATTTCCACTGGCAGCAGCTTGTACCCAGCTCTCCAGTACACTCTTTAACAGTGAAGCTCCTTCCACTGGTACTCCAACAAAGTTCCAGCTCCTCTCCTACCTTGTGTACCCTCCACCAGGGCTGGGCATCCACACTCTTTGCTTTACCCTTCCCGGACAGTGGGGCTGAAAGGCAAATACCTCCATTGTAGCCTCCTCTTTTGGCAACAGCCCAGGACACAAGAACAAAATACCCTTCTGAGAAGCTATCCCACGTATTTATATCCTTCCCCAGCATGTGTCAGTGGCAATAAACTTCATAGCGGTTGGCCAGGGAAACATAAATATTCCTAACTCAGCAATATTGTTTCTTATTACAATATCTGCTGAGAAACACTTCCCTGCAGCAGGCATGGGCAAACAATACCATGTGCTTAGGGAAAATCCAATGAATGCAGAACTATAACAATTCAAACCAAGGCTGACTACAGATTAGCTCCATTGAGCTAGTCACTCTACTGCTAAGTGCATGGTCCCTACAATTCAAATTAATAGATTAATTTTTTTGTATCCTGTGTTTTGAACACTTTTTCTCTTATCATGTTTTGTGGAGGCCTCAAAGAAAAGAATTAAAGATAGCATCAAAGTGCTCATAGCACTTTTATTAACTTTTCCATAGATTGAAGAGTTAAAAGTTGCTGAGGGCAGTCTTAAAAGAAATTGTAACTGAATTGTTAAAGGATGACAATGAAATTATGGATTTCACAGTTATACACAGGCAGAAAAGGTAGACCTTCCTTAATCCTTTGTGAGAAATGAATTGCTGTTTCCTTTCTAATAAAGATGGATTGAAAGAAAACATGAAGTATGCCCATTTCAACACATTGTAAATGCCCATCTACTACTAAGATTTCTTTGCATTTAAATGCTTGAGAAAAAATAATTTTAGTTATCATGGAGTAATTCATGGTGCAGCATGATGTTCATTTTAGGTCCACCAGTATAATGCAATACGTTTATAGACAGTCGACACTATGTAATGAATAAAATGCATGGCCCATTTATTTTGCATCCTCCCATCCCTATGTTAAAAAAAAGACTCAGTAAAAAGAAATATAGAAAATACAACACTCTTTGAAAAAATGTTAAAAAAATATTTACCTTATACCCCAACTTCTGGGCATTTTTAGGTGCCAATTACTGTATATCACTAGGCCTTACAGTTATTTTAAATGGAGGGTTGCAAGGTAACCCTCAAAGTCTGCCTTAACATGTGCCTGCAGTATCCTCCACTTAAATAATTGCTGAGAAGTATATATATATATCAGTTTTTCCTAGTGGACGTTTGTACCTAAATGCCATGAAATATAAACCTTTATTACATTCTAGGACAATTTTTAGTACAGGTCTGAAGCTAAACATATTTACTACAAAGATAGCCTACACAAATGAATGGTCAGATGCAAGGTACACTGTCCCAGGGTCTTAGTTGAATCAGTACTCTCTGACCTTGTGCCTATGAATGTCATTGTTCATGCTCACTTTCTCCTTCATTTATTTCCTGATTAAAAAATAAATAAGCAGGAATAAAAAGAAGACATGCAGATGGGGACATTTGTCCACTGACAAAGTGAAGATACCAGGAAAAAAAGAAATTAAAGTTGTATGTAACCTGTTTTCTTTCCCATCCTCCACAGGGTGAACCTGGAACAACAGGACCCACTGGTGCACCATGCCACTTAGAGTTCATTAGACCATCTGATATCTCCTTAATAGATTATTTGGTAAGAATCTTCTCTGATATGACCTTACCATGAACAAAATAACTTAATTATTCTGCTACTGTATTTCTGCAAGTTGTAAACACAATAGTTCCAATCAGGGGCGGACTGACAACTCATTGGGCCCCTGGGCAATAGGGGATCATGGGGCCCCTGGGTCCTTGCCCAAACTCAAAAAAGCCTATGAAAAAGGTAACAGGGGCATCTGATGCGGCCCCTTACTGACCCCGGGCACTCGGGCAGTGCCCTAGTTTCCAAATGGTTAGTCCGCCCCTGGTTCCTATTGTTAGTAGTGAATTTAGTATAAGCCTAGCTATACACTCATATATTTCTTTTGTTCAGTCCCCACCATCTCCTACCTCAGGCTGACCAAGATAAATACTTGAATTCCTCCATTCATGCTAAACAGCACGGTTAGAGGAATTCCCACTGCTGATTAATATATAGTTACATAGGTAATCTGGTAAAAAAAAGTCCAACTAGTTCAACCAATAGGAAAATAAATAAATGGAAGAAATAAATAGAAAACCTCTGCATACAGAACTCTATACCCACAGTTGATCTAGAGTAAGGCCATTTGTGTTCTGTGTTCTTCAAAGACAATAATCCCTCCCAGTCTAAGTCTTGAAGAGTATCCCTCAGCCTTGGAAAATTATATTACGCAGCCCCATGGGCGGACTGACAACTCATAGGGCCCCCGGGCAATAGGGGATCATGGGGCTCCTGTGTCCTCGTCCACACTCAAACCACACCCAAAAAAGCCTATGAAACGTACCAGGGGCATCTCATGGGGCCCCCAACTGACCCTGGACCCTCGGGCAGTGTCTAGTTTCCAAATGGTCAGTCCGCCCCTGGGCAGCCCCTACTCCAGCTGCTGCTGGATACTCAGTCAGTGCCTGCATCTAGTTGGATGCAGGTACTATTCTGAGGAAAAAAGCTTTCAACTGATTCCTTTGACATAAGTCGATCGAAAAATAGTTTTTTGTCAAGCAAAGGGGTTTCCACAGGGCTGCCCACTGCATGAATTTTGGCCAGTTGAGCAGAAATCAGCAACAATTTGAACCATGCATAGCCAGCTTTATTTTGAAGCTGGATATACAGAACTTTATTCATGGTTGGGATAACGGTTTCCAAAATGCAAATAACCATTGTATTGATCTATCTTATTTCTGACTGATGTCATGGTATAAGTGTTCTACAGATATATTCTGAATGGGTGCCATATATATTTATACCTTCATAGGGCTGTGTTTGCTTCAATCAACCAGTCGTGTACTTGAAAACGCTTGTTTGTTGCCCTTGAACATGGTTGTTTATTGAAAGCAATCACACATCCTTTACTGAGCTTAGTAAACATTCTGTTTGCTCAGTAAATAGTATCTGTCATTTAGTAAAATAGGCCCGAAGACTTTCATTGTGAAAAGGAGCAGTAAAGCAAAACCATCATGTAATGGTTTATGTAAACAATGCACAAATTTGGTAAATGGAAAATTTGGTAAATGATCACAAAACATGGATGCCACATGAACATTTAGTTTATAAATACTAACATTATCAACAATGTTTACATCAAGGTCTATTCAAACAAATCTGAAAAATCATTGAAAAGTCTTTTCATTCCTGTGAAGGTTAAACATCAAGTTTTAACTTGTGAAAGATGTAATTTATGGAAAATATTCTTATAAAAATATCTGTTTGTGCTGTTCAGGCTGAAAAAGGGGAAAAAGGAGAGAAGGGAGACTTTGGAGAACCAGTAAGTAATTGATTTTATGAAATACTTGAGTGGTATTATTTGGAAGGGGGTATTTGTTCTGGCTGTCTTGAGGTTCATTTACATACATATAAGTATATTGATGATAAAATATTAGAATGTCTCTGGAAGACTTAAAATGGCTGTAGACTGCAGTACTTCACTACTTCATGGAATTAATTTGTCAAATATTAGCATTTAGAATATACTTTTATATATAATAGAATGTCAGTGTTTCTTTCTCTATTAGTAATAAAGGGCAGTTATGTGTATTCTATATTCCTCAATATCCTAAAGATCGGCTGTGGCCAATACCTGCACACCCACTAGATCTACTGGCTCTCAGTAACAGCACATCCAGTAATCCTACTTCATCCAAACCCAGTACATACATTGCTGCCCAAGTACGAAGTAATGTGCATACCAGAGCGAGCTCATTACATTACATTACATGAGTTCTCTCACCAAGAATGGTTGCAGGATGGCACACAGATGCCACAGATGGTTGTGCAGGAAGTGTGCACAGTCACAATTACACAATGAATGAGAGTGGCATCCGGGCAGAGTTAAAGGCTGAGGGCCGGATATGCTGGGCATGCGCAAAAGTACAATGAGTGTGATGTTTACACCAAATTGTACAGATGCCCCTTACATGCATAGACAGTTTTTCGGTAAGGGTCAACTGTGTCTTTAAGACAGCTGTCATTTTTTTCATCATTATTTTCATCATCATTCTTGTTATTATCAGTGGAGTTACTGAAGAAAAAATGTAAAAAAAATTAAAATGTATTATATATATAGAAATTTGCTTTATGATAAACCATTTATGTTTTCTCTGCAAAAAAACTACATGTACTCTAATTTCCCTACCACAGTTAAACAAGCACTCATGTTTTTTAGGGATGATTAGCTAATACAATGTTTTGGGATGTGGAAGAAAGAACACAGACAGATCATATAATATCTATGCACATACTGTTGGCAGTGGAAATTGAACCCAAGATCCCAATGCTGCAAAACATGTGTGTTTATTTCTTAGTCACTATGTTGATCAATTTGTTGTATATCATCATCATTTAGCAACATCACATCCTCCCTGCCTGGTTGATTCTTGATTTGGATCTGATTCTGATAATGATGTACTGAATTAAAGTAGCCAATTCTACCCAAAATGGAGAATTCAAACAGTGTTTGTAAACAGTGCCCAAAAGTATCATTCAAATATACAATGCAACATTACTGTTACATAGTTTTTACTCTGTCACATTCATCTGCAGATCAAACTGTGACCTTTGATCTGCATATGATATCACTTAGCAACCAAATAAGTAAAGAAATGAGTTTATATTTTACCCCTTAATGACCCCCATAGTTAACAATAATCAGCCCTAAATAACTTCTCTGTTAATGTTCAAACTTTTTTTCTATATTGATTTGTTAAAAAAAATAAGTGCAGTTTTTAGGGTTTTTTTTCTACATCTTTTTGTCTACAGATCGCATAAAAAATAGAATAATTTTGCAAGACAATATCTTCAAAAGAAGCCTTGTTTGTCCTAAAAAAGGAGTATATGTACTATTTGGTTTCTTTAGTTAAAAAAAAAGGTTATTGGCATATAAACAGGCCCATAGCAGAAATATGTACATTTTTCTGGTAGATGAGCTATGAGAGCTTGCTGTTGAGGCTACCACAAAACACTTTGTAAACTGAAAAAAAATATTTATACCATTCGCTTTTGTAGGACCAATATCAACATTACTCCCAAAAAAAATTTAATGCAACTGTTTTTTAATTTTTCCTAATTCAACAGTATTTTTTCATATATATTTAAAGTTTTTATTGGGTTTTAAAGGCAAACTTTTTGTTTTGTTTTGGACAGAGTGCAGAGGGATTAGAACACCTTTTATTGCTGTCTGTATCTCTGTTATGGAGATTCACCCTCTCTATTTGACAAGTTTACCATTAACATTGAAAGTGAAAGTAAAGGAAAATCACAAATTGTGGGTTGTCCCTAGAAAAATAAAGGGGGGAAATCTTCCAATGGGGACATTAGTTCTAGTGACCTGGAGGTCCCCAAGAGATTCCCTAAATTTGCTGGGAATTCCTCTCACTTTCTGTTTTGGTTATGGGACAGAAAGTGAAGGGAAATCTCCCCAATGAGAAAAAGATAGCAAAAGGGGGTTATAATCCTCCCTTATGCTATCCAAAATGGAAAAAAAAGTTTTGCTCTACTTTAAATATTCCTGTAGAAGTCCATAGAGAATACTTTTACTATATTATGTTTTTACATGAACTAGAACCCCGCCAATGTAAAATGCACTGCAAATATAGAGTAAAACAGATATCCGATGCAAATGATGATGAATGTAGATTACAGACACAGTAGACGTCAAGAAGCTGGCACAGTCCTGTTAATAACATTGGTATTGCTAATCAGGGAAATAAGTATGACTTCTTTGTCCTAAAATGTGCTTTACTTTGTAGGGTAAAGATGTTTTATCAGGAGAGCGTGGAGAAGAAGGTATTATGGGCTTCCCTGGAGCAAGGGTAAATTACAGCAATATAAAAGACTGACCAATACATACAGTATACAAACAATAGAAGCATTTTACCTGTCTTACACTCTGTGTTTGTACAAGCAATTGACATGTGCCTTTTACTACTTGTTTTCAAGGGTATTTCCACTTTCGAAGTCGAATTTGAGAAAACCCCACATTATATTTGTTTTGTGTTCCCATTCACACAGTATACCTAAAAAAAAATCTTAAGGAGAAGGTGTCATGGCTGATTCTAAGAATTTCTGAACAGTCTTACATTGTCTTTTCAGTTCACAGAGTGAGCTATACCTTATTAACATACAATGCAGGAGGGTAGTTTCTAAATTTTTAACACTTTGGCAGCACAGAGTTCAAATCTAGCTTACAGCAGATCATGAAGAATTGTGAACGCAGTAAAGAGATGGTTAGTTACGTTTTACTCCACAGATCACTTCTAGACATTACAAAGCAGGGAGAGCATATATGGAATTTTTAAGCAAGTAAAAAGGTAACCAGAAATTTTTAAATATTTTTTAAGGTATGCTCTGGTAATCATAATATGCAACAAATATAAAATAGGTGTTATCCCGATTTGGCTGCAAAAGCAGAAATACACAAAGAAATTTGTAACCAATTCTCTGGAACTTTGCTTCATATTTTCTGGGAACACTAAAACATTTGGTACCAAGTGAGAGACCAAATATTTAAATTGCCAATGTTGTCTTGGGAAAACTTCTGACTGCCTATTTCCCAACCGTCTAAGACCTCTTCCCAGTAAAAAATTTTAAAAAAATGTTGGTGCACTGAAATGCAGAAATAATATGCACTCTAGCTCTCTAGAAGCAAACCCTCACCTCCTAACTATGGTTCTCTACATTTATTGAACACAAAAGTGTGGAAGACCTAATGGTCTCTTTAAAAAAAACCAAGAGGACAATTTCAGTTCTATTGTTTAAAAGTTGCCAGCTCTCAAGACTACCATCCACCTCTTTCCCAGGGATAACAATATAGGTTCAAAGTTGATCTCAACTATAACCTGAGGTCCATTATTTAAAGTTTTCTATATAAATACCTTTTTAAGTCTTGCATAGAGTGAGTATGGTTGGAACTCCTGTTGAGTTTAAATTGCTGTCTATGACTCCACTGGGGAGATTCACTTTGTTGACTCCTTTTAGCGAAACTTAAATTGATGGGAATAACAAAATTGTACAGGTTCATCTAATAAGGACACTTGTTCAGGAGACAACTCTCTAAGAAAAGAATCTCTCTTACTTTTGAGACATTTATGTTCACTTGTTCTTGCATCTCCAGGACAGGAAGTAAAAAGAAATTTCCCCAATGGGACACACTTGGCACAAAATAAACTGCCAGGGGTTTAACTTTCATTATTTTATCCAAAGCTAAAACGAAACGTTTTAAGCAAATGATCTTTAAATCATACTTAATTTATATCTTTATCCCTTCAGACTAGATATGTTATCTTCTCTTTTCATTTTTTTTCTGCAAATGTTGACATTAATTTAAAAATGTAAAACATTGAATACACTGGCATCCCCTTAAAAACTGTTACTTTAAGATTCCTGGTAAATGTAACCTAATAAATAAAAGCATAAATTTGGCATTTGTGTTGTGAAAGTATTAGATGGAACTTCACTCACCCCCACCATCTTAACAGTTATCAAGGCCTATCCTCAATTCACATAAAGAAGGGGCATCAGGGAATAGGTGCAGTAGGAACACATGCAGGAGAGACACCTCTAGTAATCAGTAAAGATCGCTTGTATGTAGTCCTATGAAGGTTTTGTCACAGGTTAGTCTGCCGCTGTAGTTTCAGGATACAAGGGTACACTGTTCAGGATACACTGTTAACACAGTAAAGTGTGTGCTCTGGTGACCTAAGTGACCAGGCAGCTTTGGGGAGCAAGGAGAAAGCAGCACGCTGGGATCAGTGGAGCACACCCAAAAGTGGAAGTTACAAAACAAAAATAGAATAAAAAATGTATTAGAAAATCACAGTAAGTGAACTAGGCTGTCAAGAAAGATGTGAAAAAAATGTGAAATATTGTTTATTTTGATGCCTGAGGTATACATTCAGATGCTTCTGTACCTCCACAAGCTGTATTTTATTTACTCAATGGAATTATGGATTTCATAATAATCTGATTTATTTCCAGGGACCTGCTGGGAATGATGGTGCACCTGGAGACAAAGGAGAAAATGTAAGTTAAACATGTTTTTTTAATCTCTATAGCTCTCCATTTAACAGTTTACAGCTCCATCACTGGTATAATGTCAGTGCCATTTTTTGTAGCATTGTATTGTGAGCCCAGGTTGACATGATGATGAACACCCTGGGGTGTGTCGGTGACGGCCTGAGCTCCTTGGGAAGTGGACCAATGCTGGAGGATAGAGGCAGATGGGGAGGGCATCACTGAAGTGTGAAGAATGAAGAGTGTATTCTACTTTCCAACCTTTTTTTTGTTTAAAAAAAACAGGGCATGGGAAAGAAAAAAAAAGCCAAGATGGGCTTTTAGATATGTAGCTAAAATAAATAAAGATAGATAGATAGATAGATAGATAGATAGATAGATAGATAGATAGAAGCTGGAAGGGAAGGCTATCAACTGATAATTATGAAAGCTTCACAGTTGCAACTACTGGAACCCCAAGTCAGAAATGCACCTGTCATCAGAGAATGTGGGTTATAAATACCCTTATGATAAGAACAGGGAGAAATACTATTGTGCTTAGTACCCCATTCAGACTAAGGTGTCTAGAAAGTATTGTTTTTTTCAGCTCAGTCTTGTTTTATATATATTTAATAGGGATTGCCTGGACTCAACGGTAATCATGGAACACCTGGCTTTAAAGGACTGAAGGTAAAAAAATTTATGTATATATTATTATCCAGCAATATTTCTGTCCAGTCTCACTGTATGTGAATTAAACCATGCCAATAGACTTCAGTGCTGGTGAAGTTCTCAGCTTATCTTGTATAGTGCTCAGCTGAGAACATACATTTTACTTAGGCTCCACATTAATGTCCATCAGACTTCATGCAAATGGGCGCATTTTCCCGTGCAGCATAAGCACAATGCATAATTTTAGTGCCCGAGATGTCCTGGTGTTGCATACAGCCGCCCATAGACATGAATAGGTGAAGGCAGCTGTAAGTGCCGCTACTAGCATAAGGTAGTGCATGTGCACAGGCATAACATCCTGAAGTGTGCATTCGGAACATTATGTCTGTGCATGTGTGCTACTTTGCATTAATAGCAGCACAAAGTTGTATACACCCATTCATATTTATGGGCAACTGTATGCATCTTCATTTGGGGAACCAGAAATATGCAGTGTATTTATGCTGCATAACGTGCCCATGTTCAAGAAGCCAAAGGCAGTATTTGTTATATCTGTGTATAAAAACTAGTGGTGCACCGAAATGAAATTTCTGGACCGAAACCAAAACTGAAAATTCAGAATGGATAGTTTTTTTAAAAATATATATTTTTTATATATGATTGTATTATATTTGACTTTTAATTAATATCATGAACTTAAATTAATATGAATTTAAAAAATACAATCCAGTAACATAAAATACATATTATTGAAAGCAAAACACAAAAATTGGCCAGAAAATGAAACTTAAATAGAGATGCTTTTGCATTAAAGTCAGTAGGGGCATTTTTGCCTTGAAGTCAATAGGGGCATTTTTGCAATGAAATCAATAGGGGCATTTTTGCAATGAAGTCAATGGGATGTGATTTTGCATTGAAGTCAATGGGATGCAATTTTGCGTTGAAGTCAATAGGGGGTGTTTTGCATTAAAGAGAATGGGACATGATTCTGTATTGAAGTCAATGGGACGCGATTTTGGATTGAAATCAATAGGACGCGATTTTGCATTTAGGTCAATTATCATTATCAGCACTTTTTTTTTCTATCAGCAAAATGCAGAAAACCCTATTTTGTTATTTATTAATAATTTTTGGCGGCCAATATATCGGTGCATCACTAATAAAAACACATCTTCGATTGTCACCAGCATCACAATGTAACCAGCACACACAATGAGATCTAATTATACACACCTATGTTAATCAGGTTTTATTGACTACAGATTGCTTCTTTGAATAGAAATAGTGATTGCAGAATTAATGATTGTAACCTATAACCTGCGTTCTAGGCAGAGCACATATGAACCAAACATTCTTTCAAAAAGGTAGTATTAGATAGGGGACTTCATTTGTATAAATGTGTACTCACTCCAGGGACTACTGTGTTTTATTGCAACCAATTAGGATCTTAAAGTCCAAATTTCAGCATTTTTAATTTTCACTACTTTGATTCATAGGATTTTTTGTGTCTTTGTTCCCAGTGTGTTGCCTAAATTGTAAAATACATTATTAGATTCTTCATACTAGGAGAACTGACTTTTAGAATCATAGTCAATGAGTACAGGCAGGTTATTATGAATGATTTAATTGGAATACCACATCAGCCCACGCAACTTCCACTGTGTCTCTGTGATTTATTATCAGGATGTACCACATCCCATGAAATCCTAATTCCATTTTAAAAGTTTATTGCTGCCTAGGGTAAAGAGACTTTTCAAAGGGAACTTTGCTTTGTGGGAATCCCCATCTGTTTTACAGACAAATCATAACTGACTAAACAAACAATTAGAACATTAGTCATGGGACTATCATCTGTTGCCTAAAGCTGCAGAGTTCCTGTTCTTTTCTTACAACTGACATTTCAGACAAAAATACAACTTGTACACTGCTCTAAAGAATCAGTAACTATTAACCCTTAGAACAAAGCATGCACTTAAAATGATTCACAGTCCATTATGTAAAAAAGATGTTAATTAGTGGTGTCAAGTATTTAAAGGCCATAAATATTTAATTTAAACTTTAGGTAAGTAAGTGTTTTATATCATTCATAGATAAATGTATGTAATCATTTCTACATTAGTGCAGAAACCAAAAAATGTAAAATGCAATTACATTTCTTATAAATCAGTTGCTCAAATCAATCACTTGCCATAACCGTCCTTCACTTAGACTGTTGAACCAGAGGTTAGCTGTCCATAAATTAGCTCTAGCAGCTTTCAAACTGCTTTCAGCTAGAAGAATAGCTAATATAAGGGTTGTCCCCCTGTCAAAAAGTATTTTGTTACTTGTTGAAAGTGAGAACTACTTTAAGTTTGTAGTGTATTTGTATTTGTATTTTACTGTCATGCATATTATAAAATCTTTTTTTCTGTGGCAAAATTGAATAGGGAGAACACGGTGAAAAAGGTGTTGCTGGACCACCAACCTATGTTACAAGTCTTACAGCTCAGAAAGGTAATTATTTTTAAAACATCAAGCATGCACAGTAATATTCCTTCATATCTACACCCATATAGGGCTGCTGCCTCATCTCTTTAAAAATTAACACATATAAATAACACAGTTTCTGTAGCTGATGAAGTTGGTGATTAAATTTCAACAAAATGACAATAAAATGTGCATTTCAGAGAAAAAACAAGGTAGCAGTAAAAAAGATAAGAGCGCACCCCTTAAATTAAAGCAAATATATATGAACACCTCTACCACTCCCAGTCTGCACTTACTCTTACACATCAGGTTCCAGAGATCCCAAGGTCCACAGGATGTTTCACATTATCTCCATGTATCATAAGATACTGTGAAAGTCCCATTTTGCTCAAACGTTGAACACCCAGTCCATATTGGATTTCAAGTCCAATAAACTGCTGCTTATATAATACACTCCTTCCAGGAGTCCCACAGTTATATAGAGTAAGATGTTACTTCCCTTATCTATACAGTTCCGATAGGAAAGGCCTGTTTCACATGGACTTCAGCTTGTACAAAAAGCAGTGTGAACAGCAATCTTTGATAAAGCATTTGCAGAGCTTTGAGCAAGCTTTGTTGAAGCTTTTCAACTGCATTCAACTCCAGTTTGTAAATGTTAAATACAAAGCCTAATGGATGTGTTGGCTGTCACTTTAAACAAGCTGCTAGCAGGCTTCAGAACTTCTTAAAGCTTGTTGAAAGCCTGCTGAAAACTGCTAGCAGCTTGCTTAAAGTTGCAGTCAGCACCCCCTTTTGGATCTGTGTTCAGCATTTACGGACTGGAGTTGAATGGTACTTTAAAAGCGTCAACAAAACTTGCTGTTCACACTGCTCTTATACATTTTGAAGCCCCTGTGAAACCATCCTTAGTAATGGGATCCAATCTGTAACTGTATTTTGTTGTCCACAGAGAATGTGTAATTCATATGTGTACAGTTTTAAGGGGGTAACCCTACCTATATATAGCAACATACTAACAAAGGATATGTTAAAAGTGAATTCTGGTGTATGTTATGCTGCTATTTCCAAACACCCACAAAACAATGGGGTTACATTACTTAATATATATGCTGTTAAAGCTGAAATTTAGTGTGCATATTTTGGCGATACAGCACCAAACACATTAATTATGTGTAATGGGGTGTATTACCATTACCTGCAGGTGGCTACTTCTGACAAATTCATCCCTGAAGTGTCTCCTTTACATCCCCCAGATACTGTCCTGAGTGGCTGTCTTCCAGATCTGCTGTGAATTTTAACAGCAGCAGTAGCAGCAGCAGCTACTACAGAGATATTTGCACAGCTCGCCCACCTCCTCCTGCTTTCTGCATCATTCATATTGCTCATATTACTACACTATTGCATTGCATTCTTGAATGACAGGATCTCACTTGCCTATTCACAGAGCTCATACCCACTTGCCCATTTGCAGAACAGAGCAATTGTGTGATGATTGTAAGATGGGTTTTTTAAAATGCAAATCTTATTAAAAAATTAAGAGAATGTTTTGTATGATTTACTGAAAGAATTGAGAATATTTACTCAACAACTATGTGAATATTCCAATCATATGAAAAACATATACACTTGATTTAATATGCAAAGTGAACAGAAATTTGCACAAGATTGGATAATTGATGCAAACATTTACACATTTTTTAGTGAATAATCTCAATATTTTTCAAGTAAATCAGCCTTATTAGTTCTAAACCAGGGACTAAAAAGTGACCTGACATTTAAACCCACCTAATTATAAAGATAGTTATGTAATAAACTTAATATGAAAACATTTACCCAATGTCAATATTAAAGATAAGATTTTGTAACTCACCCTAAAATGTGCTTAAAGGAAATGTATAATGGCTGATTTTTTATGGTCAGTACTAAGATAATAACATTTTATAAAAAGTGTCTATGTTACCTTGAAATTTAAAAATCCATATATGTTTGGTTAGTCATATACTTGTTGGTAAATGTAGCCTGTACGGTATTTACTTTGTAGGTTTCTGCTAAATACATGGTGAATCCTACCTGTTCCCTGTGGTTCCTGCTTAAAACTGACCACACCAAGCATGGAAGCAGATCCATACTGACATGGTCAGTTTGCATCCCTGAGATCCCTGCAAGGATATACAGAATGTCGTGCAGACATGCGCCTGTATCTCCTGTAGTCAGTTTTGTGCCATGCCCCCAGACCTACAATTAGGAGATACTAGATGTGCATTGCCCTGTATCTCCCATGACTTAGAGCTTTCACGCCCCCTCCAGCCCTACAATGTTGGTTCACAGAGGCTTCTAGCAGGAGCCTCTCTGTCCTAAGTACAATGCACATAGATGGGAAAGTATGTGTGTGTGACCCATCTGCATATATACATACCCTGCAATGGGCAGTCAGAAGACATCTAGCATACACAAATAGAAGTTTCCTGATCTGTCTGGAAGGATCCCCAGTTGAGCGTCTGTTCATGCTAGGCTGACTCTGGACCCATCCCGGCTTCATGGATGGGATGGTCACCTACTTGTTGTGTGGAGATACTCTGCCATATTGTGTTACCCTTTTCTTGGACTGAGGCCCACCTCCTCCACATTCCTAGCCTAAGACCCATTACCCAGAATGAACGAATGTCCAATCCAGTTGCATATTTAATGCTTAACTGCACACCTTCACTCCAGCACAACTTTTGTAATCACAGTCACATTATATTGCAGGTAACATTACATAATACAGCTCATTGAACAGAAGTCTACAGTGCAGAGCACTTTTTTTCCTTCTTATGACTTCCCATACAGTGGTCTCTCATGTGCAGAACACTCCAGTAGTTCACAGAAATGTTGCAGCACAGGCGGGGGGCAGTGGGATGAGGGGGGCCATGAGACACGAGGAGGGCAGTGGGACAGGAGGGGGGCAGTGGGACAGGTGGGAGGCAGTGGAACAGGAGGAGGGTAACAGGATAGGAAGGGGCAACGGGACAGGTGGGGGGCAGTGGGACAGGAGAGGGGCAACGGGACAGGAGATGAGAAGTGTGATGGGGTAATGGGACAAGAAGGGGCAAATGGACAGGAGGGGGGGGGAGGAGGACAGGAGAGGGGCAGAGGGCCAGGAGGGGGGCGGTGGGACAGGAGGGGAGAAACAAGGCAGGTGGGGGGACAGCGAGACGACAGGAGGGGGGGCAGTGGGAAAGGAAGGGGCAGCAGGTAAGGAGGGGGCAACGGGACAGGAGGTGAGCGGTGTGACAGGGCAATGTGATAGGGAGTAGCAGGATGGGGGCAGCGGGACAGGGGGAGGAGCAGCGAGACAGGTGGGAGGCAGGGGGACAGCAGGACATAAGGGGGACAGCATGATGGGGGGGAGCATGACAGGAGTCCTCCAAGCTCTTACCTGTCCAGCAGCGGCTCCTCCAGATGGTGTCAGGATCTGGTGCCAGGAGCAGTAGCTGAGCCTGTGTCCTATCTCCGGCAGCAGCTGCAACAAAGAATGAAGGGGCTATTTCACCCTGACCTCGTCCTCTTCTTCCTCCTCCTCCACAGGCCATCTGGTGGCACCCCCTGGCCTACCCACCACACTGCCCAGATCCTGACCAGAGCTTGCCTGACAGTGGGGCCCGGCTCCCGACTGCTCCTTGCTCACACTGGGGATCCACCCAACATTCTGCCCTCCTCTGCAGCTGGTCCCCCTACTTGTGTGCCGGCTGTTGCCCCCCCCCCCCCCCATGGTGACCCTGCTGCTCACACACCCACATGTGTCCCTTCTGTCTGGGGGCAGCACCGCCCCCCCCTGTAAAATGCCGCCAAGGCAAATGCCTTGTTTGTCTCATGGTAGATATGGTCCTTTGGGGAGGGCTAGGTTTAGATAAGCAGGGGATCTGTCCACCGGTCCCCTGATGTTTAGAGCAGACAGATGATCCAGTTTCTGCGGAGTGAACACATACAGAGCCCGCTCTTCTCTACAGGCAGCCCAGTGTAAATGGACTCTGCTCTCCATTTACAACTGAGTGCCTTCCAATCCAATCCATCTAGATGGAAGGGGATAGATCCCCTTCCATTTTTTTTTTAGCCAAACAGATTGGATTGGAGATAGACGGGTTTAAATGGACACAAGTCCGTTTACATCCACCAGTCCATAGGGGTAAAAGGACTGTTCGATCAGGTCTACCTGAAAAACTTACAGGTGCACCTGACACATAGGTGACATATAGGAAGTAGGAATCCCACGCTGCAGGTGGCTGATAGCTTTGAACACTGACTCCCAGCATCAGGCATGAATTCAGTGTGAGATGGAGAAGAGCAACTGCAAGACCTGACAAGATTAGTCTAGCTGTAAGCTGCCCAGACATTCAGCTGGGGTCAGTGCAGGATTCTGCAATGTGTGAGGTGAAGAGGGATTGCTAGGACTTGCACATACATTTGCCGGCTTCTAGGGAATTGGAGATGGGAGAGGACAGCATACTGACTGATGTGTCAGGAAAGGCAATGCACATAGATAGGGAATGTACTTCCCTTCTCTGTGTGATATTAGAAACTTTTTGCCTACTTTCTAATCAGATAGACCCCCCCTTTTAGAAAGAGAGAGGCAAGGAAGGGTATGTATGAGACTATGCTGTTGTTGCAACGTGTTCACGTAGTCTTAAAAGCATAATTTCACCCAAAATAGGAAGTTCCACGTTAAGGCTTCCCCACCTTCTCTGCCATATTTGGCACATCATTTTGGGTGGGGAGGGGAGCGTTTACCTAGTTTTTGACATGTACCTTCTCCCACTTCCACTCAGATCGCCTAGTCCGAGTGGAAATTCTCCTCCCCACCTCCCTCCCCACTGTCTTCTGGGACACATCACAGGTCCCAGAAGACTGCAGGACCATTCACAAAGTGCAGCATGGCTCGCGCATGCGTAGTGGGCAGCCAGGTGTGAAGCCGAAAGCAGCATAGCCGGCTGCCCACAGATAGAATGCCAGTGCCGGGAACCTTAAGGCTAGTGAAGAACTAGAACAGATGAGGATGGCACTGGAGCCCTGGACAAATACGTGTCCTTTTATCAACAGTCAGCAGCTACAGGATTTGCAGCTGCTCACCTTTACTTTTTTTCCAATGTGAACAGCTGCTTTAAGTCAGGCAAATATGAAAGGCTGCATATAAATAGTTTGCTGGGTGCATTCCTATTTTGAGTCACCATGTAGAGCTTTAAGCCCCTTTTCATGATCTTCAGGCTCCAGTTTTGCTGTAAAGCCTGGTGTTTACAGAACACTATTAAGCTGAAATTTGTACACACATGTGAATGAGTCAGAATGGCAACATGTGTCTTAACAGATGGCTCATTCTGTAGTTTCAATCAGCAAAGTAGGACAAAAGGCAGGCAACTGTGCTGTCTCATTAGCTAACCCATATGGCCAAAGGAATCCTTTGTCATATATTAAAATCTTTATTTGTGTAAGAGAGTGTACATAGTAAAAAAAAAAAGATATAAATCAATAAAAATCTATACACATGAAAAAGAACTGAAACATGTTTAAACAAAGTCTTGGTTTAAAGTAAGTATGCTAGTGCTCTAGTGATGAATTTAGGCAGGAAAGCTATGGATGAAAAACTAATCATAACTGATAACATTTCTAGCTGTAAAAATACATTTCTCCCAATTTGCTTACAGGAGAAACAGGAGATATAGGATTTCCTGGCAATGTTGGTCTTGATGGAGAAACTGGAGAGAAAGGAAGTCCTGGCCTTCCAGGTCTAATGGGATTACCCAGCCCTTTCACAGGTAATTTTGGTTGTGACATCATTGTATTGTGTTATTCATTCTTTTATTAAGTCACTGACTAAACATTCTTTTTTGTATAGGTCCTCCAGGATTTTCTGGATTAAAAGGTCAGCAAGGTCAAAAAGGTTATCAAGGAAACCCAGGATTACCTGCTTTTCAGACAGGAAGAGATGGAGAACCAGGAGATCCTGGTCTAAGAGGACCTCTTGGTTTCCCAGGGTATCCAGGTAAGGAGAGACAGAAACTTGCATCTGCAGACATTAGCTTCTCACTAAAAGTGAATTACTTTACATGTCGTGCCAGGAAAATCTTAAAGTGGTTCTAAAGGCAGAAGCTTTTTACTTCAATGCATAGAATGTGTGGTCAGCTCTCTGCCCCCCGTTCAACTCTCTCTGTTCTCTCTCTACCCACTGGACATGGAGGCAGCAGCAGGAGCCAGGAGCCATTGGCCTGCGAAGAGGGTGGGGGGCAAGACCGAGCTGCGGGGTGTGTTTCAATGGACACACAGAGCCCAGCTTGGAATTGAGCCCACATGCATAAGCTACTTGCTATGGGGGCACTTAGAAGGGGAGGGGAGCCAGAAGCGCCGGAGGGGGACCTCAGGAGAGAGGATCAGGGCTACTCTGTGCAAAACCATTGCACAGAGCAGGTAAGTGTAACATGTTTGTTATTTAAATTTTTTTGTTTTCTTTTGCAATCATTTAATCAATTTGTTTTCTTTTACAATCAATTAAAGGAAGTCTGTACTAAATATACAGTTATCATTGCTGACATATTCTGAAAATGCTCAGTATTCATGGTGATTACCTGACTTCAGTATGTCGGATGGCGGGCTGCCTCGCATTTGGCCATAGCAATCATCCAAGCCGATCCCCAACATAACAGTAACCTTCCAGGCAATAAAGCACTTTGCCTGATGGCTCTCCCTGATGTGTGGGTGGCAGGCAGAGACCGACCCTGATCCACCTTCCTCACTGTGTTCTTCATCCCCTTCACTCCAAGGGGGTTCCAGAAACTGGGCATCTTCTCCAGGCCTAACAGTCAAGGAACATCAGCAGAACTCATGCTCACATTCTTCAGAGCATCATGCTTACTAAATAATGGCACCATGAGGCAGGATATAGTTAATGATCTTTACTGAAGCCTCAATCAATCATGACTTCCATAGAACAACTCAGTGCAACCAGTCTCTTCAGTTCAGTTTAGTTCAGTTCAGTGCAAATGGGCTCTTGGTCCCAGGCCCTGCCAGTAGCCGCTCATGTCCCTGAAGTTAGATGGCCCTATGCTCCTCCTGACCCAGGAAGGGGGAAAGGAGGGCTACACCAGCTATATGGCTCCCTCTTCTCTCTTCTGGAACTAGGATGAGAAACCCCAGGGCAGGAGGGGGGAGAGCAGGAGAAATGCCAATGATGTTGCCTGTTCCTCTTCTTCTGCAGTCGCACCCACCTCCCTCCTAGGCCCTGCTTAGTTTCCCAGCTTTTTCCAAGGGGGGACCTCACTCTACCACTTGCCTGCATGTATTTTCAGAGGCACTGATCTGGAGTTAGTATGCACAGGAGTAAGGAGTTTTGACTTTACTCTGATTTGTTATTTGTTGGATTAGACCAGTGACTCATTTATAACATCAGAGGGTCTCTGATCTCTGCCAGGCAACTCTTCCAGAAGCAGATGTGCAGTGGCTGCCAGCATATTTATCTTTTACGACAACATAAATATTAATCTACTAATATAGTGGAGTCAGACCTATAACATCATTTTTTTTTATCAGCGGTTCATCTCCTCTCTTTCCTTTTCTTCTATCTTTGTCTATTTAAAGCACTATACACAGGATCAGAAAATCATATGAAAAATGTCGCTTTCAAAATGATCGTACGATAATCTAATTGTTAGTACACAGCAATCATCTGAAATTACTCGATGGACAATCACGAAAATTTTTTGTCGTACAATAACAGATCGTACGATTTTCATTTAACCAGTTTAGTTTTTGCCCAAAATACAATACAAATACATTACATTTAAGTATGCACCGAAATTTCGGTGGCCGAAACGTTTCAGCTGAAAACACCCCTTTCAGCCATTGGCTGAAAAAAAGCACCGATACAGGTGATAAAAAAACCCCACTCAGTAGTTCTCAGCCTTACCTGAGAAACCATCGAACAATCCCGACGCTGGGCATAGAGATTAGTGAAGGAAAGATAGCCTCCACTCATCTCTATGCCCTTGGAGGACCGGAGCAATGTCACTTCCGGTTCCAGCCATTTTGTTTTTTAAAGCACTATATCAATGCTTTTTTTTATATCCAATGCTTTACATTGCAAAGGACAGATGTGGAGTCTTATTGACCCCATACCATAAAAGAGGACCTGTCACTAATTATTTCTATCACAAGGGATGCATGCATATCTTGTGATAAGAATAAAAGTGATTAAAAACATTTTTAAAGGGACAGTGCAAAAAAAACCCCCATGAAATAAATTTTAAAAAAAGTTTAAAGTGCTCCCATCCCCTCATGCTGGCACGTAGTGGTGAACGCATACGTAGGCCATTTTCGGTTTCAGCACCAGAATTTTAATGTCGGTGCACCACTAATTACATTACTTCCTAATTTTTATTCTGAATTTCGTAACTTTAGTAATCTCTTCACTTTTGATATGAGACTAGCAAGTAAAAAATAAACAGACAATCATTTGTCCGATATTCTCAGCGTGTACACGGGGCTTTATCTCACTTATTAAATAAGTTGATTTGGCTCAAAGAAAAGAGGCAGTTTTACCTACACTTCCTTTAGCATTGGAAAAAACTAATTTTGGAATTGTATTCAAACTACAGCACATGGCTTCCATCACATGTTCATATTGCCTTTCTAGGTGGACGAATTGGAAGAAAAGGTGCTAAAGGATCCCCAGGAAATGATGGATCAGATGGATATCCTGGCTTTGCTGGTTCAAAAGGACTTAAAGGTGATTATATTTATATTAGTGGTATAAAATGTATGTCCAGTCAAAATATGTTTCCTTGATTTTGGATAGGGTAGGTAAGGGTTAGAACCCCTGTCAGATTGTTCCTGCTACCCAGAGGTCTGAGAGAATTACCCTGATTTTCTGCCCGGCTGACAATGTTTTATCAGACAGGAATTGATGGGAACGTTACAACAGCAACACAGACCAAAGAAAAAAATGTTTTTCTCTAGCTTAGAAGGGGAAGACTAAAACCCTTGTCAGATTTATATCTAGCTGTGTCCCTGATTTGTGCTAAAACCAAACAGGGTTTTAATCTTTCTCTACTCCATATAAAACTAAAAGAAACATGTTGGTTGGATATACACTTTAAATCATTTAAATGGGGCAATGAAATATTGATATGGTTACTGCAGTTAATGATTGTATTTGGCACATGGATAGGCATGTAAAGGCAAAACATTATATTTTAGTTTTTGCCAATTTTTAGGCCTCCTTCACACAGTTGTATGAAACTATACACCTGTGATTGCCTACACGGGAGTCCCATGCATCCACATGCGGGCAGTCCAATTCCTGTCAATTGGGATGCAGCAGCTTCAAGGACACAGCCGCTGCTCCCAATTTGATATCTATGCATGTGCGTGTGGGTGCATGTCCCCAAATGCAGACATTGTGAGTTCAGGGACATGCACCCACAATCACCTGTGCCTGCACAGATATCAAATTGGGAGTAGCACTTTTGTCCATGCAGCCACTCCGTACCAATTGATGTGAATAGTACTGCTTGTATGCAAATGCAAGGAACACCTGTACATTCCGTGGCCCTTCACATAGGCGTATGCCTTAGTATGCCCATGTGAATGTGGCCTTATTACTGTGGTTGTCCTCGCCGGAGAGATTTTCCTACTAAACACTGTCACTGAAACTGAGGAAACTGCTAAATTGAAAAGTCCTCATGGGAATAAGAGGTGAAGGAAAATCTTCCAATGGGGAAAAATATTCTGCTGACAACTGTTTAGGCCTCATGTACATAGAACGTGACAAAAAAGTCTCCTAAAAGCTGTTGTCTTTGTAGCAGCGTTTTTGCAGAAAAACCGCCTGATGCTTGTAAGTATCTAATGCTTTTACAATTGTTTAGGCACGTTTACAAGTGTCAAGTGCTTGGTTGTTAATTCATTTAATTGGCCAGAATGAAAATTTATTCTGGCCATTGAAATGAATTAATGCTCAAGCAATAAACGCGTCTAGCGTTTAGCCACGTTTAGGCGCATTAGGCCGTGTCAAGAGTTTTTGGAGCCACACTGCTCTTCCTGGATGCACTGGACCTGGGTTTTTTTTCCTGCTGGTAAATGCTACTGCTACTAAAAGCTTCTAAAAGTCTATGTGTGCATGGTCACATAGGATGACATGGAGGGCCGTTTGGAAGGAGTAAAAAAAAAAAATGCCTGAAGCTCTTCAAAGTGGCTGTAAAAACACCCTGTGTGTATGAGGCCTTAAAATGTGAATTTACATCACTACCCTCACTTTAGGCAGATTTCCTCCCACTTCTTGTTGCTTCCCTAGAACCATTTCAAAATAACAATGAAGATGCAGCAAAAAGGCACTTATTCTATATTATACAAAACAAAGGCAGTAAGAGGCACTTATACTAAGGTATAATGCAAATTAAAATGGTTGTAACCATGGGCTTTGATGCATTCATAAGCGTGTCATCTAAAAACATATATAATTGTATAGGTAAAAGAATAGATAGCTCTTCTATACAGCTTTTAGAGCCTAATTCGAAGGTTTTTGGACTTGTGTTGATGGTATTATTTTGACATTATGTGGATCACTGCGACCATTCAGAATTTACTGACAGGTGCATTTAACCTGCAGATTACCTTCTTTTCTTTTGAACTGTATTTGATCTGCTTAATGCAGATTTTGCATTCCCATAGACTTGTATGGAGGTGCAAAAGCAAACAAAAACCTTTCAACATAGGCTCTAAGTTTGATGCCAACCTGCCTAAGCACTGCACATGTCATATTTTAAGGATAAGTTCACCTTTCTAGAAAAATAAATCATTTCACATATTTTTACAGGAAACAAATTAGCAATTATTGTTTTTTTCTGTAGGCAGATGAAAAGCATTGCACCCCAGATCAGTAGATCACTGGTGCAATGTCAGACTTCTGCAGACAAGCCCTGCAGCTTTCAGCCTGTACCATGTGGGTTTCCAGCTACAAAGCTACACGGCTTGTGAATAAAGTAAAAGGGTGCTCATCAGTGCCCTTGCAGTTTATTCTGAACTTCAAGCCATCTGCCGCAGTGGTATTTGTAGTTCATTCGTTCACAGGAATCTGTGAATGAATGGGGCGGCTGTGTGGGCAAAGCCCCACATGGATGCACCCTTTTAAAAAAGTGACAGCCGGTGTGAGGAGACAAACCCCCAGCCCGCTGTCACACTGAGGGGGGATCGGGGGAAGAGGTGGCAGAAGCTAGAACATGTAACATGCTCCAAAGTGAATTTATCCCCTAAAGGTTAAAGTGTATATATAAATAAACTTTTTTATAACCTCAGGAGACTTTCCAAAATGCCCAGAATGCACTGAAAAACAGTAAAAAATTAACTATTTCAGACATTTTGAGAGAAATAGAGAGAGCAGAAGCAGAGAGAGCAGTATTTATTGAGATTAGCTGTCTTTTTTTTTGTGGTGTTGATGTGTTCCAGCTCATTTCTGTGCAGAAATTATTGCAGCAGTGTCTAACATATTTTCTTTCATGGGAAACCTCAAAGTATGGTGTACCAGGTCCATTTGAGTACCGGGAAAACATTTTGCATGCATTTTTAATGATGAAAAAAGGCTCTGGATGGCATCTGGAAATGGAAGAGTTAAAAAAAATGTTCAAACGCAAATCCTTATAAACGCAGTTAGCCGCATTTAGCCATGTTTAGCCACGTTTACACGCGTTTGGCATTTGAAACGCTGATAAAATCTACTCCTGAACGCAAGTTTTCTGCATTCAAAAAAAGACTGTAAACTCAACTGCCTGTAAACAACAATGTGTACATGGACATATAGGAAAACATTAGGGAGAGCTCAGGGACTGCTGAATAAAAACTCTGAACAGCTATTAAACGTGAGTTTATCAGCTGCAGTGTATATGAGCCCTAACAGAGGCTGACAACGTATAGCACATAAATGTCACATTAAAACTTCCTGTTACAAATAGATTTTATTGATGATAAATCCTGTATACATTACAGTGTGCCTTTAATACTTTTTTGCTGCTAATAGATTCATGATTTTGTATTGTAGATTGCTGTGTGCTCTTTGCCTTCACGCTTTACATATATTCCAGGTGAACAGGGAGAATGCAAATGCACGGCTGGTGATGAAACTACAATGGGACCTGCTGGGGATCCAGGCCCCGTAGGCTTTTCTGGCCTTCCTGGTGAAGTTGGTTCTAAAGGTGAAAAAGGAGACAGAGGAGGCCCTGGTATTCCGGGTACACCTGGTGTTAAGGTGAAACATTTCATTTGATGTTATATAATCTGTTTTCTAAATCAAGTTTATATCGTTAAAGAAATTGTTAGTCAAAAGTAGTCTTTCAAAGACATATGTGTATTTTCAAAAATATGTCAACAGAATTGCCATATCAAGGCATGTGCCCAAAATAATTATGGATCCAGTACATACTAGACTGTCTTTATTAAGCAACCCAGTTGTGAAATTTGTTACATGCATCAGTTATATCAATAACATATATCATAGTACTGCTAGCAAAGTGAAACAAATAAATGCTTGGTCTTAAAGTATGGCTGTCACAATGAACCTTACTATGACCTGGATCCCTCCAACAACATATGATATTAGGATCCTTGGTATCAGAAAACAAATGCTGTTATCATTATAAGCTTCAAGCTTGCTTTTACAGTCACTATATATACTCTCTCACATATGGGCCACATTTCCAACTACTGCCAAGTTGAGCCACCAGCAAAGTGTGAGTATGGTGGCCAAGGTACAAAAACACTTTGGCTGTCTTTTTCCTCATTTGGGAAATTTACCCACACTTCCTGTTTAACTAGGCAAGCACAGGGGTGTGAGGGAATATCTCCCCAGTGGGGATATCTTCCAAGTGGGGCCACAATTATATTTTTCACCCCTTCCTAGGTATACCTTAGCATCACCTACTCACGCTGTTGACACATTGTTTTTTTAAATCCCCTTATCAAATTAGTAGATGTCAGTAGGATGCATGTTTCCTGATCTTGATTCTTTTTGAGCAAATGTCTCTTACATTTTTTTTTTGGGGGGGGGGGATTTTGTTCTATACTAAAAAATAAAAGGTATATGGTCTAATAAAATAGCCCAGGAAATGTCAAAACCTTGGCAATGAAGCATTACAGTGTTGGCTGTAAAGAAGGAAATACTGTATATCCATCTACATGTCATGTCATTTAATGAAAAGTGGATCATTTGAACATATCTTTAAGAAACCATTTTGTAAGTAACTGATATTATCTGATCAAAGGGACTCCCAGGCTTTAATGGTCTTCCTGGTTCTGTGGGAGAGAAAGGAGACATAGTGGTCGCCACCGAAAAAGGTAATTCTTCCTTTCAAAATTCTCTGTACCTTAATAAACGAACCTTAATAGTTATTTTGACAATTTAATTTAAATGTCTCATTAATTCTTACTTAATCTCCTTTCATGTTGTGAATGCTACATCTCCGCTAGCCATCTAATTTTGCAAATTCCTGGATTCCCTGCATGATTTTCAGTTCTGTCACTGGCTGTGTCCACGGGACACAGCCGATGACATATCACTACACAGGCCCATTGCCAGTGTTGTGACCGCTGTGACCAATCACAGCAGATCACATGTCAATTGTATACAATGGATGGCTTCCTGCCATGCCATCCATTGTATACAATTGCGTTGTTAGCTGTGATTGGTCAAAGCAGTCACATGAGTCACATGATACAGACAGGGCCATTAACAGCCCATCTATATCATGTGATCAGCTCTGCCCAATCACAGCTAATCACAGCAAAAGACTGAATTAATCAGTTTCATTCATAATGTGTTAAAAAAAAGAAATCCTGATCAGAGTAGTTCAATGTTATTAAAGTAACATTGTATTGCTTTGGTCACAGTGTGTTGAAAAAAAAAAAAGAAAAAAAAAGAAAAAATAATGTAATAAAAAATTTTTAAAAAATAGAAACATTTGGAAAAAAAATACACTTATTATTATTTTTACTAAAGAAATGTAGCAGAATACATTTTGACCTAAATTTATGGAGAAGTGTTATTTATTTGCAAAATGTTATAACAGAAATGAAGGAAAGTGCTTTCTTTTTCAAAAGTTTTTTCTTTTATTTAGTAAAAAATAAAAAACTCAGTAGTAATTAAATACCACCAAAAGAAATCTCTATTTATGTGAAAAAAAAATTATAAAAATTTCATATGAGTACAGTGTTGCATGATCACGCAATTGTCATTCAAAGTGTGACAGCGCTGAAAGCTAAAAATTGGCCTGGGCAGGAAGGGGGTATAAGTGCCCGGTATGGAAGTGGTTAAAGAATGAAATTAGAAACCGCTGCACTTTTGACAGCTGCAGGTCAGTTCTTTTTCAGATCAGTGCTTGGAGCCAATCAGATTTGTTCACCCATCTCTTCAGCTGGTGAACAGTTAAACAAACACCAATGAATTAAAGCCCATTAGTATCCAAACTAAAAAAGATACAGGCTTGTAGCATTGTTTTACAAGCTTCATTTGTCCATTATCATTCCTTACAGTTCTGTTTTTACTCCCAGCACCACCCACAAATCTACTCGTCAGCAAGGCTTGTTGATTGGTGTGCTGTTGTGCTGCCATGTCTACCACTGTACAGATACAACTGTTCTGACACAGAGAGCTGCAATACTTCCATGCAGCCTGTTCTACAGATATGTACCTGGCGCTAGAAGAAGCAATGGGACTGGGCAGTGGAAGCTCGTAAAACAATGCTACGAATAAATGTTGTCACCATAGAATAGGATATATCTGTTGATATGCCTTTTGGAAGGGACAGACTGACCATTTGGAAACTCAGGCACTGCCCAAGGGCCGGGGGTCAGTAGGGGGCCCCATGAGATGCCCCTGGTACCTTTTTCATAGGCTTTTTTGAGTTTGGGCAAGGACACAAGAGCCCCAGGATCCTCTATTGCCCGGGGGGCCCCATGAGTTGTCAGTCTGCCCCTGCCTTTTGGTATGATTGGCTTTTACAATAAGACATATGTAGCACCCTCCTAGTTAGGTGCTAGCATTAGGTAAATTTAGTTCTGGGCTCACTGTAAGCAGTGTGGCTGTGTGTGATTGTTTAACTCTGTATTTCGCAGGGTGCAGGTTTGATTGCCTCTCTTGCATTCCAGAATTCTCTGGGTGGTTCTGGAACACAGATGTGGAGAAAGGCGAATGGGCAGCATGAATATTTATACTGTCTCAGACAATCCCTGTGGGAGGGTGCACAGATAGTTGTTGGTACGGTGTATAAAGAGTCTGATACTCGGAATTGTTTTGTCCCTGAGGAGGAGATCACAGCCTAGTGGAGTTGTCTTGCCACCTGGGCAAGCCTGCCATGTGTTGCTGTTTATTAACCCCTTGACAGCAACATAACACAAATATGTGCCCTCACAGAACTGGGCTTTTTTCCATGCGGCCGCATATTTGCTTACTTGTCTTTGTGCTGGCGTGCTCCCAGCACAAAGACCGCTGTATCACTGAGAGCACTGAATCCCGTTCTAACGATCGGGACCCGGGACTCCCGATTCTGGGTCACACAATTGCTGTGATAGTCTCTGTTCGGCTATCACAGTGATCAGTCACTGTACAGCCTGGCCCCCTTATTTTTTTCTCTCTCTGTGAATAAAGGAGAGAGATACATTGTATCTCTTTAACTCCTGGCATAGAGGGGAAAAAAATGTTTGTAGAAAAAAAAGAAAAATAAATAAATATGAAAAAATAAAAGAAAAAATAAAGAAAAAATACTAGATCAAGGTTTGATCTAGTTCAGTGCCAGGGTTAGGGTCAAGGTCAGGGTCAAAGGTTAAGGCCAAAAGGTCAGGATCAAAGGTCAGGATTTAAAAAAAAATTTGGTATCAGTGTCAATGTCAGTGTCAGTGTGTTTTAGGTAAAAAAAAAAGACAAAAATAAAATGCACACTATTGATTCTGGGCTATACTACGGGTACAAACAACAAATAACATACACATATATGGTATCACTGCGATTGTCAAGAGCTGGAGAATTTATTTTGGGTTGTTCTTTGGTGGTAGGTTATGGTAGTAACAGAAACACACAGCTAAATATATAAAAAATATTTTTTATTACTATTTTGGGCTAGTTTTCCTTTGATAATAAAAAAAAATCAGGAGATATCCATTACCATTTACCACCTAATAAAAGCCCAATTTGTCCTTTAAAATACAAGTTATAATTCACCTGGATGTACAAAGTAGTTGTGATGATATGTACGGTTTTACTAACACATGTCAACATTGCAAAATTGTGCTTAGGCATTTAGATTTGTTTTACCCTTAGGCATGAAGGGGTTAAGGTACCAGCTGGGCTTGGTGGGGGGCTGGTTGTTGCTAAAAGTTGCTGAATCTGACTGAGGGACCTGTCGTCTGGGGATCTAGTCTGGTGTCACAGGGAGAAGGTGTCCGGGGGGTATTGAAAGTACATAGCCAATCATTTGAGGACATTTGTGAGTGCACACTGGTGTGGGAGATCCTAAGGACTGTTACTGTTGCCACCCCTATGGTGCTAAAGAGTCAGCTGTGTTCAAAGGGGACATTGTGTCTGGTGTCCTGAAGAGCTCAGTCTATATCATTCCTTGTGAAAGGACGCTGCTATGATTTCTCAAGTTGCTACTACAAGGCTTAGTCCACCATTTGCTAGTGCAAGGACTTGGTTCATAGTTCTACAGAAGAAGAGTGTCCTAGTTTTGGAGTATCCCGCTCAGTTCCCTATCCCTATGCAAGTTACCCAAACATAAAAATATTGAAAAGGAAATACTTATGGACTGTTCACTGAGCCAAAAGAGTGACCAAGTGCCTGGCTGCGGGGCAGCTATTGAGAAAAGAACCCTGAGCATCTTTCCAGCGGCTTTTACGGGGGTAGAGCTACACATAAAAAGAAAGAGGATTAAAGTTTTTAACATTACAGGTACATGTGAAAACACATACAACATATAAATAAATAAATATGCAGAGCTAAAAGATATATATCATGAAATGAAACCAGTAATGATATGGAAGTAAGAACATTACAATTGGTGTAGCAATATTACGTCTATGAGTGACATGACTAGGGTCCCATAATAGTATTCATAAGTCCAAAAAATGGTGATGTCCATATAAACCGGTACTTAGTGCTTCATAACTTATAGTATAAGTGCCAGAATCTGGTAAAGTGATGCACTTACCAGAAGTACATATAATATGAGCATTATATGTAAATCCTTATGGTGGAGTCATCGGGATCTGGTCCGGTTAATTAAATGATTAATATTTGATTGCGCTCACATTTACCTCTTATACATACAACATATACACCTTCAGTGTAGATACACTTATATTGCAGTCAATTCAGCCCCAGGCCCTCCCTGACAATCTTATACTCACCTGTCCCCTATCCAGGTAGGAGATGAAGTGGGATCAGCATATAATCAGAATACTTGTAGTGTATTGCATCTCCTTCTCTTAGGCTGGGTTCACATCAGAATCTATCATGTTTGTTGCATTGTGCGGTTTTCATTATTTGAGCACTTTAAGTATACAGTACTTTTTCTGAATGCAAAGCACTGAAGTAAACAACTTATCTGGTGTGTGCAGGTCCTATTAAAACAACATATTTTATCTTTTCTGTGCACTTTCTTGCATGTGAAAATGAAGCAAAATGCATGGCACTGCATGCAGAGTGAACAAGCCTTTAGAGCTCAAGTCAGAGAATTACACTTCTATGTTATGCTGTGTTGAAAAGGACTAGGCAGGCTCTTATGAGTCCACTTAAACCCATATATTTACACTAACATAGAACAATGGGTAAAATCACAAGTTAATATTGTGTATTCCGCTTATCTCAACCTCTACAAAAGGAATGTATTGTCTTTTTTTTTTTCATTTAAAAAGAAAATTCATAACACCATTATAAACTACATTTCAAAAAGTAACCACTGACTATTGTATCTGCAGGTGTAAAAGGCGAGGAAGGAACCCCTGGCACCCCAGGTTCTGCAGGACTTGAAGGATTTTCAGGAAAGGATGGACTATTTGGTATTCCTGGCTCCCTGGGTCTTCCTGTAAGTAGACTTATATGATTAACTAGAAAAGCTACAATTTCTTGGGAAATCGTGTGAAGTGTTCTTGCCTCCACCAGTAGTCTACAACTGGAGTGGGCGGAGTTACTGGGTGGAGTGGCTTGTCACTCTGCTGCCTGCTCACACACCTGGGTTCCTATGGCAACTCACTCTACAGCAAGGGCAGAGAAGAGCGGTTAAAAACAAACTGCTCCAACTTGCTCACTTCACTGGCGGGTGCCATCTTCAAACGGTTGTAGTTTAAAAATGATAAATCCTACACCAAGACCTACATTTTGGTGCATAGTATGTCTCTGAAATATTAAAAATGAAGGCACAGTCACAGTTTAGATATTGCCCTTCAAATTTAAGGTGGCTAGTGTGGAGTTTCAATGAATGTCAATGGGCGGCATGAGTTGTAAACAAATGGTCATATTGTGAAAACTATCAGGACTATGGCTTAGCCGTGGACATTTTTAGTGGCAGCAGGAATAGCTGAACGTTTTGATATAAGATTTGTGTAGTGGGCTTGAAAATGAGGGAGTGATGGCAGTTTAGAAATCATGTCCTGATTTTTCAGCTCACACTCTAGCTTTTGTCAGCTCCCACTCTAGTTTTGAACATTCCGCCATTCATTCCTATGGGACCAATTTCACCACAAAAATGGCAATATTTAGTGAACCATTTGGTGAAACGTTCCACAAAGTAATAGCACACCAATCGGGAACAATCCGCACGTTTCGGTATATTACTGTCTATGTAGTGTAAAAACTGTGGGAGGAGTTAGGGTGGTAAATTTGGCTATAATAATAAGAATACATATGTGAGATAACAGTAAGTGGTCTTTGTCACGGATCGCAAGATCGCCGCCACCAACATGCGACAATCTCACGATCGCGACCACCAAATACGTCACGATCGCAGCGTCAGACCCCAGACCTTCTCACCAAACTCACGACCAAAGGACTGGCCAATCTAAAACCGCCATGTCACGTGCGTAACAATGCCACACCCAGCTGCACCCAGTACAACGATTTTCCAGCTAATGGACAAACGATCGATGTGCCGTCAGCCTGAGCGATTGTTACTGGGTCAGGTTAATTACGCAACTAACCCTTCTTCACACTGCCACCACCTCCTTTTTATCAGAGAAAGAGGAAACTCGGGTTCAGCTACAACACTATAATGATTGAAATAATTGTCTGTATAAAACGGTCCGCAAAGGTACAGAGGTTAAAACAAACAGTAGCGTCTCTTCAAAGGCAGGGATTCGTGAATTGCGATTAAGAGCTATAGGAACAGTTCAACACTTTCAGAAGAAAGATTTATTACTAAAAGGGTCAAACAGGTGCAATAAAAATATTTACAAAGAAGATGTAACTAAGATATATATACAAATATATAAAGAACCACAGCACAGCAAAGAGATAATAGGAAGGAAGTGAAAGGGTTAAGTTACTTGCCAGTATGCCTTGGCTTGTAAGCAGATCCAAGTTGCAGAGCGAAAGGGTCTCCCCAGGTGGTATTGATGTTAAAAATGGGAGATGTGTTTAACTTCTCCTACTTAGGCCTGCTAGTCTGTTTTTAAAATGTCCCAGCAGGGGGGTGGCTCTGAGTAACTGACCAATACTCTGTTTAGGGAGGGATCGTCGGGCAGAACCCTAAATTAGAACCAACATCTTTCGTAATTCATATTCTGGTCTATAACTTCTCAGCTGCACGAGCGATAGTCCCCTCGCGAGTATATTATTACACAGACAAATCTGAGGATTATTTAGATATGAATTATGAAATTATATGCTGCACGGTTCACGAGATCTATGTTTCTGCTTCCCTGAGCATGCGAGACAAGTTGAGTGACCTATTAAATGATTTGCCTGTTCATCGTCCATCCGATGATATGTCTTTTATGTATGTCTCTCATATTCCAAGATATGAAACATAGGGGAAAACTGGATTTTTTAAAAATGTTATCTGGTTTGTGCTTCTTGGGAATGCCTTGAACTCTTGGGAAGGCTCCTTTATCTTTTCCCGAAGTGTGAAATTACACAGGTTCTTTGAACAGTGAGGTGCCATGTGGCTACCTGCTGGGATCTGGCCTGTGACACTTTTAACACACACACATCTGTCACTTTGCCTCTCAGAAAGGGAGGGGGAAGGAGAATGAGGGATAAAGAGGAAGATGGAGATGCCCACAAAATGGTTGCACTACGTCCATCTCTGATGCGCAAGTTTGCAACAGTCTTGCCATGCAAGAACACTTACCAATGAAAAACAGTAATATGTGCATTAATGCAGACCTTTTACTGCACTGGCAACCTTCTAGAAAAGAGAAATAGGACTCTATTCAGAATGCTAGCACACCAAAATTAGGAGTCTTATTTTAAAAAAATAACAGGCAGGTAATGCCAGTGTTAGTGTCAGGCAGCCTCTTGAAACTTTCCAAGAAGTAAATCACAGAGCAGATTCATTTGAGATCATTTAAACTACATCTAAAGGCAAAACTTTCTTTTAATTTTGGACCGAGTGGCCCCCGTTAATTAAAATAGAATGGGACCCAATGCACCCAGTGAGTGGCCTCCATTAAGGAGATTTATTTGTCCTGTTTACTATTACTATTATCCAAAGTGGTTGTCCCCAGGTGAGTAATAAAGGGGAAATATTCCAATGAGGACAATAGTTCTGGTGACCTGGGGGTCCCCAAGGGATTCTGTTAATTTGCAGAGATTTCCTCTCACTTCCTGTGATGGCTATGGGACAAGACGTGAAGGAAAATCTCTCCAATGGGACAAAAATGGCAAAAAAAAAAAAACTGACAGGAGTTATAACCCTTCTCTCCTCTATCCAAAATGAAAAAATGCCTATAGTTATACTTTAAATACAGTCAGAATTTTTAAACCCTGACAAAGGGGGAACGTGTTTGGCCCCATTCTTCTGTTAATTGATTTTATTATCAAATTACTGTGGACTTTTGTTTGTCGATCTAATTGGATTGTATGTAGAAGAAGGCTGTGACAGTGGCTGTGAATCATAAGTCAATCACTGCTTACCTTACACAGCTGCAGCCAGTAGCAGTATGGAGAGCAGAAGACATAGACAGATGGGAAATGAATTCTCTAAGATGTACCTTGCAGCCTGGAGCACAGAAGGGCATGCTCCTGAAGGGTAGTGTACACAGTGGCAGTGAGAGCCAAAGTGGCTTCCATAATGAGAGTCTGATGATGATGGGTAGAAGTATCACTACAATGAATAATACGAATGTGAGGTCATTATTTTGCACATCAAAAGTTTCTGGGCATCGTGTTCGAGAGTGAATATGGATGAATTTGTGTAATCAAAAAACTCAAAAGAAAAAAAATATAATTCAAAGACAACAGTTGTAGACAAAACTGCAATTTATCTTATTTGAAACATACATTTACACAAAATAGTTGCTACATAAATTTTATTAATTCAGTAATAAATATATTTGGTTATCTGGTACTCTGAGCCCTGGTGCACACTGATGCTCTTCGATTTTACACAGCTGCATTTTCTGCTTTGGCTAATTTTGTAACATTAGAAATAGATGTATTTCTACGCACTGAAATTGCATTGCAGGTGAACACCTATGCCTTGCATTTTAACACCTATGCATTGCATTTGAACACCTATGTGTTTTCACTGCTGTTTCCATTTAAGTCTATGGAGCTCAAAAACTCACCTCATCGCACCAAACACACATAGGACCCCTTTGGAAATCACATTGTGTTTGGAACACATAGGTGTAAACAACCTCCATAGAAAGCCATGTCATCTCTCTTGACACGTGAATCTGTGTGTTCTGGAACTCATCAAAACCACATCTGATTTGCATTAGTGTGCACCAGGACTAAAAGATTCATTTTTATGGTGATTTTGCTGTGTAGAACCTATTTGAGCATGTAAATATACTTTAAAATGAACATGAGACCAAATCCTGAACAGAAAATGTGAATAACCTTGTGTATATTGGGGACAACATCTGGAAGGATGAACAATTTAATTTGTTTTTGTCCTGTATCTGAGCCACAGACATGACTGTTTTCAAAATGTGGGAAAAGAGAGAAGTTGCATTTTCTTTATTTCACACTATTTTCCAGCAGAAAAAAAATTAAAGTGTTATATTTGGTATGCTACAAAAAGAAAGACAAACCTGTCTTAAAATCAAATAATAGCAGTTAAGTCTACACACTGCAAAATGGCAATATATGCTATCACCATGGAGGTATGAAATAGCTATGTCAAGAAGGGGATAGTAATTGTATGTGTAGCAAGAATAATGTAGCATAAGTGATCTTTGTTACAGGGTGATGCTCCAAAAGGACTAATCGGCGACCCTGGATTTGCAGGCCTTCCAGGTCTTGAAGGAGCTCGAGGTGAGCCTGGGTTACCAGGTTCAGTATTTCCAGGGCCAAAGGGTGCACGTGGGGTTCCTGGACTGCCAGGAAGAAATGGATCACCGGGAGTTCCAGGACTTCCAGGTTTACAAGGTAAGAATTATATCTCCACAATCCTAGGATCATGTACTTTCTGAAGCTGAACTTGTATGTTACCTTTCTATTATGAATTGTTTGTGACCAATGCGCATAACTCGGTATATAAACTAAGGGAGGTTAACATAATACTGACAGCTTAGCAAAAAGAAATAGAGGACACCAATTGCACAGATCTCACTTTAGCTACACTTTTGACTAACTTGATCTGACTTACATTTTTTAAGTGTACTTTGATATGCATTAAAGTGATATTAATTTTTTTTTTTCGTTAAAATAAAAAAGATGTTTTACTTAACTACTCTGTGCAAAAATATTACACAGAGCTGGAGTCCCCCACTGGCGCTGTCCTCTCCTTCTTCCTCTAGGTGCCCCTTAGCAAACCGAGCGCTCCCAAGCTGGGCTCTATGCTTCCATAGACACACACAGCACAGCTCAGCCACTTCCTCCTCACAGGTTTGACTGACAGCAGCAGGGGCCCTTGCTTTTTTACCCTAATGCAGAGAAAGCATTAAGGTAAAAAAAAACCTTTTGAGTTTAGAACCACTTTAAGGTGTGTGAACTTCAACACTGCACAGTTTTGTGATCTGGTCTGTGTCACACCATCCGCTGGAAACAAGTGGTAGTGCAACTGGATACTAACATTTATAAGTAAAGTTGATACAAGGAAAATCCGATTGCCTCTCAGGGGATCAGGAAGGAATTTTGTTTCCCAGCAGGAGCAAATTGGATCATGCTTTGCTGGGGTTTTTTTTGCCTTCCTCTGGATCAACTGTGGGTATAGGATTATAACTTTTTTTTTTTTCTCTATGGTTGAACTGGATGGACTTTTGTCTTTTTTTCAGCCAGACTAACTATGTAACTATGTAACTATGCAGTAGTGCAAGTAAACCTTTTTGCTGAAAAATAATGGAAGCTGCTAGTTCTGACTTCTGAAAATCCCAGTTCCCTGGCTTTATTGCTGCTCCAATGGCCTTAATACTTTCTGAAGCTCTGACAAAAAAACAAAGGTGCAGATCAGGAGTTCTGACCATCTCTGACTTTCCTACAATACTTGCTTTTTTTCTAAGCCTCAGAAAGTATAGAGTCCAGAGAAATCCAAGCACATATCAGTTTTAGAAATAAAGCAGTTTACATATTGCTCTCAATACAGTTTTTAGTTTTGCATTAAAAAACTATTGGATGCCTATTGAAAAATAAACACAATCCTGAAATCTGTTTATGTAATTAAATAATAAAATAAATTATTCTATGGTAAAACAAGATATTGTTATAGTATTAGTATATAGCTTAGCAATTGGTAGAGTATCAAATCAGGATGTTTTTCACTATTGCTTCACAAGGATCTTTTCTTTTTTTTTTTTTCTATCACAGGCGACTGCTTTAAAGAACCCGGAGAAGACAATTTAGTAGGCCAAAGACGTAAGAAAACCATTTCACGCGTTGTAATATGAATAGCCAGTCATGAAATAGCTAATAATTCTTTTCAGTTATTTAACACTTTAAGCAAAGTATTTATTAAATAATAAAACATGTAGCAGTGTAGCATATCACATCAGTGTTCAGGTTTGATTTACTGATTTAATAAAAGATACAATATGCTTCAACTGCCAAAATAGCATAAGAACTGCAGCTCTATATTAGACAAACAGTTGGCATTTTATTGGGCTCAGTACAGCAGGGAAGTAAAAGAATAATGTTAAAGCTACACTGAAACCAAGCCTTATTGAAGAAAATATATAGTTTAGCAACCTCCTAGTTTAGAGTAGGCTGTTAGAAAATTTTAGTTTGGCTCCCTTGTAAACAGGGTCGCAGGGGGCTGATTGGTTGGGCTGCCCAGTGTTTCACAGGCTGCGGCTCTGTTACTTCCCCTGTCTTCCAGAGGATTCTAGAGGTATAGTGGGAGGAAGGACAGAACAAGCAGCCTGAATATTTAAAGGACTGTAGCCAGTCCCTGGGGAGGTGTGCCCAGAAGGTGGAGAAAGAGCTCATAAATAGTATGAGGACTGAGCAGCAGGGACAGTACAATACTAAATCAGACCTTGAGCTATGAGCAAGATCCACTTAGTTACTAAGACCCCCATGTCAAAATGTTAAAAATGTTGCTGGGGAAAAAAAAAATAGTATACTTACTTTACCACCTACTTCTATGCACCACATGTTCCTATAGTCTATACAGTCCTAGTATTGAATATATTAGATTTTCAAAGCTTTGATGACCACATTCTAGTGTGCATGTGCAGCGAATTTCACACACCAAAAGATGCAGAGGAACAAGCAAGTACAAAGAAGCTGAATAAGCACAAGATTAAACTTGCTGCAGAATCCTTCATTTATGATGGTGTTTAGAATAATACACTATTCACAGATATACAGTATATCTATTAGTCTGATGTCTGTGTATGGTCGTTTTTAAAGTATTATAATCCATCATTTTCCTATCCTATATTGTATGCTCATGTTTTAATTCACAAAGCTTATTATAAATCTAATAATGCTTTAATAGCCACAGGAACAGATGATAAGCCCTTATATAAGAAAGGAATGTATGGGCAGATATGTTCTATCTTAGTAAAACACAGTTCATTTTCATTTTATATGTTACTGAGCGTTTTGATTGCACAGTTATCAATATGCTGAAGCTTATTTTATAATTTTTCGACTGCACATATCACTATGAAATATTTTTACAACTATTTATCCAGGCCATGGGTGCACATTAACTCCACCAACAGCTCCATCAGGAACCTACGGACCTCGAGGATTACCAGGTTTTAACGGTAGGCATGTTTTACTGTATAACATAGAAAGAAGACTTTGGCCCATTCATTAATGGGGAAGTCTAGGAAAAAATATAAAACCAAACCCAACATTGCTAACAATAACATTATGGATAGATATGTGTTTCTCTCAATACATTTATTGCTACCTCACCACCAACAATGATACATTGTAACACAGTCAAATACCTTAATCTGCTGTGAGAAGTGGGAATATTATACACTCCTCAAAAAAATTAAAGGAATACTTTTTAATCAGAGTATAGCATCAAGTCAATTAAACTCCTGGGATATTGATCTGGTCAGTTAAGTAGCAGAGAGGGTTGTTAATCAGTTTCAGCTGCTTTGATGGTAATGAAATTAACAACCGGTGCACTAGATGAGCAACAATGAGATGACCCCCAAAACAGGAATGGTTTTAGTTGTGGAGGCCACTGACATTTTTTTCCCTACTCATCTTTTCTGAGTGTTTTTCACTAGTTTTGCATTTTGCTAGGGTCAGTGTCACTACTGGTAGCATGAGGCGATACCTGGACCCTACAGAGGTTGCACAGGCAGTGCAACTCCTCCAGGAGGGCACATTAATACATGCAATTACCAGAAAGTTTGCTGTGTCTACCACCACAGTCTCAAGAGCATGGAGGAGATTCCAGGAGACAGACAGTTACTCGATGAGAGCTGGACTGGACAGTAGAAGGTCCTTAACTCATCAGCAGGACTGGTATTTGCACCTTTTTGCAAGGAGGAACAGGATGAGCACTGCCAGAGCTGTACAAAATAACCACCTGCAGGCCACTCATGTGAATGTGTCTGACCAAACAATCAGAAACAGACTTCATGAGGGTGGCCTGAGGGCCTGATGTCCTCTAGTGTTGCCCTGAGCTTACTGTGCTTACAGCCAGGCCCCATAGAGCTCAATTGGCATTTGCCATTGAACACCAGAGTGGGCAGATCTGTCACTGGTGCCCTGTGCTTTTCAGAGATGAGAGCACGTTCACCCTGAGAACATGTGATAGACGTGAAAGGGTTTGGAGAAGCCGTGGAGAAAGTTATGCTGCCTGTAGCATTGTTCAGCGTGACCGTTTTGGTGGTGGGTCAGAGATGGTCTGGGGAGGCATATCCATGGAGGGATGCACAGGCCTCTGCAGGCTAGACAATGGCACCCTGACTGCCATTAGGTATCGGGATGAAATCCTTGGACCCATTGTCAGACCCTACACTGGTGCAGTGGGTCCTGGGTTCCTCCCGGTGCAAGACAATGCCCAGCCTCATGTGGTGAGAGTATGCAGGCAGTTCCTGGATGATGAAGGAATTGATACCATTGAATGGCCCCCATGCTCACCTTACCTAAATCCAATAGAACACCTCTAGGATATCATGTTTCGGTCCATCGCCAGGTTGCACCTCAGACTGTCCAGGATCTCAGTGATTTCCTGGTCCAGATCTGGGAGGAAATAGCCCAGGACACCATCCATCGTCTCATTAGGAGCATGAACCAACGTTGTGAGTCATGCATACAAGCATGGGCCCCAAGAAAACTACTGAGTACCATTTGAGCTGCTGCAATCAAATTTCAGCAAAATGGACTAGCCTGCTGCATATTTTTTTCATTTTGATTTTCGGGATGTCTTTGAATTCAGTCCTCTGTAGGTTGATAATTTTCATTTCCATCAAATGATGGTGCATCCTTACGTTCCTAACACATTACCCAGTCCATATCAGTATTGATATCCAGCATGATATTTTTCCCCATTGAGATCTGATGTGTTTTCAAAGTGTTTCTTTAATTTTTTGAGCAGTGTATTACATGCATAATAAAGCAAGTGAGTCCAACATCAACCCTTACCTAGCTTTGTCTGGAATATCTAGTCCTTGCAGTCCAATATTCATGTGAACATTAACACTACAGCAAACCTCCTTTTTCTCTGTGATTGTTTATCTTGCTACACAAGCTTTTGTCCACACACCTTGGCCTTCATCATATGCAAGTATTTGCAAGGTGAACAATCGCATAAATATGTTACAAAAGTAATCACATGTTCAATATGGCCTAGCAGAATCAATAGATACTTCCTAGCAACTTGTCCAAGGTTACAAGTTAACTATCGCCTCTCCCAGTGCCATCAGTCCATCTTTCTTCGAAAAAAGGTTTATTTTTAATCACGAAATAGTGAATTTAAATCAACAACTATAATAGTACTGTCCTTATATAAAAGCATGTATACAGTTATCACAATGTAATCTTTTTGGATATACAGTTTATGCGCTTGTTCGTGCAGAGTGCAGTGACTGACATTTTCCACACTGGATAAATGCGAGTTACTGCTAGGGCACATTGAAAATAAGTGTTTTCTATGTTCCCTGTTTGGACTACACCATGGTGTGGTGAGCTGCAGTAAAATTATACATATAGTATTTTTACTGAAACACACAGGAAGGCAGAAAATATCACCTCACAGCAACGCAACACACCACAGAGACATAAATGAAGTGTCACTTTGTGCACTTCAAATAAGTTAAAAGAAAGAAGTAAACAGTGAGATGTATTGAAACAGGCATCTCCCTCACCAAGCTTCACTACATTCAAAAACAGACACTTGTGTGAACGAGCCCTGAAACAATGGACTTTAACGGGACTCAAAGCCACAAAACCTCTGCCTCCATCTCTCCTTGGATATTGGAACATATTTCAGAATCTCAGGTGAAACTACCTTCATGTTTTTCCTTATACAATAGATGCCGCATGTGCTAAAATGTGGTCCTTTGCCATGTTTCCAGTGTATAATAAACCAAAAGGGCATTTTAGTTGATAGACTACATAGTCTGTATCACAAAGGACTACACTCTTTAAATGTAATTCATTATGTATTTAACATTAAAGTGGTTGTAAACCTCAGACATGAAATATGAAGTGAACATATCCCTCTATAGCAGGGGGTAGGGAACCTTTCAGAGGTTGAGATCTACCTAGGCAACATGGAGGAAACCAAAGATCCCTGAGGTGTGGGGTTGGGTGGCACTCTTTAACAAAAAAAACTATCAAGCTTCCAATAAAAAGATGGCATGAAGAACACATAATAGGGTTTATTTACCAAAGTTGGAGAATGCTGATTGGTTTCTATGTAGAAGTGAGCCTGATTTTGCACTCTCCAGCTTTAGTAAATAAACCCCAATGTGTCACAGTATTGTCATCTGGCCCCCCTTTACATCACCCCCTCATACAGTAGTGTCCTCAACACCCCCCACTGTAGTGTCCTCTGCCCCTCTGCCCCCCCCCCAAAGTGTCTCCTGCCCCTTCACATGACTTTCCCACTGTAGAGTCCTCTTCCCCCCATAGCAGTGCCCTCTGCTTCCCTCCCCCTGACAGGTGTGTCCTTTACTCCCATTCCTCCCCCAAACACAATGTCCTCTGCCCCCTTCACATCACCCACCCACACTGTAGTGTCCACTTCCCCCCATAGCAGTGTCCTCTGCCCCACAGTAGTGTCCTGTACCCTCCCAATGCAGTGTCCTCTGACCCCTTCACATCACCCCGCCCCCCCACAATGTAGTGTCCTCTGCCACCATAGCAGTGTCCTCTGCCCCCCCCCCATAATAGTGTCCTGTACCGCCCCCCCCAAAGCAGTTTCCTCTGTTCCCTTCAGATCACCCTCCCACTGTAGTGTCTTCTGCCCCCCATAGCAGTATCCTCTGCCCCCCTCGCCTCATTGTAGTGTCTTGGATCCCCCAACACAGTGTCCTCTGCCTCCTTCACATCACCCTCCCCCCACTGTAGAGTCCTCTGCCCCCCATAGCAGTGTCCTCTGCCCCCTCCCTCCACAGTTGTGTGCTGTAAATCTCCAAAGCACTGTCCTCTGCCCCCTTCACATCCAGTGTTAATTTTGTTGACAAAAATATTGAAACTATTTTAGTCGACTAAAATACAACTAAAACTAAAACAATTCAGATGACTAAAATATAACTAAAACTAAAATGTCTTTTTAGTCAAAAGACTATGACTAAAACTAAATAAAAATTTGACTTCAAAATTAACACTGCAATACCACATAAGAATAAATAGAAGGCATCTGCTAAGCTACTGAAAGAAAAAAATGAATATTTAATTTAAAATTTCATATTTAATGTTGTATTATATTCAGGTAATATGTGCAATGGCATTACAGACAAACGAGTCTACAGTTTTTTGGGGTTTTTTTTATATTTTAAACTTTCACTTCTGTTTGTCAAAAAGCAATATTTTTGTTTGTTTATGAAACTTAATTTTATTTATAAAGATGTTATATATCACAACGGCTAAATCTGTGTCTGTAGTGCATGTTCAAAGCTTAATTCCATAAATAACATGTTATTAGATTTTTATAATATATAATGAGTTTGGCAATTCTAGAGAAATGCTTAAATAATGTATTACAATTTAACTAAACCCATTAGATTTTAGTCTACTAAAATGTACTGAAGATTTTAGTTGACTAAAATGTTCTTCCACCCACTGTAGTGTCCTCTGCCCCCTTCCCCATAGTAGTGGTTAACTGAGGCAGCTATCACCTCCGCCCTCCAATCAGCACTATGCTGCCTCTCGCTCTCTGCTCTTTGGTGAACATGAGAATGGCAAAGGTTGGGGGAAGCAGACCCATGTTCATGAACTACCTGTCAGATCCCCACAGTCAACCAGCAGATTGCAATTGATGGCTTGCCGATCCCCACTCTATAGTGTGTACTTGTCTCAATCCAGAGCACTAAGTATCATTTCTATAGGCTGCCCCATTCCTCTGCTATCTGTATGAGTCACACCTGACAGGTTTTTTCTGACAAGAGTTAAAAAGGTGATGGGGGGGAAGCTCCAGCACACTGCCTGTGATTGATAGCCTCAGCTCTGTTCCTGTCTGCTGTGTGAAGGGGGTGTGTCCCTTCCATCCAACCAGCTCACCTCAATGAACTCTACAGAGTGTAACTTAAGTTTCCTGCCCCCTGTTTTCTGAAACTTCAGACAAGCTGTATAAATTATGCACTTTGAATTGCTGTAGAGGACAGAAAACTGCAGAGAAACAGGTTCAACTTATGTAGGAGGATTTGTTTCATCCACAGTTTTCCTATGTATGTAAAAATTATTGGATCCTTCAGTAACCTATCTTGTTTTTTATGACTTCAGTTTCCTTTGTGGTTTTTTTTTTCACATTAGGTGTAAGAGGTCTAAAAGGTCATTCAGGTCAACCAGGTGCAGATGGAATTTATGGATTTAAAGGAGTCAGAGGTGATCCTGGACCTGATAGCTTGCCTGGTCCACAAGGTAATTGTTTGTTCACGTATTACTGGAAAATCTAATTTACCTTGAAAAGCAATGCAGTATACAGAACATTTTCTCTCATTCATGAATTAATCATAATTAATTACATCTGGAGAGAAAAGAAACAAGCCATAAGTACCAGTCTGCTCTCGAGTGTACTTTTCTGCAGAACATGCTGTCTTACTTGTGTAGATTTGACCAATATTTTCACCTTTTGGCTAAGATCATGTGTTGTATCTGTTCTTATCAGTTGTCTGGGATAGAACCCTGGCTCCCTTTGAAAGTTGGGGAGTCAGTTAGTAATCCCAGATGTAATTAGGTGGGAATGGTGAGAGTGGTGGGGAAACATTTTCCTCCTGGTGTGATCCTGGCCTGGTGCACCAGGCTTATCCCTGGTTGTAGGCAAGGCTCTCCCTAAACTTTCTAAGTTCTGATGCCATTCTAGTAGGGATGGGGCAGCACTGGTCTGGCCAAGGCCCGGACTGACAAAGAAGGCCGGTGTATGTGCCCCTGGAGTAGTAGTCCATGGGTGCTAAAATTCTCATGGTGCGGGAGCTCACTTTGAGTTTTAGGCACCTTTATGACTACAGCAGTCACACTTTTATTTTGCACCTGCCTCTTTTGGCCAGGACCAGAGGAGTTTTTTTATTCCTGGCCGAACAGCCCACCATAGTTCTACACTATGGCACTAAATGCACTCATCCACTTCCCCTTCCCTTTTTTTTCATGTTGTTTGTCACTTGCAGTTTTTGCACAGCAGTGTTCGCACTTTCACTTTCCCTGATTAGTAGGCTGTAGGTCCTCGGGCCTGCCCTGAAAGTCTTGGGGGGAAGCATAAGGCTTTTTGGTCAGGGTCTCCTCCTCTCATGGGGTCTCCCTTCGGGAGAGCCCCACTTAGCACTCGGGGTGGCCTTGCTTCCGCAGGCCTCCTGAAGAAAGGGGTCCGGCTAGTTTTGGCCAGGTGGACCTAGTGAGTGCCTTAGTCACCGTCAGGAGCCTTGCGCCCTGGGGATCAGGGCTAGGGCCCTTTATCTTCACAGGAGGACCAGACGTACACCCTGAGCACTTGTGTACTTTACTTTTTGTGTGCTCACTTTTTTTTTTCACTGGGTGCTAGTTTTGTGAGTGTGTTCACTACACCATGGGACTTAAAAAAATATATATATATATATAAATTTTTTTTTTTTTTTTTTCACATGAAGGGAAGGAATTTTCACATATCCATCCCTTATTCCTATAGGCCTAAACGTTTAAATAACCTACCTGCAGCCAGTGTCAAAACTACCTACATTTTTTTCTTTTTTTATAAAGTCATTTTATCTAAACCAGCTGAAAGTTCATATAATCTAGACTGGTAGGAGCCAATCCCTCTACCAGCCCCATAGAATTCTTTCAGGCTGAAATGGGCTGGGCTGGGCTGGGCTGGGCTGGGCTGGAAGTCGAATCAAGAAGCCAGCTGAGGGATGTAATTAATGTTGTGACCTGAGAGTGAGATATAAGTATAACAATTTTGCACTCCCCTGCACTCCAGCCTGTGGACCCTCTGCATCATCAGGTATAATGCAGGGTTATTAACCTTGCAGTGGGTGTGGAGGGGGCTGGAATACAACCAGGAACACCTTAGAGAGGAGCATCGCTGGACCGGCTGTGCAGATCGAGAAAGCCTACCAGAGTGAGGAATAGGGCAAGTATTTCTTTATATTCTGGCACCCCTAAACATTACATTACAAGCAGTTAACCCTTGCAGTGTATGGAGGGGAACAATGTGAAGGTACCATATTTTTTGCTCCATAAGATGTACTATTTTCCCCCCTCTATCCTACCTGTTCCTCGGTCCTGTCCTGCTTTCACCGACCGTCTTCTCTCTCCGGCGCCGTCATCTTCAGTGTGGGTACCCGGCTGTGACAGCTTGCAGCTTCACAGCCGGGTGCTTACTGAGCATGTGCAAGAAATGCTGCGCTTTGTGAATGGCCACCTGTAGTCTTCTGGGACCTGTCACGTGTCCCACAAGACTTCGGGGAGGACAACTCCGCGGAAGTGGGAGCGGGTACCTGCGGACTATGTCTGCAGTCTCTGGTCATCTCCTGTACTGTCTGCAGTTTCTGATTATCTCCTGTAGTATGTCCACAGTCTCTAGTCATCAACTGTACTATGTCCGCAGTCTCTGGTCATCTCCTGTACTGTGTCTGCAGTTTCTGATTATCTCCTGTAGTATGTCCACAGTCTCTAGTCATCAACTGTACTATGTCCGCAGTCTCTGGTCAAATCCTGTACTGTGTCCGCAGTCTCTGGTCATCTGCTGTACAATGTCCGCAGTCTCTGGTCATCTCCTGTACTATGTCCGCAGTCTCTGCTCATCTCCTATACTATGTCCGCAGTCTCTGGTCATCTCCTGTACTGTGTCCGCAGTCTCTGGTCATCTCCTGTACTATGTCCGCAGTCTCTGGTCATCTCCTGTACTATGTCCGCAGTCTCTGGTCATTTGCTGTACTGTGTCCTCAGTCTCTGGTCATCGCCTGTAATATGTCCGCAGTCTCTGGTCATGTGCTGTACTATGTCTGCAGTCTCTGGTCATCTCCTGTACTGTGTCCGCAGTCTCTGGTCATCTCTTATACTATGTCCGCAGTCTCTGGTCATCTTCTGTACTATGTCCGCAGTCTCTGGTCATCGCCTGTACTATGTCCGCAGTCTCTGGTCATCGCCTGTACCATGTCTGCAGTCCATTGGTTCAGAATATTTTTTTTCTTGTTTTTCTCCTCTAAAATCTAGGTGCGTCTTATGGAGAGAAAAATATGGTAATTTTAGCCTAATTCTCAGAGTTCAACCTTAACCACAGTGTCTTTGTCAGGGAGGTCTGTGCTGTGTATTAGAGGTTCACAAATCCTTTGCAGGTAAAACAGTTCCCATATGTGTGATTTAATCGGAGTAGAGAGCTGTCTGTAGCACAGCTTTAAACAAAAACCTGATCTATTAGGTGCAATTAATATGGTTGTTAGAGTTATACTATTGAATGTAATATTGGGCTAATACATTATCTTTATGTTTTCAGGATTCCCAGGTCGAAGAGGAGATCGTGGAAAGCCTGGAGAACCAGGTTTTACAGGAGAACGTGGTCCAGCAGGAATGCCAGGTGCACAGGGATATCAGGGTACAAAAGGTAGCTCTGGTGACGTGCTGGGAGCTCCATCTGGATCCCGAGGTGATGTTGGATTACCTGGCTTTTTAGGTTTCAAAGGTGTACAAGGTGATGCAGGCTTACCAGGATTACAAGGTACATACTGCTAATAATGTCTATTATTAATGTTTCCTGTATCTTCTGTACTTTAACTTTTACCAGGGGGTCTATTTATAAAAATAATTGTTGGATGAATGTCACAAGCATTTCCTCAGTCATGATGAATTCTGATCATATGTTGCTTAATACAGTGAATTTGGCTAACAGTCTTAGGTGTCAATTTCTAAAAGAAAACAGTTGGGGGGATGTCACAAGCATTTGCCCAGCAGTGACAAAATCTAACCTTATTTTTCTTGATACAGTGACTTCCTATGATCATTAGCTCCACCTAGTGGCCATAATGCTGAGTTTTTCCTGAAGTCAGGAAAATACCACATAATGGCCACTAGATGCAACTGATGATCATAGGAAGTCACTGTATCAAGAAATATAAGGTTAGGTTTTGTCACTGCTGGGTAATTGCTTGTGACATCCCCCCAATTGCTTTCTTTTGAAATTGGCACTTAAGAGTTTTAGCCAAATTAAAAAGCAGCACTACAGTATAAAAATTAAAAGATCTTTCAATAAAAATACTCTCAATAAAATCCATTGTTTTTCACAGAATATGTTTGGAAACATTTCTTGGCAGCTATTGAGCATCTTTCATATTTCCTTTTATTTTTCTCCTAGGTATCAATGGAAGAACTGGGACTCCAGGATTGAAAGGTATATCAGGTGATCCTGGAATTCCTGGAGCTTCTGGATTACCAGGTTCTTCAGGGAATGGCGGGTTTCCAGGAATGCCAGGGAAACCTGGGACGCCAGGAGCAGTGGGTGTCCCTGGATTTGCAGGTAAGAGTGCAGTGCTCTGTTTTTTTTACTTACATATAATCCTGTGAAAATTTGACTACTGCCAGTGCTATAAAACATCTGTCATCATGCAAATCTGAATTATGGGAAGTGGCAATCCAGTGTAAATAGATGTTCCTTTAACTGTATGAAACACAAATATCTCCTGTGCAGTGGAGGAGACCTGTATGTTCATATTTGTGCTGCAGTTGTGTGACTGCTCATGGGATTGGAAGATATGGTTTGTAATACTGTTGACATAAGACACTGAGCCCAATTGCCATCAATGCATACATGTGGATGTCTTTAATTTTTGGTCAGTGCAATTCTCCCTCTAGTGCTGCGGCACGTGCGTGAAAACGGGGGCATTAAGAATTAAAGTAACTCTACACAAATGCTTAACAGCAGTGCATTCTGACTGCAAGTCGAGAAGATGCACAATTTTGCAAGTTTTCCTCACTGACTCCAATTTATGAACCTAGCCTAATCTGCTCTGATACATCAGTGTAACAAAGTATTAACTTTAGAAAAAGTTCACAAGGAGTATTTGTATGAATTCATGTTGTGATTGATAACAATAGAGGATGAAAATCAAAAGAAAAGTGTTCAGGAATGCCCACTGTGGGATTAGAAGTTATGAGAGAAAGAGAGAGCAGCATAATTGTCTAAATAATAAGCAAGATATATACATATGTAATTGTTATTTAATTGATATTGGATCCAAGAATCAGTATTTGATAAAAGATAATTGGATTATGTAATTGTTTCTCATATTTTGAGTATGCAGCTTCTTGAATGCATGGCCTTTATCGGTTAATTAACTGGCAAGCCTCCCAGGAGATTTCTAGACAATTGTTTTTAAAGTTGCTTAGGTAATATTTTGGTACAGAGTATTTATATTTAAATGCATGTTAATAAAATTTATAAGGTCATTTTTTGAGTGCATTTATATCCCCTATTTTTTATTTTATTTTTGACTAATATTGCACTTCTTCAACACTCTACTTAACATTTTGTCTATGCGGTGAGATTAGACTCTGTCCTCTGTGATCACACGAAATGCAACAATCTGAGCACTAGGCAAGAACACTGATTTAGATGCCTTTGTCACGTTTTTTGTTCAATAAGATTCAGTAGAAACATGGCTCACCCGCATGTTTTTACCACCCCCTCAACCACTCCAGTGTAAGGTCCCTTTCACATGAACATTCTGATCGGATCCGCTTGTCTGTTTTTCAGGTAGACCTCTATTTTCCCATGTGTGTGTTTACACCCGCCTACATCCAATCTGATCCACTAAACGCAAACAGATGGGGATCCATTCTCCTCCATCTTGGAAGATTGGATGACAGTCAGGTGTAAAAGGACAGGCAATACATTTACATCCAACCACCCATAGAGGAGAGCGGCTGTGTCTGAATTGTCATCCACCTGCTCAGGGGAGGAACAGCGGACAGATCCACTGCTGAGCAAGCAGATCACAGGCAGAGTCCACCCTATGTGAAAGGTGCTTTAACCTAGCCTAACCGATTAATCAGGCACAGGAATAACTGAATGTCTAGCAGTCTTTCAGAACACTTTCTTGAGAAGGCCTGAGCTGCAGTGCTGAGCACTGACGAGCAGATGACAAAGGCACAAGGCTGATAATTACTTAGACCAATGCACCTTGGTGTTTAGCTTACTCTTTCTCTCACTGCTAATAGTTGCAGGTCCTTATAATGAATGAATAGTTTTAACATCACTTCATAGCGAACCTATGCACTAATATAACAATATATAATGTCACAACCAGGGGCGGACTGACCATTTAGAAACTCGAGCACTGCCCGAGGGCCCGGGGTCAGTAGGGGACCCCATGAGATGCCCCTGGTATCTTTTTCATAGGCTTTTTTGAGTTTGGGCAAGGACACAGGGGCCCCATGATCCCCTATTGCCCGGGGGCCCCATGAGTTGTCAGTCCGCACCTGGTTGCAACAACAGGAAATGAGGAAAAACCTTTATGCCACAGACAGCAAAAAAAAGAGAAACAGCTGGCAGGAGTTCCAACTATCTCATACTTTATCCACACAAAAAAAAAGAAAAAAAAAGTTTTGCCTAAAGAAACTCTTTAAATTTGGGAGGAGTACCTAATATAAACATGACAAATGTGAACACACCATTATTTATGATGTCCATAATGTGCAAACATGTTCTCTGTGAGGTATGACTAAGTATAGACAAAGTGATAAAAAAATATTACATTTAGGGTAAACAATTACTTTTCCAATACTTTACTTACTTTTGCACATTTTTATATTTTAAAACACAGGTTCTCCTGGACCACGAGGTGACAATGGAAAGCAAGGAAACCCCGGACAACCTTGGAAAATAGGTGGAGCTGGAGATGTAGGAGAATTGGGAATTACTGGCATAAGAGGAAGATTTGGAGATCCAGGTTTCCCAGGGTTGACTGGTATGGATGGCCACCCTGGTGTAAAGGGTAGGTAAAACCCAATTTTCTATGGGGTTTGATCATAGAAGTGTAAAGGCAAGCAAAACAATGAAGATGATCAAAACAAAAAAGTGAAGGACAGATACTTACCGTAATTTTCCTTTCCTGGCGAGCTCCATTGCAGCACAGTTGGGTAAGGGTACCGCTCCCCCCCCATGCTTCCAGGACCTAACTCATAAATTTGAGCCCACCTGCAGCCTCGGCATTCTGTAACTAGTCCTACCAAGCTGGGTGGGAAGTGTGCTGACATGGAGCTCGTCAGGAAAATTATGGTAAGTATCTGTCATTCCATTTTCCATTTTCCTGACAGCTCCATGTCAGAATAGCTGGGAACTAACTAGCCACACAGGGGAGGGATAATGCTACACACTCTTCCATTCTGACTAAACGCAGAAGTCAGGATGCCTCTGCCAAACTCAGTTGTCATTAAGACTGCTCCTATAAAGTAATGAGCCATGAACGTATATATATTGACCCCCACATAGTTGCCTTGAAGATAGTGTCTGGGAACACTCAGCCTGCTGCCACTCACAAGGTAGAGACCTTTCGTGTGGACAGTGATCCCCCTGGCACAGCCAACCTTTACAACTTGTAGGCCAAGGAGATGAGCTTCACCAACCAAGAGGCAATAATCTTGTTGGAAGCCGTGAAATCATTACATGCACCACCAGGCATGACAAACAAGGGCCCAGACTTTCTGGTGCCAGATGTCGCCTTGATGTAACATATTAAAGCTTGGCCCACATCTGATAGGCTAACTTCTTGAGTACTCCCCAAGAGGGGCATAGGAAGGACAACTTTTTGTGTGATATAGACCCTGAAGGCCACCTATGCACGATCTTGTGCATCAGCATGAGTACCACCATATCCAGGATGAACGTAAGAAAGGGTTCTTTAAACACTAGGACTGCTAATATGAACACTCTTCCGGTTGATGTAATTGCCACCAGGAAACCAGTTTTCAGCAAGTGGTACCACAGGGGGCCACTTTGATTGAAGGCATCTGATGTAAACAAGTCCAACACTGATGGGAGATCCCACTTCACAAACAACAATCCCTTAGTAGGTTTCAACCAAGTTATAGCTTGAAGAACACTATAATTGAGTGTTGTATGCTCACTGTATGCCAGTGAAGGCAGAGATAGCTGAAATGTGGGCCCATAGAATACTTATGCATAAACCTCAATCAAGCCCCGCCTGCAGAAACTTCAGAATGTGAGAGACTTGTGAAGATCCCAGTGTAAAACTTTGATCAGCAACAATCCTGTGAATTTATGTCATATTCTACTATAGGCACTGTTAGTGCTGTTCTTCTTTTCTTTCATATGAGTATTCACAACCTTTACAGAGCATCCAAGATCTATTAGCCTCAGTGTCTCAAGACCCAAGCCATGAGCCTACGCCTGTCAGGTGTTTCAATAAATGGGACTTTGCAGAAGATCTGATATTACCAGCAGATGGAATGGATCCTTGACACTTGTTAGGAGGGGCAGAGAGTACCAAGGCCCCTTCAATCAACCTGGGATCACCACCAGAACTATCACCTTCCCCTGCCACAGCTTCAGCAGAAAGCTAAGAATTAGAGGGAGAGGCAGAAAGGCATAAGTTGCCCTGGAGATCTGCTCTGCAATCAGCACCTCCACCCTGATTGCTTGTGGATGCTGGACCCTGGAATAGAACTTTAGCAATTTGGTGTTGACTGGGGATGTGAACAGGTCTACCTCTGGAAGAGATTACAAGTCCGTTTGTTCTGAAAAGACTTACGGCAGTCTGGACCATTCATTGTTGTCCAGGGTTGACCTGGACAAATTTTTTGCTTTAAGATTCTTTCGACTGGGCACATAAACCACAGGTATTGACTTGAGACAACTCTAGAATTGGAGAAATCTCCTTCAGATAGGAGACACTGAGTGCCCCCTTTTTTTCCATACAGGCCACAGTCATTGTGCTGTCTAACTTTATCAGGACAGGTCCACCCTGGATGAGGTGACAAAAGGCTAGGAGAGCCTGACATTCCGTTCTTAACTCCAGGATGTTGGACACGATCTTGGACCCTTAAAAAGGCCATTGGTCTTGAGCCCATTGCTCCTGAATTAGGGCTCTCCAACTATTTTGTTGGTGTGTTACTACATCACCAGCCACTAGGTCGTCACATGGGAATTACATCATAGAAAATTCTGCTTCTCCAACCACAAGTTTAGGCTCACTTTCATACAGGGCGTAATCCATATCTTCTGACCTAGGCCCTCTGACTGCTACTGTCCAAAAATCTGAATTGAAAAGGTGGTGGGAGTTCATCTGAGCCTACCTGACCTGCTGGAGTGAGGAGATTTGAGGCATGAAGGATGAAAGAGCTCCCAAATATTTTCTGCATGCCTTGAGTGACCATGTGTTTGTCACCAAAGCTGTACCTATGTCCAAAAAGTAGCCACCAAGTGCCCAACGACATGTATGGATCCCCAAAATACCAGAAAGTATCCTGGCATGCAGCTCTTCTTAGATTATGTGGTGACTTTTTTTTACTCCCAGCCAGAAATGCAGAAGCTACATTCTCTGGAGTGAGCATGGAAACTGACTTTTGAACTTCAGTCTCCTTTAACTCAACAGATGTTCATCTTGAGGCAGGAAGCCAAACTAACCACTGTTAATTTAGGCTTCACCTTCTAGGATCAAGAAAAGTGCAGTGATTGAGTACATCCTTAAAGGCCACAGCATCTTCTAATGGAAAGTAATGTATCTGGCCAATCCCATAAGGGACACACCAACCAAAGGGGTGATTCAAACCCCTTGACATCCTGCTGTGGCAACATGCTCCCATCTTGTAGAATGAGCACTTAATTTAGTCACCATAAGGGAATTGTCAGGCCGTCCTCTGGAGGCACTTGAAATACTTCTATAGCTTGGCTTCTATTTAAAGGCATTTCATCAACCTTACCAAAGGAGTAATCAAAAACCTAGACAAAGGTCACCCTTGTCTTCTTGCTCAGAAGGGACTGAAGAGGATTTATTGGCTTGAGCAGACTCTGAGACCAGTTATAATGGCCCAAAAAGGAAGACTGGACATTGCCAGAATAGATGGCCCTTTCAGAAGGTGAATTCAGCAATTCCTTTAGAGTGTCTTGACCACATGCTTAGTTAATTGTGACAACTTGGTCACTATCATCCTAATCACTGTCATCCTAATCACTATCATCCTAATCACTGAACAAAACAGGAATCATGTAGTCATGTTCATTCACATGTTCTTTGGATGACTCTGGCAAGGTTTGATTTGCCTGAGAAGGTTCTGAGACTGCTGATTGGCAGAATAGATGACCCCTTCACAAGATGAGTGGAAGCAACTCCTTTAGAATGTATTGACCACATGGTCAATGAATGTGATAATTTGTTAGGTGTCAACTTCTTTATCCCTGGCTGCTTGAACCAGCAGGGCTCATACAGTCATGCTCATCCGATTCTTCTTTTGGAAGAGTCTGAAGAGGATTGTTTGCCAGGAAAGACAGGAGACTGCTCATTGATAGAATAGATAACCCCTTCACAGTGTAAGTGGAAACATTCCTTTAGAGTGTATTAGCGTCATCTGACAACCTGTTAGGTGTCATCATCTGTACCCTTGGTTGATTGAACAAAGCAGTATTCATGCAGTTGTGTCCAACCGCATCATCCTCTTTGGAAACTCTCAAGAGGGCTCTTTTGCCTGGGAAGGCTAAGCCACTTCTTATTGCCAAAGCAGATAACCCTTTCAAAGGGTAAGTGGAAACCACTCCTTTAGAGTGTATTGACAATGTGTTTATTGAATGTGACATCCTGTTAGGCATCATATCTCTATCCCTGGCTGCTTAAACCAGCAGGATTCATACAATCATTCCTGTCCGCATCTTGCTGTTCATAGAGCCTGAAGAGGCTGTCTTGCCTGTGCCGGCTATGAGACCTCTAATTGTCAGAACATATAGCCATTTCATGGGGTGAGTGGAAACAACTCCTTTTGAGTGTACTGGACACTTTCATTTAGTTTAGTTTAATGAATGTGATAGCATGTTAGGTGCCATCATCCTCATTTCTGGTTGCTTGAACAAAGCAAGATTCATCATGTTCATCCATCTCTTCCCCTCTGGAGAGTCTGAAGAGGCTGTTTTGCCTGGGAAGGCTATGAGACTGCTCATTGCTGCTAGAACATATAACCTCTTCAGTGGGTGCATGAAACAGCAACATTCATGTTTGTCATACAGTCTGAAGAGGGTTGTTCTCCTTGGGAAAGCTCTGAGACTGTTCATTGACAGACTAGATAATACTAGTGTTTTGCCTGTCACTTAACAAGCAGCTAAATAATATTAATAATAATAATGTAATGAAGTAGAAAATAGCTTGCTTAGTAACAAACCCTAATGGGTTAACAATTGCCAGAGAGCAGGCGATAATGAAAATGTTTTGTTAAGGGCAACAAAAAAGTAGGAATCTGAAACAGAATTGCAATAATATTCTGCAATATACACACACCATCCAAGGAAATTGTTGACATCATAAAGACCTTCTCTTTTTTTTTTTTTTTCTTTTGAGAAACTGGAGAGCACAAAGAAAAAATAAAAGGATGTCCTATACTCCAACAGGCAATGCTGGCTAGATCAATCATCCACAAGCAACTCCTCTACCTTTTCTGGGAATGCTGGTCTTTTGAGGGGGTTGGCATAATGGCACAACCATAAAGCTATTATGAGAAGCCACCAACAGGTTAATGCCATGTATGAACAAAGTATTACTTTGTCCACCTATTATGCAGACTACGATCTGTGGAGGAGCTCAGGGTATGCACAGCAACTGCAGGGAGCAAGGCACAACAATACCCAGCAATGCAGCATTTATTTGGATACAAAGCATTTTTAAATTTAGCTCACCTAACCTCCACTATCCAACTGTAAACACTAGCACTGCGTGGGTGTGCGTGCCTAGGGGAGACTCTGCTGACACCGCTGCCCACTTCACATGGACCCAGCAGACCCCAGGCAAAGCTATTAGCCATGATAAAAGCTGCCATGAGGACCAGCAGTGGGGCTCCCTGGATTATGGGTCATTTAGCCGGTACACCAGACACCGTGTTCAGCTGAAACCCACATGCATGAACAGACAGACAGCCCTTAAGACCGGCCAGGTAGAGGAGCACACCTAGGTCTTGCATATGGGAGGAAAAAAGACGAATACCAAGGCTGCAGGTGGGCTCAAATTTATGAGTTTGGTCCTGGAAGCATGGGGGAGCCTTACCTAGTTGTGCTGACATGGAGCTGTCAGGAAAACAAGGTTCAGTATAGAGGTTTGCATATAAGTATTTTCTTTATTAAGTTCAGGACTAGAACAAGATACAATCAATACATTTCATTTTCTAGGCTCCTTAAATATGAAATGTTGCATAATATTTAATACTTGCATTCATTACCAGCAGGTGGTGTTCTAGGTTTCCTTTTATATGTTTGCCTATCCATGTGTAGCTGTTCTGTTGAAAAAAAAAATGCCTGCTGTTTACAGAACTTAGTAGTTCAATTAAAACATTTACACACATAACTGAATGTGTCAGGTAAGATCATCTTCTCCTTTGAGCTTTACTTGACTGTCTAATGACCATTTTAATTGCAATTCTTTTTTCCATTTTCAATTACAATTTAAATAGGAGTGAAAGGCTCTTTTGGAATGGGAGGTTTCCAAGGAATGAAGGGTGAGAAAGGACAGCCCGCCTTTAGCGCTCCTAAGGGTCAGTTTGGCGATGTTGGCTTACCAGGAGAAAGAGGAATTCTGGGAGAACTAGGCCACAAAGGTACCAAAAATGAAGCTTATGCTTGTGTAAAGTTTTTTCATTTGATCTTGTAATCCACTAAAAATTGCTTGAAAACACAGAACTGCTATAGTAATACACCAGCTCACAGCCTGTTATTTTACCTGTGCAAAGTAGTAATATGCTAGGTGGATGTCACATGCTATTCTACTTATCCATTGATTAAAACATGTCCAAATTAGCATTACCATTGGTAAGCCCCTGAAATATTGTCCCATATGCTCATACCTAGAATTCAGCATTTATTTCTGCTGAAGAACTGTATAAATTCATATAATCAGAAATCAGCATATAAAACTATTTTATTGGCTGTCAGATTTAATCCTGTAATTCTTATGATTTTTTTTCTAGTATTTATAAAGTACCACTATTTCAGGTATCAATGTACTTTTCTATAGGATTCACAAACATTGCAAATACAACAAACTAAGGCAGCAAGTTGAATAAACTGAAGCCATATTACAATAATTTCTACAGGTTCAAATCATAGCCATTTACTTTACTGAGGGTGACTTCAGTGGGTACTGTATAATATAGTGTGGGCACTTGTACATGAGACAGTAAGAACCAAATGCTGTTGATACTTTTCTTTAATTTCAATAGTGTACTCTGCATCTCATTGACTGTCAAATTAAATCATAGTATTCTGTAATTCCTATGATTTTTTACTAGTGTTTATAAAGTACTGTTATTTCAGGTATCAATGTACTTTTCCATAGGATTCACAAATACTGCAAATACAAAAAAACTAAGGCAGCAAGTTGAATAGGTTGAAGCCATATTACAATCATTTTACAGGTGCAAGATCATAGCCTTTTACTATACTTAAGTGGGTACTGTATAATACAGTATGGTGTGAGCAATTGTACATGAGACAACTGGAACCAAATGCTGTTGCTATTTTTCTTTGTTTTCAGCAGTGTACTCTGTAGATCACACACAGAATGCACATCTAACGGTGACCATCCCGACCCCGACTCTAGGGTTTCACTTCACCATGTCCTCCTTTCAGTTCTCTGAGCTTCTCTCACACATCCTGCAGGAGCACATTTCCTGGACTCCCGTCATTACTAGGGCCCTGACCAGGGGCGGACTGATGACTCATGGGGCCCCCGGGCAATAGGGGATCATGGGACCCCTGTGTCCTTGCCCAAACTCAAAAAAGCTTATGAAAAAGGTACCAGGGGCATCTCATGGGGCCCCCTACTGACCCCAGGCCCTCAGGCAAATTTCCCGAGTTTCCAAATGGTCAGTCCGCCCCTGGCCCTGACTTTTACAAGGGAGCTCCTTATCAGTGATATCAGACATAACCCGCTCACTTCTAGCACATTAGCTGACTTGTACTTTTTGGTGATAGCTGGTTGTAGGCCTACATTTCTTTCAAGCCCCCTCTTTTTCACTCTTGTAAGTGCACTCTGAAATCTGCATACATTTTTTCATGGCGATAGGAATAACCTGGGGTATATACATGTGTGGTACCTGTTGCAGTAACTTAATTTTGAACTCCACTTTAGTTTAGTTTTTTTTTTTTTGTTCATTATACAGCACAGAAGCATAACAAGTCGGCATGTATGTAAATCATATCATCCTAATAGCTTACATTCCTGTCACTGGATCTCACACAAAATTCTCATGGGGCACCTGGTATTCACATGGTGCCCCCAGGTTCTTCTCAAGTCTAGGAGGATCTTTGCCAAAAAATATGTATACTTACAGCTGGAAATATGCCTTGACACAGGAGACGAGGTTAAAGCAGTATTAAACGTAAAAAACAAAAATGCTATATATTGTAACCTACCAATCCTTCAATGCATTTGTTTTCTTCTGGCTAAACAGAACAGTCAAAGATTTGAGATATGAGGGCATCTAAAAATTTGTACTAGAATCCTGTGACTTTTAATTTCTCTTCTTCTAATGCAATGGTTCTCAACCTTTCTAATGCCGCGACCCCTTAATACAGTTCCTCATGTTGTGGTGACCCCCAACCATAAAATTATTTTCGTTGCTACTTCATAACTGTAATTTTGCAGTGGGAGGAGTAGTGCCACGTCATTGGTGTCAGTGGGAGGAATAGTGTCCCATCACTGATGTCAATGGGAGGAATAGTGCCCCATGATTGGTATCAGTGGTAGGAATAGTGCCCCATCATTGGTGTCAGTGGGAGGAATAGTGCCCCATCATTGGTGTCAGTGGGGGGAATAGTGCCCCATCATTGGTGTCAGTGGGGGGAATAGTGCCCCATCATTGGTGTCAGTGGGGGGAATAGTGCCCCATCATTGGTGTCAGTGGGGGGAATAGTGCCCCATCATAGGTGTCAGTGGGGGGAATAGTGCCCCATCATTGGTGCCAGTGGGAGGAATAGTGCCCCATCATTGGTGCCAGTAGGAGGAATAGTGCCCCATCATTGGAGCCAGTAGGAGGAATAGTGCCCCATCATTGGTGCCAGTAGGAGGAATAGTGCCCCATCATTGGTGCCAGTGGGAGGAATAGTGCCCCATCATTGGTGCCAGTAGGAGGAATAGTGCCCCATCATTGGAGCCAGTAGGAGGAATAGTGCCCCATCATTGGTGCCAGTAGGAGGAATAGTGCCCCATCATTGGTGCCAGTGGGAGGAATAGTGCCCCATCATAGGTGCCAGTGGGGGGAATAGTGCCCCATCATTGGTGCCAGTGGGAGGAATAGTGCCCCATCATTGGTGTCAGTGGGGGGAATAGTGCCCCATCATAGGTGTCAGTGGGGGGAATAGTGCCCCATCACTGGTGTCAGTGGGAGGAATAGTGCCCCATCACTGGTGTCAGTGGGAGGAATAGTGCCCCATCACTGGTGTCAGTGGGAGGAATAGTGCCCCATCACTGGTGTCAGTGGGAGGAAAAGTGTCCCATCACTGGTATCAGTGGGAGGAATAGTGCCCCAACATTGGTGTCAGTGGGAGGAATAGTGTCCCAACATTGGTGTCAGTGGGAGGAATAGTGTCCCAACATTGGTGTCAGTGGGAGGAATAGTGTCCCATCATTGGTGTCAGTGGGAGGAATAGTGCCCCAACATTGGTATCAGGGGGGAGGAATAGTGCCCCAACGTTGGTGTCAGTGGGGGGAGGAATAGTGCCCCAACGTTGGTGTCAGTGGGGGAGGAATAGTGCCCCATCGTTGGTGTCAGTGGGGGGAGGAATAGTGCCCCATCGTTGGTGTCAGTGGGGGGAGGAATAGTGCCCCATCGTTGGTGTCAGTGGGGGGAGGAATAGTGCCCCATCATTGGTGTCAGTGGGGGGAGGAATAGTGCCCCATCGTTGGTGTCAGTGGGGGGAGGAATAGTGCCCCATCGTTGGTCAGTGGGGGGAGGAATAGTGCCCCATCGTTGGTGTCAGTGGGGGGAGGAATAGTGCCACATCGTTGGTGTCAGTGGGGGGAGGAATAGTGCCCCATTGTTGGTGTCAGTGGGGGGAGGAATAGTGCCCCATCGTTGGTGTCATTTGGGGGAGGAATCGTGCCTCATCGTTGGTGTCAGTGGGAGGAATAGTGCCCCATCATTGGTATTAGTGACACCAATGATGGGGCACTATTCCTCCCACTGACACCAATGATACTTACCTTGCTGACCCCTGCTCCAGCCTGGGCTCGCTCGCTCCCTCCCTCTCCCATGGTACAGACACTTACCGGTCAGCTGTCTTCCTACTCCGGCCGCTCTGCTCCTCTTCACTCGCTCGATCTTCGCGGTGCCGCTCGGCTCCTCCTCTCCCAGCTCCACCTCCTCGCCGGTGATTGGCCGCCTGTGTGCCTCTCCTGAGCTACAGTTCCGGCGGCCAATCACCGGCGAGGATTGATGCCGGGGGTGTGTCCAGATGACAGGGGCGGCATGTCATCCCCCCCACACCTGGAGACGGATAGAGGAGCGGTGTCTCGGTTCCTAAGACCATCGGAAATATGTGTTTTCCGATGGTCTTAGGCGACCCCTGTGAAAGCGTCGTTCGACCCCCCAAAGGGGTCGCGACCCACAGGTTGAGAACCGCTGTTCTAATGCATCATGGGACATACTGTTATCACCTTTGAAAACAAACTTTCAAAGCATTTACACCATAGAGAGCTGTAGCCATATAGGGAAACTTAGAGTATGGGCTATAATTGTATTGAATTTATTTTTTCAAAGTTAACCTATACCGGTGGTGACCAACACACAACAATGTGTGGCCCACTTTACTGCAGATCCTGCCACTTGAGCCCCCAGCACCATTGAAATACTCAAGATGCGTAATAAACTAAGGTAGCCTACAACAACTAATACTACTATCTTAAAAATAAAGCACATTTATAACCACCAAACTATTGTGAAGTCCTCTGAACATGTCAGAGGCCACACCTGAGGCCCCATATATGTATTATTTTGACCACAACTGATCTAGACAGTATGAACAAAAAGAGTATAAGAAATACAGTTGAAGATGGAAATTATACCATTTCACCCTTGACCAGAATTAGTGTAGACATTTTTGATCAACTATATTTAGCAAATTTTAAGTTAATTATTAACATTGAATGTATTTAGGTAATCGAGGGGAACAGGGACAACCAGGACAATCACCAGAAATTGATGAAAATATGCTACACAAGATGAAGGGACAAAAAGGACATCAAGGTATTCATGGATTTACTGGAGGTCCTGGGCTGAAAGGTAAGCATACCATTTAAAGACCAGGCCTTTTTTGGCACTTTTTTGTTTACATGTAACAATCAGTATTTTTTGCTATAAAATTATTTAGAACCCCCAAACATTATATATATATTTTTGAAAGCAAAGGCCCTAGAGAATAAATTGGTAGGTGTTGCAGTTTTTTATGTCACATGGTATTTGCGCAGTGGTTTTTCAAATGCAATTTCATTTTGGAAAACATTCTCCTTTTTTTTATTTATTTAATGCTCAAGAACACAATATAATGACCAATTATTTGGTAAAATATAAAAGATATATTTTGATTTTTTTGATCGAGTAAATAGATACCAAACATGTCATGCTTTAAATTTTCACACGCTCGTGCAATGGCGATAAACTGCGTACATTTTACTATCCAAAGGTGGTGATTTAAAAGGCTCTACATGTTACCACTTTAGACTTACACAGGAGGTCTAGTGGTAGAATTACTGCCCACGATCTAATGTCCATGGTGATACCTCACGCTTTGTTTGTATACATGCGGGACCAATGTGAGCATTCGCCTTTGCACGCGAGCACGGGGGGGGGGGGGGGGGGGGGGGGGGGGGGGCGGGGGTGCTTTAAAAAAATGTTTTTTATTATTTTTTCAAACAGTCACTTTATTTTTATATCACTTTTATTGTTATCACATGCAATATAAATATCCCATGTGATAGCCATAGGCAGTGACAGGTATTCTTTATTGAGAGACCCCATTATTAGACCCCAGAGGTCTCTTCTGCCATGAAAAGCATTTGATTACACCTAAATGGTGCTTTTTACATTGAAGGAAGCCAGAAGAGATATATGCTCATTGATTACAGTTTCCTATATCATAGAGGCAATCAGAGCTGTTCCAGTCTCTGGTTACCTCTATGAACAGCTGGCGGAAGCGCCGACTGTCCTCTTCCATCCCACTGGGTCTCCCGGTTGGATGGGAGAGCGTGAGAAAGCTTCATAAGGTGGTGAGAGACCCCTCCCACTGCTTGTCAAAGTGATCCAGTGGCTAGTTAGCAGCTTGGATTACTTTTACAAGAAAGACAACCGTCAGCTCTGAAAAAACGATACCGGGATGATGCCTGCGGCTGCAGGCATCATCACAGTATATCCTCTCAAAGTCCACCATATGGGTAAGTCATTGGAGCTGAAGTGGTTGAACTTCCCTTTCTGGTATATCACATAATGTTTGGTGCTGGACAAAACCAATTTATTGCAGTTCACTTGATGTGTATTGTAATCCCCCCAAATGTCTATCCTAAGCACTAGCTGTAAAATCACAAACATTTTAAAATACTTACAAAGATTATTTATTAAACTAGAATATACAGTACGAGTTTTATGTAATTTTTTTGTAGTGCCTCCATTAATATTCACTTAAAAAGGCAAGAACACATAATAATGATCACAATAAATCATAAACATGAGGAGGTCCTCAAAAACAGGATGTAAATGGAGATCATATATAAGGAAGCTCACTGCATAATTTGGAATGAAAATTACAAATATGAAAAAGGAAAGTCATGTTCCTAATTACTCATATCAGCATGCTTGCCTTAGAACTTTTGCAAGCAGTCATTTTAGTGCACACGGGGAAAATATCTTGGTGGATGATGGCAGATGGTAAGTGGATGCAGAGGTACCCTGTCTTTTTTCTGACAGACAAGTCATGATTTCAGTAAAAATCACCAGTTTTTATTGACAGATTCATACAGTACATTCATTGTACCATCTAAATTGTTAATTAAAGGTTGATGTGTAATTTTAGATCAGTTACTCAGGAAGTGCAGTTTGATACCAAAAATATTTAGCGTTAGACATACTAAGTGGGAGAGAAATATATATATTAGTCTGTAATATAATATATTAAATGGTTGAAAATTGTGTTCAATGGATTGAGGCTAGGAGCTTACATTATAACTAATTTATATGCATTTTGTGTTTTTAATTACCTTTAGGAGTTAAAGGAATGCCTGGTGACCCTGGATATACTGGACAACCTGGTTCACCTGGAATGCCAAGCTTTGAGACAGGCATTAAAGGAGATGCTGGACAAAGTGGGTTTACTGGTTTTCCTGGTAATCCAGGACAAGTTGGTCCTCCAGGCATTCGTGGATTCCCAGGATTTACAGGTCCTAGAGTAAGTATGCCACCTTCTTAGATCATATTGGATTTAAAAACCTTTATAGATAGGTAACAACAATAGTCTGAGGGAAAAAAAGCTGCCAGGAAGTCTAAACAATTAAGTGATATTGATTATTTAATCAATCAATATAAGACAGTGCCTCCAAATTGAAACAAATTATTAAATATAATTTGGCTGACCTAGTAAATTATTCCCGGAATGCAGATTTTTTTAGGCACAATAAACTTGGGTGAAATAAAAATTTATTTACAATTGAGTCACTAACAATTACATATAGCAGCACAATTAATAGTATGACGTAAACACAAAAAAATTATATATCCACAACAATATACCTTAACTTGCATGGATAAAATATAGATATGCCTGGGAACTAGAGTGAGTTGAATAATTTAATTTCCACTTGTAGATTTTATAACCCAGTACCACTAGTCTAAATAACCTAGCAAACAACTAGGTCTGCATTCAGACCGTTTCCATTGCTCCTCTGCAGCAGAATAATGGGGCTGAGTCTATTTACAGACTGTGTTAATACAGTTTTGTTTTATTTATTCAATCCCTAGAGGTTATGATACCATGAGCGGAAATATTTTCCTTAAATACAGTGGGGCAAAAAAGTATTTAGTCAGCCACCAATTGTGCAAGTTCTCCCACTTAAAAAGATGAGAGAGGCCTGTAATTGGCATCATAGGTAGACCTCAACTATGAGAGACAAAATGAGAAAAAAAAAAATCCAGACAATCACATTGGCTGATTTGGAAAGAATTTATTTGCAAATTATGGTGGAAAATAAGGTCAATATCAAAAGTTCATCTCAGTACTTTGTTATATATCCTTTGTTGGCAATGACAGAGATCAAACGTTTCCTGTAAGTCTTCACAAGGTTGGCACACACTGTTGCTGGTATGTTGGCCCATTCCTCTATGCAGATCTCCTCTAGAGCAGTGATGTTTTGGGGCTGTCGCTGGGCAACACGGACTTTCAACTCCCTCCAAAGGTTTTCTATGGGGTTGAGATCTGGAGACTGGCTAGGCCACTCCAGGACCTTGAAATGCTTCTTACGAAGCCACTCCTTCGTTGCCTGGGTGGTATGTTTGGGATCATTGTCATGTTGGAAGACCCAGCCACGTTTCATCTTCAATGCCCTTGCTGATGAAAGGAGGTTTGCACTCAAAATCTCACGATACATGGCCCCATTCATTCTGTCCTGTACATGTCGTCCTGGTCCCTTTGCGGAGAAACAGCCCCAAAGCATGATGTTGCCACCCCCATGCTTCACAGTAGGTATGGTGTTCTTTGGATGCAACTCAGCATTCTCTCTCCTCCAAACACGACGAGTTGTGTTTCTACCAAACAGTTCTATTTTGGTTTCATCTGACCATATGACATTCTCCCAATCCTCTTCTGGATCATCCAAATGCTCTCTAGCAAACTTCAGACGGGCCCGGACTTGTACTGGCTTAAGCAGGGGGACACATCTGGCACTGCAGGATCTGAGTCCCTGGCGGCGTAGTGTGTTACTGATGGTATCCTTTGTTACGTTGGTCCCAGCTCTCTGCAGGTCATTCACTAGGTCCCCCCATGTGGTCCTGGGATTTTTCTCACCGTTCTTGTGATCATTTTGATCCCACGGGGTGAGATCTTGCGTGGAGCCCCAGATCGAGGGAGATTATCAGTGGTCTTGTATGTCTTCCATTTTCTAATTATTGCTCCCACAGTTGATTTGTTCACACCAAGCTGCTTGCCTATTGCAGATTCAGTCTTCCCAGCCTGGTGCAGGTCTACAATTTTTTTTCTGGTGTCCTTCGACAGCTCTTTGATCTTCACCATAGTGGAGTTTGGAGTGTGACTGTTTGAGGTTGTGGACAGGTGTCTTTTATACTGATAATAAGTTCAAACAGGTGCCATTAATACAGGTAATGAGGGCAGGACAGAGGAGCCTCTTAAAGAGGAAGGTACAGGTCTGTGAGAGCTAGAAATCTTGCTTGTTTGTAGGTGACCAAATACTTATTTTCCACCATAATTTGCAAATAAATTCTTTCCAAATCAGCCAATGTGATTGTCTGGATTTTTTTTCTCATTTTGTCTCTCATAGTTGAGGTCTACCTATGATGCCAATTGCAGACCTCTCTCATCTTTTTAAGTGGGAGAACTTGCACAATTGGTGGCTGATTAAATACTTTTTTGCCCCACTGTAAGCAAAATAACACACAGTTGGTTACAGTATAATTAAAGGCAAAACTTTTTTTTTTCATTTTGGATAGAGTGAAAAGGGATTATAATTTGTACTACTGTCTGTGACCCTCTATTTGTCCTGTTTACTATTATCATTGAAAGTGAAAATTAAAGAAAATCCTAAATATAGGTTGTCCCCAGAAGAGTAATAGAGGGGAAATCTTCCAATAGTGACAATAGTCCTATTTAGCTATGGGACAGGAAGTGAATGGAAAGCTCCCCAGTGGGACACAGATAGCAAAAAATAAACTGACAGGTCTTATAACCCTCCCTTGCTCTATCCAAAATGAAGAAAAAAATGTTTTGCCTATAGTTCTACTTTAACCTCAGAAGTAAGATGGATTTTCTCCAAATCAGTTATGAAATTATACTTTACCAGTCACATGATCTACACTGGGTTTGATGTCACACCCAGGTAAAGCTGCTTAGCTATCACCTGGAGAGGCGATGAAGAGGGCTGATGGTCAGAAGAGAGATAGAAGGTCTTGGAGTGGGGATCAGAAGAGAGTTCTTTAGATGGTCCTCCAGATGGTGATCAAGATAGTGATCTTTACGATGAAACTGAAGATAAGGATGAAGCTTCTTTTCTCTTTGAATATTTCCCTTTTATTCCCAAAAGCTTCCACTAACTAAGGATCAGCCTAGAGGCTGTAGTTTTGGATCTTTTCTCACCTCTGATTGGAGGGAAAAATTACCAATTTACTAATTGTTTGCACAGTTAGTGGGTTAACTTTTCCATCAGATGGGTAGAAAGGCACACAAGAAATAATTGGAAGTGGAACTTTAAGCTGGCCATAGACGATTTGAACCATGTATGAGCAGGCTGAATGTACCCAAGTTAATAGATCGATCAACTTTGCTAAAAGTCTGCCCCAAGCATCATCTAATGTTTCAGTAAATAAATACTTTTAGTTTTAATCTCTCCTGTTAGTTTGAGGTCAAGTCTCTGAGGTCTTCATCTTAGCTTCATATTGAAAATACTGCCTTCTTGAACCTTATTTACGTAGATCCTAAATGTATTTGAAGGTTTTTGAAGGTTTCAGTTATGTCCCTCATTTCTCTTTTCTCCTCCAGACTGCATTGACCAAAACACAATGGCTCTCCCTAGAGATTTGTTTGTCATACCATATTAAATTTTTCTTTGATTTAAGTAGGGAGTGTTACTATACTTCACTCTGCATGTTTTATGATTGATTATGGTGTATATCAAATGCACAAACCATCAGCATATTACGTCTATTGGCAGTTTTGGATTTTGAAATGTATACCATATTTTAATGCTGTCATGAATCTATTGCTATTGCATTCATTGTGCATATGAGATCTTAAAGTTTTTTGAAAGTTAAAGTTCATGAAAGGTTTGTCAATCCTGCAGTATAATAAACTGCTTACTGATATATTTTGGTATGTTTATGCACTTTCTCATAAAATATTTTTATCCCTCAGATCTTTCACCGATTTTGTTGCTTGGTTGCTTGTCTCTGTACTCTTATCAATATCTTTTTGGCAGTGAGGTCTTCAGGACTGGACACAGTATTTTAAATGAGGTCTAACTAAAGATCTATATAAGGGAGGAGATCTATATTGCTTTTTTCACAGTTTGCCTGCGTATCAATTGCTTTCTAGACAGCTTAATCGTATACTAATGTTGTGTGGCTGCTAATAATATGTTTGAAAGATGAGTTTTATATATGATCATCATTATGGTTTCAATGTCCTCTACATGTGAGAGTCACTCACCAATTTCTCATACAGGGATCAAAAGGCATGCCCGGTTTATATGGAATTTCAGGTGACAAAGGAGATTTTGGAGATAAAGGTAAAGATACAATGTGTGGCATATATGTTGTATGCCTAAAAAAAGAACACAAATAATGACTTTTATGTACATTCCTCCATCCAGGTGAAACAGGAACCTCTATGAATTTTCCAGGAGAGAGAGGGTACAAGGGTGTAATAGGTGACCGCGGGTTTGCCGGTATGTATCTCATATATTTTACCAGACTACAGGTGTCTGTTTATGAAACTAAGATGAGCTGTGATTGTAATGAGAACATGTCTTCTGCTGATTATCTCAGTTACATAAAACCGCTAATGATATAAGATCATCTCAGCATGCAGAGATGCTGTCATTCACAATACTTTGATTCTGCCTATGATTTCAAATTGCATAATGTGAACAGTGTCTTAATTAAAAAAAAATTATTTTGATTTATTATTCAATATTCTTATTTCTATACTTTTGTTTGAATGATTTATTTCTATTTATTTTTCAATTTTATGAATGGTGTTTAGCTGCCTGACAGATGCAGGTTCAACCATTTCACTATATGCCATTTATAATGAAAAAGCACATCTGATTATTCTTTAAATAATAATAAATATAATGTATAGTTATGGGGTGTGCACTATTTCTGAATGGGGGGCTTTAATACAGTATGTTATTTTTTTAGGCCGTTTTGGAATATGAATGGTATTTTACTTTCACTTTTTGTTTACTCATGTTACTGTAATCTTGTGATCTCCTGTGAGATTACAGACAGAATTCTCAGTTTTCCAGAGTTCCAAGTGTTTGTAGAATGCTTCTCTTCTCCTTAAGAAAAGCGAATATACACTGCTACATAAACTGGCACTCAGATGAGAACTGCGTACTCTGATAATAATAAAGGGACTAAAGACAGGGCAGTAAAAAGTGTATATGTACTCAGACTCACAGCAGAACCCATAGGTTAACTGACAGTATAGACATTAAAGTGTCATTAAACCCAGACTGCCTTTAGCTGTCCTCTCTGTGTCCCCATTGCAGTCTGAGATTGTGTAGACCAGTTGTTGTCATGTACCAAGCATGTTTCAGTTCCCTTCTAAGTGTTTCATTTCCTCCTTTTTTCTTTACTGTGCAGCCCAGATAAATACACATTAACACATGCGGGTGTGGTCCAGGTGGATTCAAAACATTTTGAATTTTTTCTAGAAGATTACTATATATATTCTATATATTATCGAATCAGACAGATTTGAATTGGAAGGATTCAATATTTTTGTGCGCTAGTCCAATCCGTAATAGAAATGGCATGAGCTGACTGGACAATATCAACTGGCATCATGTGCATTTGAATCAACAAATGGAATGAAATTCAGATCCAAATTATCAAATTAATTTGAAAACTGAATTAATTTCCCCATGTACGTAATCTACTTTCGCATCATGTGATGTCATCCAAATGAAACGATTGAAACAAATGCATTGGTTAATTTTGTTATAATTTTTTTCTTTTGGGTTCAATGACATTCGTTACTATGTCCATTCAGAGATTTGTATACATCCGAAACTCTGAAAATGAAATTTTGTCCGAATAACAAATTGTAACCAATACAAAAAACACATGTCTAGTTTTAATATAAATCAGTATTAAATATATCTAAAATGTAACTGCTAATACCTAAAAAAAGACTTGGATGCAGATGCTGTCTGAACAAAATTAAAGTTAGTGTTAATCATCTTTCACTCCGCCTACACCATAATAACGCACAAAAAAATTACACATTTGAGGTTCAAAAAATATTTTTTTGGAGCTGTAAAATAAATTTGACATCTATAATTTAATTTGAATTGCTCTTCCAAAACTGTTTTTTTAATCATGTGACTGGAACAGCACAAATCACTGATGTGTAGACATAGACTCATACTGAAGAGAGCATACATCAGAATAGAAATAGAAACCCCATCCAAGGATCTTTCCCTGCAGATGCCAAAGAACATGGAAAGATCATGTGACCACACAACAGTGTTGCAGGGATAAGGTACTTGGAGGATTTTAACCCCTTCCCGCCAACAGTGTGCTCCTAGCACAGAGACTGGGCTTTCACTGGAAGCCCCGGGTCCTGTACTAATGATCGGGACCCTGGACTCCCATTTCTGTGTCACCTGATCTCTGTAGTAGCCTCTGGTTAACTATCACAGTGATCAGTCACTGTGCAGCCTGCCCCTGTGTTTCTTTCTCTCTGAATGGAGAGAGAGATACAGTATATTGTGTCTCTCTCCTTGCAGAGAAAAAGATGTAAATAAACAAATGTGTGTACAACATTTTTTTTTTGTATGAAATAAGAACAAATAGCTAGATCAAGGCTTGATATAAGTAAGTGCCAGTGTTAGTGTTTGGGTCAAATGTATGGGTCAAAGGTCAAGGTCAGAGTGAAAACCATGGTCAGTATATTTTGGGCAGGATTTTTTTTAAAAAAGCATTTTTTTAAAAGTAGTATCAGTGGCAGTTAGTGTTAGTATATTTTAGATAAAAAAAGCAAAATGCACACTATTGTTTCTGGGCTGTACTATGGGTACAAGCAACATAACACATGTGTAGTATTGCTGCAATCATCAGGAGCAAGAGAATTTATTTTTGGTTGTTCTTTGGTGGTAGTTTATGATAATAGCAAGAAATATACAGCTAAATTAAAAAATTATTTTTTTATTATTTTTTGTCAGTTTTCCTTTGATAATAATAAAAAATCAAGAGATATCCATTACCATTTTACCACCAAAAGAAAGTCCAATTTGTCCTGAAAAACAAGGTATAATCCACCTGAATTCACAAAGTAGTTGCAAAGATATGTACCGTTTCACTAACACATGTCAAAGTTGCAAAATTGTGTTTAGGCATTAAGATTTGTTTTACCTTCAGTCACTAAGGGGTTAAAAAAAACAAATAAAATTAATTCAACATAATTCATGATATGAATGAATTATGACAATTAACACTTTTCTGTTTGGTATAACTTAGTTATCATTGGCAGGTGGCAACTTTTAATTACTAAAATCTAGAAGGTTTGGTTATTTTTCAGCTCTTCACTTTTTGAGGGAATGAGCTTTATATTGATGAGGGTGACATAAAACTCATTCTGGCTTTTATAATTTTGGAGGGCATTGCAAACTTTGAATATCAGGGCAACCAAGATTGTAAGTGAATTAACCACTGTTATCACTGATTACTTTTACAAGCAATACAGGTTATACAGACCTCAGCAATGAAAAAGGGACAAGCATCATAGTGTTTTCGACTTATTGAAGTGAGTCACATTGGAGGGTATGCTTTCTTGCTTCATAGAAGTCATCCAGAAATAATCCATTCTGACTGGTTGCTAGGGTATGCAAACAGTGTTCATAGACAAGCAAGGCCTGATGAATCAGTGTAAATAAAATATACATTTGTGGAATAAAAATCAATTTGAAAAGCATGCTATACATATGCTGTACTGCTTTTATAATCTGGGCATTTTGTTGGCATTGCAGGACAAAGAGGAATATATGGAGAAAAGGGACTGACAGGAGATTCAGGCGTTCCTGGCATTTCAGGAATGAGTGGAGATCCCGGACAACCAGGACAAAGGGGCCAAACAGGTATCTTTTGAATACATGATAAAAAATATTGCTGTCTTTGTTAATGTAATTGGTCTTAAGCAATATTTGTCAGAATGCAATCTATTACCTATTTATCATTTGGCAAAACCTGACAATATTTTAGACAATATTTAATACAATTTGACTATTTTATTCCCTTATTTAGATGATGCCTATATGGTCATTTCTTTTTCTTCAGGTTTACCTGGCTTGTTGGGCTTAACTGGATCTCAGGGGGATCCTGGATTTCCAGGAGTCCATGGTGAACAAGGAACTTCTGGTATTCTTGGGGTACCAGGTCAACAAGGTAATGGAATAAAAGATTGTAAATGCATAACTCCCAACTGTCCCTCATTTGGAGGGAACATCCCTCTTTTGGAACTAAATCCATTTGTTCTGCTTTCCTTCTCAGTTGCTCCTTGTTTTTGTTCAATGTAATAACTTTGTAAAAAAAAAAAGTGTTATACTGCACTAAACCTTTAATCCAACCATAACAATTATTGCAAATTGTTATTTGTGATGATGGAAAAAAAGCCCCTGTGGATTAAGCCAATCATTTTTGCATATTAATTCTTTGGGGGCTACAGTATGTACGTTTAGGCATGGGAGCTTTGTGTTCTTTGCCTACATACTTTGTGCTACAAACTGTCCCTCTTTGTCATCTCAGAATGTTGGGAGGTATGTAAATGTATACAATATATAATTTTAGTTATCACTCAATTTATATTTTACTTTATTCCACCTTGTTTTAGAAAGAAATATTCTCAGTAGAAATGAATACAATCTATAATCAAGTACAAAATTCCTATCATGGTCTCTAGAACAAATGCACAAACGCTCTGTGGACAATTTATGTCATTGATACAACAGTGTAAAATATTCATATCTACCTTAATTAAAGTGGTATTAAAGGTTCAGCATTTTTTTTAAATAAAAAACGTGTCATACTTACCTTGTCTGTGCAGTGGTTTTTACAGAGCAGCCCTAATCCTCTTCTTCTCAGGTCCCCCGCTTGCACTCATGGCTCCTATCCCTAGACCAGTGCCCCCAAGAGCAAGCTGCTTGGGGGCACTGGTGCATGCTTGCTCTTGAGCCCGGCTCTAAGACACATAGAGCTCCCGCTCTTTCTTCATTGACTCACTGGCTGTGATTGACAACAGCCAATGAGGGGAGGGAGTCCTGGGACAACCAAGGCCCTCATGCACATTGCTGGATTGAAAGGGGGCTCAGGTGAGTATTGGGGGGCTGTATAGAATGCATGAAAGAAAAAACCTTCTGCCTTTACATACACTTTAAATTACTGTACCTCATCATAGAGATCCTAGCTGCTCCCCCATGGCCAAGGCACCTCACTTAGCTTCATGCTAAGCACTGGATGTAGTGATTTATGTTTTCTCCATATATTCTGCAATGGTGGTCTTACCCATTACAGTCTATGATTGGACTGTGGGAAAACCAGAGCATCTGGAAGATACAAACAGAGAAACATATCAATAGGTTTACCCTTTGGTGAAGCTGGTAATGTTCTCCTTGGATTGGAACATTTAATGTCAGACTTTTAATTCTTAGGCCTAATTCACCTAGGCAATCTTAAGAGTGTGAAAGGCCAATTTTGCCTGCATGGACTGCACAGGTTTTCCATGCATCTGCATGCAGGCAGTCCCATTCATGTCTGTCAGGATGCGATGTGTGGGTGCATGGGGACACTCACTGCACAGCTGTCAAATTGGAACAAGCAGTTATGTCAGTACAGCCATTGTGCCCCAGTAGATAGGAATGGGACTGTGCATATGAATACATGGTACACCTGTGCACCCCATGCAGGCAAACATGGCCTTTTACATGGATGTACGGTTAAGTACACCCGTGTGAATGAGGCCTTAATAACTGCATAGTGTAAAGAACAATATGAGCAGCACAGGTCAGCATTAGGCTGAAATGTCTTATAATATTCTGTATTTTTATAGCTAGTAGAATTTAGTCACATTCAACTGGACATATTCTGTAATGCTGAATACATTTTGGCACTTTTAGTTTCAAGTGGCTTCCTCAATTCAAACTTACATGTCAATTCAAAAACAATATCATATACATATAACACAAGATATAAGGAGAGCGCAGAAAATAAGGTAGATGCTAGCACAAAGGCAAGGTAACAATCCCACAGTAGTCAATTTCAATGTAAGTGCAGCGCTAAAGCAAAAGTGACAAATGGAATCATAAAGTGCTTGTGTGAATAAGAGTGTATCATACAATATTCAAGTGACATATATCTAATGTCTTAGATCACATAAAATCATAGGATCATAAAAGTTCTAAAAATCTGAACTTAAAGTGGAGTCCCACCCAAAAGGGGAAGTTCCGCTTTAAAGATTGGTCCCCCACTCCCCATTAAGGATTGGGCTTGGCACCTTTGGGGAGCGGGAACGGGTACCCGAATTTGACAGGTACCCGCTCTCACTTCCGCTGCGATCGCCTTGGCGATCGGAAACGGGAGTTGTCCTCCTACCTTACGATGGGGCCATTCACAGCCAGTTGCCCACTGAAGATGCCGGCCTCCTGGAATACAGGACAGCCGGTGAAACGGGCTGCGGAGGGTGCAACATGGGATCGTGGGACAGGTGAGTGGCTGTTTTTTAAAAGTCAGCAGCTACAGTTTTTTACAGAGTGAGTAGAACTCCGCTTTAAATAGTGAACATAAATAGTCCGTGGCACTACAGGTCACAGAAGTGTGCTTATCAACAATAATAGTGATAATAAATAGTCTGTGGCGTTACTGGTCACAGCAAAGCCCAGTGATTGTGGAACTACAAGGTGCAGCAATACCAGCTGGGATGCTCAAGAGTGTTCATGATCCAACATAGGAATCCACCACCTTATATGGATGTGCACTCACCAGAACTCTACTTGTATAATAGCATTAATGCTGATCCTTATGGGGGGTCTCAGGAAGCCATAAATAGGAACCGGACTTCTCCAGCATCAGGGCTATGCAAAACCACCAAAGGATCCTCCTACAGGGAAAAGCCAATTGTCAAGTTCCAAGCAACTTCAAGAAGGAAATGTCATGATCACTGGGCTTTGCTGTGACCAGTAGTGCCATGAACTATTTATTATCACTATTATTGCTGATAAGCACACACGTATTATTCGGCACCTCTGTGACCTGTAGTGCCACGGACTATTTATATTCACTATTTAAGTTCAAATTTTTAGAACTTTTATGGTTCTATGATTTTATATGATCTGAGACGTTTATTAGATATATGTCACTTGAATATTGTATGATACACTCTTATTCACATAAACACTTTATGATTCCATTTGTCACTTATGCTTTAGTGCTGCACTTACATTGAAATATCATATACATATGTGTAGCACTACCCTCATGGGGGCCGCTTGCATGTTTGCCCCGGTTTCCTCTTACTTCGCCCCATAGCGCAGCCAGGCACAGTGTATTTCTTCAGCCAAATACACACATACACACTGACTAGGAGGGTGCTACATAGAGAATGTATAGGCAGACTGAAAACCTAAATATTCATTGACATGTTGAACGGAACACTTCCAGATACACTAGAATGGCTCCATAGAAGGTGAGCTGAATACCAATGCAGTCATACCACACATACTGATGCAGCCTTATTACAGTCTGTTGCACTTTAGCTCTTCAGTATTAAACTGGAAATTTGTCAGCTTCGGCTGACAGGACAGCCCATACATGCCCCAGTTATCTGTAGGGTAGGTCTAGAGCAGCATAATTTGATCAATATTTATTATATACAGTATATAGCTTCACTCCGAAAATCTAAGCTATTGTCTAAGCTTTGCGTGAATTGTTGTATAACATTCATAACACATACTATGTAATTCTTTTACAGGTTTCCCTGGATTTAGAGGACTTTCTGGACTTCATGGCTTGAAGGGTACAAAGGGGCTTCAGGGACCAGCAGGTACAGCTCGAATGAATTGGCTCTAGTAGAACAGCACATTTCAGCCTATGATATGTCTTGGTAATGTCTATGTATTCTTTTAAACAGGGGCGGATGACTATGGTGTAAGCGGTGTGAAAGGTACTCCTGGGCAAAAAGGTGATCAAGGAGAACAAAGCACTGCAGCTGGATTGGCTGGTAACTCAGGTGTAACAGGTACCAGGGGAGAACCAGGTTAGTGCAACTCTCTGTACTCAGCTCTTATGGGCCCATTAAAAAGGGTTTTGTAATATTTTGTTTCTGCCCATTTAGTATCTTTGTGTGTGCAGCGTGCCTATTTTCTGCAGATTCAAGGTCTCATGAACACTAGACGTTTTTGAAACTGCTCTTTTTTTTCTGCCTCTAAGTGCCCCTGCATGGTAGCCTATGTATCCATGCACACAAAGACGTTTAAAGGCAGAAAAAGATCCATTTCCAGTGTATCCAGGAGTAGCGGCATTTTGGCAGAAAAACGCAACGCATGTAAACGTGTGTTAACACTAGGTGCATTTGGCACCTGAGTATTAATTAATTTCAATGGCCGAAATAAAATATTATTCTGGCTAATGAAATGAATTAACGCCAATGCGCTTGACGCGACTAAATACGTCAACCATTTTTTCTGTCAAAACAATTCTGCCATGGGGAAAGGTGTCTAGAAAGAATATCAAAAACATCCTGTGTAGATGAAGCCTTACTGAAAAGCAGCATGTTGGTCAGGAAAATTTGTGTTATTGCATGCATGTCATTCCTATTAAAGGTATGGTTTTCTTGGGTTACTCACATTTCAGTTGTCACTTGCTGGCATACAGTATGTCACATTAAAAAGAAATGACAGCTATAATATCTGCTGCAATTTTTAACTCTATCCAATCAACATTTTGTTAAGTAGGAGTTTATTTATCATAACTGTCAACCATATCAGTCAGAGATTTGAAACGTAAACTGCTTTAGGGCTAGTTTACACCAGATGCAGTCCAGTGCTTTTTTTTTCTGCATCAAAAATGCATGCACAGTGTTTTCCATGTATTCCAATACCCCTGGTTCACACTAGTTCAGTTAGTTTCAGACAGTTTCCGGTGCAGAAAAATAAGAACATAGCAAACTGCATCAAAACTGCACTGGAACTGCATGTGGTGTGACCTGTAAGCAAAAACGTATCCAGAATGTATCTGGAGTGCATTTTTGTGGTGTGAACTGGCCCTTATTCCACCCCATTTTTACCATCATACTTGTACTAGGTGAACAATATACAGGAGTATAGAGGGTAAAGTGCTCCTAGATTGTAAGCTCTAACGAGCTCTAACCGTTTCCTCTTGTACCAAATTGTATTGTAACTTTAATGTCTACCTTCATTTTGTAAAGCGCTGCGCAAACTGTTGGCGTGATATTAATCCTGTATAATAATAATATGGATTTCATTAGAAGCCAAGTGAAACTACTTAAAGCTGAATTCCACGTTTATTTTCCCACAATATGTATGGAATACGAAATACCAGCATAAATCATACCTTTGTGCCATGTTGCTCACTTGTGTGCAGATCCTCTGATATCCTGCGTTTAGTTCTGCTTTGTGTGGTTTTACACACTACAGCATATATCCAGCTGTACAACGCTACTCAGAGTCTGTAGACTCCCTTATGTAGTCCTTCCAACTCTCTTCCGACTCTCTAAATGAGGAAAGGACGTTCATGGCACGTACCCTGGGTGGAATTCAATGCATCCTGATTAGCATTCAACTACACCCGTCACACATACAGGAAAAATTCAAACCTCCCAAGTCCCACGAAATAGATTGCAACATTATTGTTATTTATTTATTTATTACAGGTACTTATATAGTGCCATCAATTTATGCAGCGCTTTACATATATATTGTAAATTCACATTAGTCCCTAACCCTCAAGGAGCGTACAATCTAAGGTTGTTGCTGGCTGGGTGGGGTTGATTGGATCACAATTAGCATTCGGTCCTGCTCAGCTAAATCTTTTGCCGCCTAGTGTAACGCAGGTCCTGCCCACTCAGATCCCGTCTTCTGAAGTCCCACCTCCTAGACCGCTGCTTTATTAATGAAGGAAAGAGCTTTATAACATACACAGCGGCTCTGTTGAAATGTAACTGCTGATGCTGGGCGGATTGAATGGATCACAATTAGTCCTCATGCACACTGAACGCTTTCATAATGCTGGTAATGTTAGCTGTGTAAAGTCACGTTAAAAAAGCGAGTTTTTCAGATTTTTATATTTAGCATTTTTTCATTAGCGTTTAGCTGCGTTTTCCTGCGTTTAGCAGCTTTTTCCCGCGTTTTCCCATGTTTGCAGTTTTCAGCTTTTTTTAAAAAAAAAAAATGTTTTGGGTCAAAAAAAGTCTAATAACGCCAGTTTGCAGCGTTTTACCGTGTTTAACAGTGTTTTGCCGTGTTTTTCAGCGTTCGAGCATTTTTTACAGCTAAAAAGCTTCTCTAGAAACCCACTAGTCCTGGATTTTTTTCCAGCCAACAAACGTTGATTACAGTCTATGTGTGCATGGACACATAGGATAACATGCTGGGGGGTTTACTAGCTGTCGAGAAAAACGTCAAAAGCCAACAACAGCCGCTGTAAAAACTTCCAGTGTGCATGAGGATCCAGCCCAATTAAATCCTATGTCAGCTATGTGTGAACAGAGATTCCCACCCCCACATGACCCACCCCCAGAATCCTGCTCTCTGTGCCCAGCTTTCTGTGCCCTGCTTTATTTGCAGTTGAAGGCAACACCTCCCAGATCCCTGCCTGTGTAGTCTTGTAGTGTGTCAATATCCTTCGGCATGCTGCAACACAGGTATGAAACTAGGAATGATTTCTTTTTTTTGGCTCATTTACACCTGCTTTGCTGTCTGAAGAGCTGTCTGTGTTCAGATCACTCTTCAGTGAGCATTTGACAGCAGGAGAGGAAGCGCTGTATCACCTCCTCACCACCTGTTTTAACCTCCCCGGAGGTATTCCCGAGTGTAGCTCGGGGTAAAGTTTCAGCACCACAAGCGGTAATCCCGAGCTACACTCGGGAATACCTTGCAGCGCTGCTCCGGGATCTCTTCTGCACTTACCTTGTCCTGCGCTCCCGCGATGTCCCCCCTGCAGTGTCCCCAGCAATGTCCTCCGGCTTATGCCGGCATCTGTCTTCTAGGTTCTGTTCCCTGCGACATCAGGGGGGACGGAACTGGTGGGAAATTTGAAAATTGTAGAAGTGACATTCACTAAAATCACATAGTAAAACATTCCTGTATCAAACCATTTCACATACATTTTGTCCCTAGTGCTTTGTCCTGTGCTCTGCCTGCATTTTTACTGTTCTTTCTGCCTGGAAACTGAGAAATGTCCATGGCGTCCAAAAAGCGTCCCTTTAGGTCAAAAGCGGTTTTAGACCAGCTAGAGAACAGCGATAGTAAATCAGAACCACTTGCAGAATTGAGTGATAATGATTCGTGGGGAAATTCGTCATCAGACACTGAAAACGATTTTGCGACTTTGCTCAGTGATGTGCAAACTTGGCGCTATATTTCAAATTTCAGTGTTTTTGGTTTGATTATATTATTGAATTAAATTTATTATTATTATATTATTATTATTCTTTATGATTATTTATTAAATTATAATTTATGATTTCGTGTTTCAAATTTTAACATACCCGGGATGTTTACTAGACTCTTGTTAGGACAGATTTCAGTGAGTTATTCCTAAAAATTACAGGCCTACAATAAAAAAAACTAAAACTACATATTTCCATGCAAAAAAATGTACCGCTTTGAGCACAGAAATACTGACATAATCAGACCACTAGGGAGGCTACATGCTGGACTAATGCACTGCAAATGCACTCAGTTGTATTGCAGCCCAGCTCCTTTCACTAGAATGGGTCACACACAGTGAACGGTAGCGCAATGGTGGGGTATAATTTCTGCCACAGCCATGAGGCAGGGGGGAGCAATTAAGGGGCACTAAAAATGCAGCTTAACAGCAAGGTTTTATTAACCCCCAACCATAACTGTAAATGAGTTCTAAGATTGCAATAATTATAGCAAGGTAATGATCTCTACTGCAAAAATAAAGTGTGCTCTTCTCCCTTAATATCCACAACAGACACTCATCCAGGATTGGGCCCCATTCACACTCATGTTTCTGCTCACAACTTTTTATTGGGCAATTTACACACATTTCCACGTGCATAGGCAGCCCATTATCTTTAAGCTTCCGCACCTTTTTTGGCATTGAGCTTCACATTATTTTTTTTTACACGTATTGCCATGAGGCAATTGCAGCAAAATCACACCACATTTGGGGTGCCATTAAGAATGAATGGTAGCAAAATGCATGTTGTGTGTTTTGCCACGATTTTGGAAATGAAAACAGAATCATGCCAATTCTCACAAGTTGTCGGCCCCCAATCGGATTCCTAGGAAAGGTGAGAGCTCGGTGCACCGGCTGTGACTGTCTTCCATGCACCCAATGAAGACTTTTGTAAGACCGGATAGCTGGCAACTTGAAACATCCACATGTGAAGATCTTTATTAATATAGGTTGAGGCTCACAGCCTTAATCATAGCTATCATCAATCATGCCGATTCTGTCCGCAATTTCAAATCGCATTATGGGTTTGCTATGATTCGAAAAGGGATCTCTATGGCAAAAATTAAAAGCTACATGGGGTTCCCCTTTAATATCACAACAGACATACCAGATCCTCCTTCAGGATTAGGGTCTGCTATGATTACCTAGTTACATAGTTAGTCTGGCTGAAAAAAGACAAAAGTCCATGTAGTTAAACCATTTGAAAAAAAATATATGATTGTTAAAGGGAACTCTGTGGCAAAAATTAAAGCTGTGTAGATTTCCCCTTTAATATAATAACAGACCCTTACCCAGAATTAGGGTCTCATATGAATATAAAGGGTAACTCCACTGCAAAACTCATTCAGGATTAAAGTAACATTCCAGTCAAATCCTAACTATATCTAAACATTCCCCTATCCTTCTTCTAACAACTATACTAACAACCCTATAAAGGAAAAATGTGCATACTAACCTATTCTGAGGGCGCTCTTTTCTGGTCACATGATCTTTCCAGCGCCTTCTTCAGTGTAGAGGAGAGAACAGCGACAATGACTGCAGAGCCTGGAAGATGACATCACTCATAGGCCTACTATGGATCATTTGCTGTTGACTGTCACTCCTCTACCATGAAGCCGGCGCTGTGAGCTGATCATGTGACAGGACCGGAGCACCTTTACAATAGGTAAGTATACAGATCCTTCCTTTCATATGGTAGTTAGATAAGGCTTCTAATAGGGGTAAGAGTAGTTTTTGGTATAGTTTGGATTTGACTGGAGTGCTACTTTAATGTCTACTATGATCGTAAAAGTAAAAGTAAAGTGGGGCGTTCCCCTTTACTAAACATACCAGCCACACATCCAGTATTAGTGCCTGCTTTGATTATAAAAGTAAACTCCATGGCAAAAATAAAAGCTGAGTGGGGGTTCCCCTTTAATATATCAACCCTCATCCAGGATTAAGGTCTGCTATGATCCTAACTGCTGCACAACTGAAGTGGGGTGTTCCCCTGTAATATCCATACTCATCGAGCATTAGCCCCGTTTCACTTGTATGTGGCTCTGCGTGCTGTGAGTGAACTGCAGCCTGTTCATTTGAATGGGCTGTTGTGCCTGTGTTTTCTGCAGGGAAAGGGTCCCTGCACCTTTTTTAAAACTCAGTTACATGGAAATTGCCAGTGGAACTGACGACTTTGGTTAGTTTTTCCCACAGTAGTCTATTGTTGATTTGATTAGGCCTGCAGTGTCTGCTCATGTGGGTTATACATTGTTCTAGTTAAAAACCAGGCCTTTTTTTCTCAGAGAATAGGTGAAGGAAAAGAATGATTAAGCGCTGAGGTTGGTGTGAAACGCGTGAACCTTTTATTCCCCCTCCAGCACACAGTATGGTGTTTTAAAGCTGCTTTTACATACAAAAAATTGGATATGTGCTTTAGTGCAGCCTCCTGGACTTTCTTTTGATTGATAGGTGCAGGAACTCCCCTTATACGTCACCTCTTGTCTCTGCCCCCTACTCACCTCTGAGCATCGTTACTTGGTTCCTCCCACTACCCAACTCCTAATACTGCCCCTTTTAAAGAATACAGAACCACGTATCATTTTGTGGTGCTAAGTAATTCATATGGAATTTGGTAACGATAACGAGAAAATAAGTAAAATAGATTTACTACAGCCATCAAAACAATAGATCCCCCAGCAAAAGCGGACCCTCCCAGAAACAAAATACCCCTCCACCAACAATAGATCCACCCCAGCAACAATAGACCCCCAGGAGCAACAAAAGATATCCCAGCAGCCAGCAACAAAAGATCCTTCCTAGCAACAAATGACCACCCAGCAACATAAGACCCACCCCAGAAAAAATAGATCCCCCACCAGAAACAATAGACCTCCCCAGCAAAAAGACACCCCCTTCCCCCGCAAAAATAGATCTCCTCCACCGTCAATATATCCCCCAGCAGTTTTCATCGGTAGACCCTCCAGCACCCCTTGCCATTACATATATTCAGTGCTGGAGGTGCCGGAAATGCATTCCTCCACATTCCTGCTGAAAAAAAAAAAACCTGTTAAAAACTGTTTAGTAATCAGATTGTGTATGAGTTAATCTCTATGAAGATTTGTAGTCTAGTGCACACATTCAGCATTGCATTAAGGACAGTGAAGAAAATGTATTATGGTATTAATTATGCTACGTAACTGATTGCTTTATTATGAGTTACATGCATTTATAATAAATGTTTCTATTGGTTTTAGGTGTACCAGGCATAACTGGTTTGCCTGGATTAAATGGAGTTCGTGGACTTCCAGGTGCATCAAATGTGTCCGGGATCCTGGGAGATATTGGGCTTCCAGGGCCTACTGGACAGACAGGTAGTTTTCTTTCTTTGGAACAGGTTTTTTCTTTCTTTTTACCACAGAACTCTTTAAATATTTTCAGGTCTTAAAATACGCAGAAAATAAATGCAGGCAATTGTAAAAAAGAAGTTTGAAAATTGTAGCTCCTTACATTAGTGGTCAGTGTAGAAGTGTAGAAGTGTGTCTTTGAAAGTGAAAGTGAAAGTAAAAGAAAATCTCACATTTTGGGTTGTCCCTAGAAAAGTAATAGAAGAGAAATCTTCCAATGGGGACACTAGTTCTGGTGACCCAAGGAATTCAATTATTTTTCAAGGATTTCCTCTCACTTCTTGTTTAGTTATGGGACAGGAAGTGAAGAGAAATCTCCGCAATGGGACACAGATGGCAAAAAATATGACCCTTATTTACCCCATCCATAAAGAAAAAAAAATGCCTATAGTTCTACTTTAAACCTTTTGACATGCTTCTAGTGATTACACACCTGTTCACCAGTTTGCACCAGAGACACCTGCGAACATGCTCCACTGGGCCCTCCTAGTACACAGGGCTCACTCGGGCCCACTCACTGGCCACGAGTACAGTCCAGAGCACTGGCAGAATTCCGTGTCTGCTATCTGCACGCATGTTGTGTCTCAGACAAGGAGCTCTCCTATAGTGCTTACTCACTACACCCCTGGTCACTCCTGATAACAATATGTTCTTTGGGGTCACCACTTACTTCAGGCCTGAAGATTTTCCATGGTTCCAGGATAACACTTCTCCCTGTGTATGTATCATCACCATAGCTAGACCAGGTTTGCGATTAGTTGGGATCACCGGGATTCTTCTTCAAATGTGTGATACAAAAGTTGCACTGTCTAGCCTGTACTTAGGGGTGTGTTATCTCAGGTTACTGAGTATCCACTTCAGACACCTGAAACAGCCAGAAGCTCAGTCCAACGCAATTTTATTGTAGCAGTAATAATTCCAGTAAATCAGCATTTCTCCCATCATCCATCAACTACGTCTTCAATTTTAAGGATAAGTTCACCTTTTGTAACACGTTACATGTTACACCCATGTTCAGGGTGTAATACGTAACATGTTACTGTTGCAGCAGCACCCGCACCTCCCGATCCCCAATGAGTCAGTGACAATGACAGTGAGCCCTGTACCGCAGAGTTCTGTGAATAGAGAACTACATTTGCTGCCGTCGGCTTGTAGTTCTCAATGAACTACCAGGGAGATCATGAGCACTCTAAGTAGTTCATTGAGGCTTCCTGTCATTCAGTAACTGCCTGCTGGTATGAAGTATGGGTAGACAGCTACACTGACAGTCTTCAGGAGCCTGAGATTGCACCCGTTATTTACTGATCTGCTGATTGTGTGTGCAATGCTTTGCAGGCTCCTAGCTAAAAAAAAATAATAATAAATGCACATTTTTTACCTGTAAAAAGATGTGCATTTATTTATTTATTTATTTATTTTATAAAGGTGAACTTATCCTTTAAGCAATCAATAGTTCCAAATAGTGTGACAGTGTACCTTCATGTGCCCAGCTTCAGGGATGTCCTTCCAGGGGGTGAGAAAGAATAAAGTTTTAGTCCTCTATGTCATGCTCTCTCCCATGGCTTCTCTCTTCCCATCAGCCAACTACTTCCCTGTGCTAAGCTCTACCCAAGCTTCCTGGAAGGATGTTAAAAGAGAAAAACACTCAAGGGGCAACAAAGTGGCCCCTGCCTACAACTGGATACAAAAGTAATTCAGCATCAGTTTAGTCCAGTCAGAGAGCCCAATATCCACAGGCATGTCACATGCTGCAGAACCCTGAATCAGTGGTCAGATGGTCCACCAGTAAGGCTAACTTGCAAAATAGTAGTGACTTTTTGATAGAATGTAACCATGAATCTGACAATATTGGGCTATATAATTATCTAAAACAGTAGTAATTACAGTAGGTGATCTAGATTATAATACGATTTAAAACACGCATACCAAATGTGGAAACATTGCAGAAGCTAGACACCACACTTTAGCTGAAAAAAAATGGAAATCTGTATATACTGTAGTTCACATATAGAAGAGAATGAAAGTCATGGTGACATCACACATTATAACTTCTCTATAAGAATAGGAAAATCTTTGTCATGACAGATATCTGTCTACATATGACCAACTATACTATTCGAAGGCTTTCTGTGAGAACCTGAAAAGCATAGTCAGAGCAATCAGTATTTAATACATGTTTCTTGGGTTTGTTTTCAGGGTATCCAGGACCACAAGGAAGACCAGGTGTGTCCTCTCGACCAGGTGTGAAAGGAGAGTCAGGACCTTTTGGAATACTAGAATTGTTGGAGAGAGAGGAGTTCCTGGTGACAGAGGGGCCCAAGGCTCTATTGGTATTTCTGGTTATTTTGGACTAAAAGGTAATGTGTACTATCAATATCCTGCTTTAATTAATCTTTTTTTGTAATGCTGCCCTGCATAACACTGTTTTTTTTTTTCATATTGAAAGGTGAGAAAGGTCAACAGGGCTTTGATGGAGGCTTTGGATTACCTGGATTTCCAGGAGACAAAGGGCCTAAAGGACCAAAAGGTGACAGAGGGGCTGCAGGTCAGTACCAAAACACTTTTACCCAATCTGTGCTGGGAATGTATTTGTAGTCATACTTTCTATGACAACAAGAGGATGTTTTTGTACCAGGTATTAGAAACTTACCACAACAAATGCACCACTGTATGAACCTACATCCCCAAACATTGTTTCTCGAATTCTATGGCAACCTTAAAAAAATGAATATTATACTTTAGTTTCACATCCAATCACTGGCTAAGTCCTGCCGCCTCAACTTCCACAACATTTCCAAAATCCTGCCCTTTCTGACCAATGACCCCACAAAACAATTTATCCACACTTTGGTTATATCCTGCCTTGATTACTGCAACTCCCTCCTCACTGGTCTACCGTTACACAGGCTATCCCCCCTTCAGTCTATTATGAATGCTGCTGCTAGACTCATACACCTTACCAACTGATCAGCAACTGCTGCCCCTCTCTGCCAATCCCTTAATTGGCTTCCATTAACCCAACATATAAAATTCAAAATACTAACCACAGCTTACAAAGCCATCCGTAACACTGCTAATCACCAACCTCATTCGCAGATATCGTCCAAATCTCCCGCTCCACTCCTCCCAAGACATCTTACTCACTAGCTCCCACGTCACCTCCTCCACGCTTGCTTCCAGGACTTTTCTAGAGCCTCTCCCATTCTATGGAACTCCCTACCGCAGTATGTCCGGTCAGACCCCACCCTGTCTGCCTTTAGGCGATCTTTGAAAACTCACTTATTCAGGGAAGCCTACCCCACCTCCACCTAAGAACTGTACTTGAGCCACCTCCATCAGATCATCCACTGCAGCTATCACCTTTTGTACCACCTCCTCCTTCCTTTAGATTGTAAGCTCCACGAGCAGGGCCCTCCTATTCCTTCTGTACTGAAATGTATTGTAATTGTACTGTCTCCCTTTATATTGTAAAGCGCTGCGCAAACTGTTGGCCCTATATAAATCCTGTATTATAATAATAATAATAATTATAATCGTTTCAGCTTATTTTCCTTTCTCCAGGTTTAATGACCAGCCCTTAAATGTTTAAAGGTATACAGCTAAAGTGGTTGTACACCCTTACATATATGCAGTGAAGAACTAGCCTCAAATGATACACAGGGAAGAAGCTTCTCTTCTCTTCATCTTTTCAAGTCCAGAATTTATACAGCTTGTCTGAACTTCCAGAAAGCATGGGGCGGAGTGCTCAAGTTACACTCCGCAGATCTTAGTGAGGAGAGCTCTGAGAGCTGATTGGATGGAAGGAACCCCCCCCCCCTCTTCCTCCTCCTCCACCCAGCTCACAGGAGCAGAGCTGAGGCTCTCAATCACAGGGTGTGTGCTGGTGGTCCCTCCCCTGTCACCTTGTATTCTCTTGATATCAGGAAAACTTGTCAGAAGTGATTCATGCTGATAGCAGAGGAACAAAGCAGTAGACAGAAATGACACTTAATGCTCTTAATTGAGACACACACACTATAGAGGAATACACTTTGTTCATATTTAATTTCTGAGGTTTACAACCACTTTAAATAGAAAAACATAGCATTAAAGTAAATAATGGCGAGGGAGGAAGCCTAGGGTTTATTTTTTTTTTTTCAGCCTTCTGGAGAACTCCTCGTTTTGTACTTCCATTTACTTTTTGGAAAACTGCAGTTCTGGAACCATCCAGCCCCAAGCCTGTGATGCAGACATCCATTTTCAACTCTTTTCAATGCTTGCGCAGTCTCCTTATGTGCAGCACTGATGCAAATACAAAAAAAGCTCTGCGCTATCTAAAATAATATTTCAGTGTATTTATAGACTATAAGCACAGAAATTCTGTCAATATAATTCTTACACCAAAACATCCTTTTTGTATACAAAAAACTCAAATAAATCCAAAAATCAAATTATACAATCATATACTGTGCATTGTGTCCAAACGAGTTACATGCTATTTAAAAAGGAATGTGGTGTGATTCCTGTCTGAATCGCATGCAGTTTCCCTTACTGCTCCTGTGTGAACCCAGGCTGAAGTCACTATGACAAGCTTGGGTTCACACAGGAGTGGTGCTGGAAACTGTATGTGATTCAGACAGGAATCGCACCACATTCCTGTTCAAACCTCATGTGATTCTTTGCACTGCAATTTGAGCCCATTCATTTTGAATGAGCTCAAATTGCACTGCAAGGGTATCGGTCTTAGGTATTGGAGCATTTGCACGGGTACAAGTACTCATGTAAATGCTTAGTACTGGCACCAATTCCGGTATCAGTATCGGTGCAACCCCAGTTGGAGGTATTGATGTGACCTCCAAATTCTCCAGATCTCAATCCAATCGAGCATCTGTGGTATGTGCTGAAAAAAAAAGTCCAATTTATGGAGGCCCTCCTTGCAAGTTCAAGAACTTAAAGTATCTGCTACTTATTGGCTTTGTGCCAGATACCACAGAGGTCTAGTGGCATCAATGCTTGACTGGTCAGGGCTGCTTTGGTGGCAAATGGGGGACCTACTCAATATTAGGTGGGTGACCATGAAGTTATGGCTGACCCATGAATATTTATACAGTCTTTGTTTTACAAATAAACATTGGCATACATGGAAAAGGATTCCCAGAGCACTGTGGATTTTCTAAAGAGAGAACCCAGCAGCAATTGTCTCCTTTCCTTTCTCTCATTGAAATGTTGGACAGAGTCCTTTAGTGGGAGTATGGATTACTGCTCTGACCGTTTTACTTGTTTGTAAATACCAGTTACTAATAAGTTACTGAGCTGTTTAATCGGGAGGTAAGGAGAAAAATGTGATCCCTAGAGGTTAAACTACAGATTATAAAAGAGAGTGCAAAATATTATTATTCAATATTTCATATTTACTTACTAGTTCACTAAATAGAACATTTTTTTTAACAACTGTATTTTTTGTTCTAACCATAATAGAAAAATATATTTTTTTTCCTTTTAAAAGGTCTACAGGGTGCCCCTGGATCCCCAGGATTATCACCTGAACCCTTGAACTTGAAAGTGGACCAAGGGCCTCTTGGTGTGTTGGGAATTGTTGGTCCACAAGGCATCCAAGGTGACATGGGACCTCTTGGTCTTGTAGGCGATAAAGGTATGGCTGTTTCAAGAGCATTAGATGTCATGCATGTGCAAAAATGTGTGAGGCAATGTCAGTAGTATGTTTCAACAGTTGGCATCTTTTACATGTATAATATCCTTGCTGTAGTGTCAGCTGCAGGATGTTAAAACCAACACAAGATGGCAGTGTCCTGCAAATTCAGTGGCACTCACATTGTGCAGAGCAGCCCCATGGACCTTGTATGCTGAATAGCAGGATTTAGCAGGGGAGCCATGACTGAGGATTACTTTTCCCAGAAGTGCTGGCGCGTGGGCCGAGGCAGATATATACAGAAGCCCAGGAGACTGGACAGTAATTGAGAGGGGAGTGAGCTGGAGAGAGGAAGTAGAGAGAGTTGTAACGACCGCCGGAGAACCAGACCAGGTCACAGAGTCGGAGAGAAGGGAAGCAAGGAGGAGACGCTGACTGCTGACCTTTCCACCTTGTTCAGAGAGACAGTCTGCCAACAGATGACCCAGAGCACAGTGACCGGACGGAATGCTGCACATGAGGCCGGAGAACCTGTGGGGCCCCCATCCGCTGACAGAGACCTCCAGGACCTGCTGGAAGCCAGCCTGAACCATTGGCCTATCCTTCTAAAGGAACTTCTGCTGCCATTACCATAGGTCACTGCATCCCAGAGTGGAGTTTCCCTTGCCAACAAGCCCATTTGCCAGTTTTACATTTTATTTGCTTAAAAGCTGCTCTTTTCCCAACACATTAAAGGAGACATCACGCAAGTCAAGTGTCAGGGCCGGAGCGGGGGAATGAACAGGCAGGCCTTATGGTAAGTCACGCACCGACTGACGACAGCCACCACCCACAGACCGGAGTCCCTCAGGGCGCAGAGTCTAAGCCCCAGGCTGCCTTTCACCAGGGCCCTTGATGGTGTGGATGGACTTGACGCAGCCTGAGACCAGGTTGCGACCCCCCGAGTAACCCCAGCTGTGGTAACGGCTGCCGCCAATGGCGTATAGCTAGTGGGAGTCAGATGGGAAGACGTATAGCGTAGTCGGACAGGCCGGGTCGATAACAGCAGAACAGACAGTACAAGACGGTAGGCAAGAATACTCAGGTCACGGGCCGGGTTCAGCAACGGGAGGTCAGGTAATGGGATAAGGCAGAGAAATGTCTTGTCAAAGCCGGGTCGGTTACCAGGAGAGCAACGAGAGCTGAACGAGAGCTTGCTGCAATGTAACATACAGGACACGAATGCAAAGAGCAGCTGCAGACAGCAGGCTTAAATGTGATCAGCCACACCCTCCTGGAGGAGGAGCCGCAGAGGCCTGAAAGCATAAAGGCTCCCACCTTGCTTTGCAGAAATCTAAGATGGATGCCAGCACATGGAGCAGCAAGCTCTGAGGAAAGGTAGGACCTTGACATCAAGTGCCATTTAAAGAGAAAGTCTTTGGCCTTTCTTCTACTTCCCCTTTGTATCAATCCTGTCAGGAACTATCACCTACATCACCGACAGTCTTGTCTATCTGCGTACCAACTGGGCCTCAGTGAGCGCGCAAAAGTGTCCTCACTGCACTTAAAGGACATTGACTACCCTGGTCTTCTACCTCAGATTTAAACCTTGCTGTCAGACTCTGAGGACCCAAAGTGAGCTAGTCTCCTTGTTGTTAGTTCTTATTGCTCACTGGGGTTGCTACCACCTCAGATCGGAGGCATTGGGTTCATTTCTAAAAGCAAGCCTGTTAATATTGATAGAACTTCTGCTAAATGTGTTACTTATTTGCTTAGAGTTGCTAAGAGTAATTGTTGCTACTCTAAGTATCAATACCAGTTTGCATTGTTCAACAAAGTTTTCATTGAAGTTTAATATAAACCTCATATCAGTTTATTCTAATCTGTGTTTGAGTTTACTTTCTGGTGTTAATTTACTCAAAGTCAAAGGAATCTTGTGGTGTCAGCAGGGGCTGAGCTGTTAGAGACAGGATCCAGAACATCAGGAAGCCCGAAAAATAACCCAGCAACTCCTAAGGGGGTATTGCTATACATGTGTATGACAAAACTATCTGTGCTGCATTTACCAACTAGTAATATTCTGCTCCTGTAGACATAAAAGCGAGAATCTGATTTTGATTAACAAAATATTCCTCAAAATGCAGTGTAGAATCAAATGTTAAAATATGTAAGCTTCAATAAATGTAATACCTATGAAAAAATCTGATAATATCTATACCAGGTAGGACTTGGAGCTATAGAAATATATTGAACTTGGAGGAAAATCTTTTTTGAGCTGCAGTTCATACATGCTTTGTTAAGGTTTCATGTTCAAGATAGAGTATTTTTAAATATGTATAATTCTAGGAGCAGGCAATAAAGTATAGAGTGCTGAAATCTTTAAAAAGTATATTTATTTTACAGGTGCTGTGGGTCCTCAGGGTAAGCAAGGAGTACCTGGAATACCTGGAAGGTTTGCTGCCCCTGGTGTGAGAGGAGACCAAGGATCAATGGGACAAAGAGGACCTGATGGAGCTAGAGGTATGTACACCATCTTTGACTGATATCCAATAACTTGCTGGACTGAGTGCCAATAAAGAAAAAAATTTATAATTTATATAAATTTGTCATTAGGTTGCATCACAAAAGGGAACCTCTGTCCCCAAACTTATATTAAATATATATCATATATAAAAGTAGCTTTGTACTTTGCACTAGATCACTTGATTGGAAGGTAAATACAATGATGCTGATCAGTATTCAGGTCAGTTTAAAACTATATCTACAATCCTTTTTATAAAATAATGAATACATAGAACAAAATAGAGAACCCACTCAATTTCATTGAACTTTAAAGGGTTACCTCTTTGTACATACCCCATGCAAAGACTGTAAGAGAAAGACAATGGCAGACTAATGCTGATTGACTGTCAGTTAGATGATCAGTGGATAAGAAGTCATGTTTGCCTGCCAGCAAATTGTCTTTGTGGTTTCATCTATGACTGAGATTAGCATATGACTGTTTAGCACTGGAGCAAAGTGGGGCCATGGCAGTTGTGAAATCATGAAATTGTCGTTTTTGTTTTTTTTTTTGCTTTAGCACAGATATAGTTGCGATGGTGCCTATGTACAAGTCTGATCCCTATGCACACTTTATACTGACATACATCTGTGTACACACTGAAAAACAAGTTGTCATTTTCTCTTGTGTTTTGTAGGAACTTCTGGAGTACCTGGTAGTGCTGGTCTGCCAGGGATGCCAGGAAGAAATGTGAACATTGGCTATCTTTTAGTGAAACACAGCCAGACTGATCAAGAGCCAATGTGTCCTACTGGCATGGCCAAATTATGGAGTGGATACAGTCTATTGTATCTTGAAGGACAGGAAAAAGCGCACAATCAAGACCTGGGTAAACTATTTATTTTGTAATATTTTCTATAACTGGGATGTGAAGTCAGGTCTTTGAGATTTTCATAAAGCTGACTAAAAATGGTACTAAAATATAAAATCAAAATTGACATATAAAATGCAGTCCATCACTAATCAATAATAATGAAGCAGTCTGTTTTACTGTTTCCCTCCATAATTTAGTTTCTTTACCTGTTAATCCTTCTGTTATTTTTCTTTTCAATAGATTTTTATAGTTTTTTTTTAGTATTTCAAGTACAGAATACAAACTTGACCGCTATCAAAGACAAAAACAGAATTTCAACTAGAACATTAGTCAACAGCGGTTTAAAATGTATGAAATATAGTTAAAGCAGGTAATGGTTTGAATAACATATGCAAATACAGAGATAGGACACATATTTCATGTCGGATAGTTAATCAGTGCAGAGACAAGTTGTTCAATGATAGTCCCGCAGCTGACACCAGGCCCGGACTGGCCACAGGGCATACCGGGCACTTTCCCGGTGGGCCAGGGCCACCGGGCTTAAGGATAGTGGTCTGTTAATGACCGGGCCGCAAAACAGGAGGTAAGCAGTGACCGCAGTCTGGTGAGAGCTAACTCAGACCACGGTCGCCACTCTCCTCCAGCTATGCGGCTATGCCCAAAGCAGGGCTGACAGGAGGAGCGGCAGTCACAGCTCCAGGCAGCGACAGGCAGGATCTCTAGGGACACTGTAATGTAAAGGGGCACTATGATATAAAGGGGACTGTGCTGTAAAGGGGCACTGTAATCAATACAGTATGCCTCAGAATTAAAGAAAAATCTTTCTGCGCTTAATGGACGTAAAACCTTATTATTTTAGCTGCTGTCACTCAACTCTTTAACCACCGAGTGTAATCACAATTAAAATTAAATAGTGAAGCGCTTAAATCCTATGCAAAATTATACTAAAAATGTATTATAAGTGCGACAAAAAACTCTAAATCATATCAGCATCATGTGCAATAACATTTCCTCCCAGCAGGGGGAGTAAAAATCAAGTTTTTGAAATTAACACAAACCTCTATTGTGAAAAAACATACACAGTGATATTCTTATAAAATATATATGTTCAAGAACTAAAAGTGCATATATTACAAACACAAAATGATAAACAAACCACAAATAAGTGATTATCACACTCAATATAATAATTAATCTTCTTATATATCCATGTGAAAAAATACTAAAAGCAAGTGAACACCATAATAAAAGATATAAGTATAAATGCTTTTCTTCAAAGTACAATAAAATAATCCTAAGTGCAAAACCAATCCGTGCATCACACTTAAAAAAGATTGCTCTATTTATTAATAAAACAGACAATCACTAGTGCAAAACAGTCCATGCAAGTGCAACTATATGTGCTGCTGATAAACGTGATCCACTTCTAGTGTATACGGTATCCTCCAAATGGCAGCAATGCCTGCTCACCTCCCCTCCTAGACCCACACAGGGCCAAACAGCAATTTCCACCTCAGTGGTATCTCCACTTGGCAATCTCCTCCTTCCCGGATATCTTCTCACTTATCTCCACTCCCCGATATATAGTGATACAAAAAACTTTCCATAGTGCAGTAGTTTATTGTAATCAATACAGTGCTCCTTTATATCACAGTGCTTCTTTACATTACAGTATGGAGGACAAACTCTGTGAATATTCCATCACCAACTGCACTGCGAATGCCCTTGCACAGGAGATGTGAAAGCATCATGTAGTTCAGACAACATCCCTGCAGAAGAGACAAAAACTGAAGTAAAAAAAAGTGTGGGGGGGGGAGAAAATAAAATAAGTAAGTAGGAGGTAGATGTTTGCAACACTTCAAGTCAGTTAGTGAGGTATCATTGGGTTATAGTGAAGTAAAGCTATTCGCTGAGATTTCCAGGTGAGTATATTTAATCCACGGAGTCCAAATTTTAAGGAATCTCTCGTGGAAGTCTGAGAGTATGGTAGCCAATTTTTCATTTATTAGTCAAGGCGGCTATGAACTTCCCTGAAGGAAAAAAATAGTTGTTTCCACCTGCTGTTATTTTTCAACTTTCTTTAACAGACCAAACTGTGCAGAAAAAGTTAGAGGGTTGAGACAAATCATTTAACACTGACAGGGGTGCTTACAATGGTCAGCTTTTGTTGATTTATGTAAACAAATTTCCCCCAAAAGGAAAGAAAACTGTTTCTGTACCTGCTTAGAAAAGTGTTAGCTGAAGTTATGCTTTGTTTTCCTAATCACTTATATGAAGTCAATCTGAATCTACTAGTTCTTCTAAGACTACACTATGCACCACAATGAAATAAAAAATATACTGGCAACATTTTAGTACAATACCATGCATTTAGATTGTAAGCTCGAAAGAGCAGGGCCCTTGAACCCCTCGTGTATTGTATTGTTACTGTCTTGTCTCATGTTCTGTCCCCCCTGCTACTGTACAGCGCTGAGCATACCCTTTGGCGCTATATAAATACTGTATAATAATAATAATAATAATTTAGGTACACTGCAATGCAGGTTCATCCATTTAGCACATTCATTTCGAATAGCACTGAAGCACACTAATACATGCATGGTGCATTGAACCAGGGGGCGAACTGACCATTTGGAAACTCGGCACTGCCTGAGGGCCCGGGGTCAGTAGGGGACCCCATGAGATGCCCCTGGTACCTTTTTTTTATAGGCTTTTTTGAGTTTGGGCAAGGACATAGGGGCCCCATGATCCCCTATTGCCCGGGGGCCCCATGAGTTGTCAGTCCGCCCCTGATTGCACCCTAAGTGTGAAGCCATCCCAACACTTGAAATCCCTAAAAATTAACCCTGACTTCATCCTTAACTGAACCACTTACCTAAACCTGGTATTGGTGAACCACCAAAAAAGGGATGACAAAAATAAGTAGCAGTACATTCTAAAATAATTAGAAGCATATTTATAAAGTATTGAATATGATATTCACTAAACATTAATTGGTGAAAGCTACATTCACTACTTAATAAATAAGCCCATTAGCCCTAGTTCGCACCGCCGCAATTTCAGGTGCGATTTGGGAATTGAAATCGTACCTGAAATCGGATCTAATGAATGTGAATGTGAGTGTCTTAACCAGTGGCGGACTGACCATTTGGAAACTCGGGCACTGCCCGAGGGCCCCGGGTCAGTAGGGGGCCCCATGAGATGCCCCTGGTACCTTTTTCATAGGCTTTTTTGAGTTTGAGCAAGGACACAGGGGCCCCATGATCCTCTATTGTCCGGGGGCCCCATGAGTTGTCAGTCCGCCCCTGGTCTTAACATATGCGATTTGCTTCAGAGCGATTTCAAAAGTAGTTCTTGTGTTACTTGTTCTGCAATTTTCTGCGATTTCACATACATAGACTACAATAGAAATCACACTGCAAAACGCAAGTGTGTCTAAATATGTGCGATTTGTGATCATTTTAATTAAACCTTTCCTAGTTTTTTCCTACTGTCTCTGCCTGTTCAAGCCTGACCCTCACATTGTTCCTCCCTGTGACTAGTACAGCCCCACCCCACATCCCCTCTGAAGTCCCCACTGACAAGTAGCAGGACATGGACATTGCAAGAAATCACCAGAAAACGCAGGAAATGGTTGGGAAATCTTCACAAGTTGCAAACAAATCTTCAGAAAACGCAGTGAAATTGCAAACAAAATGCACAATTTGAACCAAGCCTTAGCCACCGGTCACACTGGATGCGATTGTTTTCTTTGCCACATTTTTTGAAGATTACCCAACGCGATTTCTTGCGTTTTCAACTCCGTTTTGAAGTGCAATTTCTATTGTGAAATTGCAACAAACTGCAGAAAAAGTAATACAAGAACTACTTTTGAAATCGCACTGCAGCAAATTGCATATGTTAAGACAGTCACATTCACATTCATTAGATCCTATGTCAGGTACGATTTCAATTCCCAAATCGCACCAGAAATCTCGGCAGTGTGACCGGGGGCTTAGTGTAAACACCAATGCCACAACACTTTGGTGCTAAGGTTCACACTGAATGCAACTTTGAAAACGCGCTACTTCACTTGAAGTACCGCGATTTCAGGCCTGCAGATCAGTGACATTTGTACCTCTGATTTCACTGTGGCTTGCAACTTCATTTAGCAGAAATCAATGCAAGTCACAATGAAATCAGAAAAAAAGTAGTAAGCGCTCTACTTCAAATCGCACTGAATAAGACCATAGAAATACATTAGATGCAATTTCAGGTGCGATTTATAAACCGCATGTCGCACCTGAAGTCGCACCAGAGTGAACCAGGGCTAAGACGTGATTTGAAATTGGACTGCAAGGCCAGGTTTACACTTGAGCATGAGGTTATCCAAGCTTGTCTGGAGCGCTTTTTTTATGCATGTCTCTGCATGCATTTTCTGACGTTTTCAAGTACGAGCATTTTTTCTTTTAGTCAAAGCTAGTTACTAGAAATAGGAGAGGCAGGAAATTGCATTACTTGCATTTTTCAGGTTCTTCCATAAAAGTTTATACAGATCAAAACCCTGTACCTACACCCAAAGAAGCTCATGTACTTTTTCAAGCTTTGAGCAACATATTCAAATGACACAATGCATAAAGACCCCTCATGTTAAGCATTGAGGCAGTTCTTGAAAAGCGCTTCAAATCACTTGTGAATCAGGTGTGCACCAGGGCTTAGGGTGTCATTACTACATTGTATTATTATTAATATACAGGATTTATATAGCGCCAACAGTTTCTCAGCGCTTTACAATATAACGGGAGACAATACAGCAACAGTACAGTTCAATACAAGAGGGCCCTGCTCCTTGGAGCTTACAATCTAAGAGGGAGGGGCTGGTGGTACAAAAGGTAATAACTGTGGGGGATGGACTGGTAGGAGGAATAGAAGATTCCATTATTAGCTGAAGGCAGGATAGGCTGAAGAGATAGGTTGTCAGAGATCGCCTAAAAGTGAGCAGAGTAGGCGATAGTCTGATAAATTATTATTATTATTATACAGTATTTATATAGCGCCAAAAGGTTTGCTCAGCGCTGTACATTATAGTGAGGGACAGAACATGAGACAATACAGTAACAAAACAATACATTAGGGGTTCGAGGGCCCTGCTCTTTCGAGCTTACAATCTAGGAGGGAGGGGATAGTGGTACAGGAGGAAGTGGCTGTGGGGGGTGGAGTGGTAGGAGGAGTGGAGGAGATCGGCTGTAAGGTGAGGGTGGGGTAGGCTTCCCTGAAGAGGTGGGTTTTCAGGGTGCGCCTAAAGGTGAGGAGGGTAGGTGACAGTCTGATGGTTTGGGGTAGTGAGTTCCAGAGGATGGGGAAAGTCCTGGAGAAGTCCTGCAGTCGGACTTGGGAGGAGGAGACCAGGGAGCTAGAAAGTAGGAGGTCTTGTGAGGAGCAAAGAGTACGGGTTGGGTGGTATTTGGGTATCAGGTCGGTGAGGTAGTTTGGGGCAGCGTTATGAATGGCTTTGTATGTCAATGTTAGTAGTTTGAATTTAATGCGTTGGGCAATCAGGAGCCAGTGGAGGGAATGACAGAGGGGGGCAGCAGAAGCGGAGCAGTTGGTAAGGTGGATGAGTCTGGCCGCTGAGTTCAGGATAGACTGAAGCGGGGATAGTCTGTGATGAGGTAGGCCGGTGAGAAGGGAGTTGCAGCAGTCCAGAAGTGAGCTAATAAGGGAATGAACGAGTTGTTTAGTAGTGTCTGGGGTTAGGAACGAACGTATTTTGGAGATGTTGAGGAGGTGGAGCCTGCATGAGTTTGCCAGCGATTGGACATGGGTTGGAAGGACAGGTTTGAGTCTAGAGTGACACCTAGGACTTTGGCTTGCGGGGTGGGACTGATGGTGGCGTTGTTGGTCGTGATGGAGAGGATGGGGGGAAGGGGGCGCGGGCTGGGGGGAAAATTAGGAGCTCGGTTTTGGAAAGGTTCAATTTGAGGAAATGGAGCGACATCCAGTCTGATATGTCGTTCAGTAGGTGGGTGATACGGGCAGAGACTGAAGGGGTGAGGTGAGGGGTGGAGAGGTAAATTTGCGTGTCATCGGCGTAGAGGTGATAGTTGAAGCCGTGGGAGTGTATCAGTTTGCTGAGGGAGGAGGTGTAGATGGAGAAGAGAAGGAGCCCAAGGACAGAGCCTTGGGGGACCCCAACAGAGAGGGGGAGAGAGGGAGATGGGTAGCATTATAGGTAACGCTGAAAAAGCGTTGGGATAGATAGGAGGAGAGCCAGGAGAGAGTGGAGTCTCTGATGCCAAGTGAGTGTAGTTTATTAAGGAGGAGGGGGTGGTCAACTGTGTCGAAGGCCGCGGAGAGGTTGAGGAGTAGGAGGACTGAGTAGTGGCCATTAGCTTTGGCGGTTAGCAGGTCATTAGTGATTTTGAGTAGGGCGGTTTTGGTGGAGTGTAGGGGACAGAAGCCAGACTGTAGTGGATCGATTAGGTTGTTGTCAGTGAGGTGGGCTCTTAAGCGATTGTAAACTAAGCGCTTAAGGAGCTTGGATGTAAATGGCAGCAGGGAGATGGGTCTAAGGTTATTCAGGTTGGTGGGGTCCGTGGAGGGTTTTTTGAGTATGAGGGTGATGTGCGCGTGCTTTAGGGGGAGGGAATGCGCCAATACAGAGGGAGAGATTGAAGATGTGGGTGAGGGAGCGTAGGATGGAGGAGGAGGGTGACCGGAGGAGTTGTGTGCGGACAGGGTCAAGGGGGCAAGTGGTGAGGCGGGCTTCTGAGAAGACCTTAGTGGCCTCTTCAGTGGTAGCAAGGCTGAAGGAGTAGAGTGTTGGGGAGGTTATAGTGTGCGGGATGTTAGGTGTGGTGGGGGGCAGGGTGGTTGCGAAGTCAGAGGAAGGGAGAGTTGATGGGGTTATAGTGGGAGGGAGGCTAGGTGGGGAGGTAGATTGAGCATTAGCGATGTCCTTACGGATTGCGTCGATCTTGTTTTGTAAGTGATTGGCAATCTCGTGGGCGGTGAGTGAGGTACTGGGTGGAGGTGGGGGGGTGGAGAGTAGGGAGTTGAAAGTGGAGAAGAGCCGGCGAGGACAGATGGAGAGGGTGTTGATGAGGGTTTCGAAGTAGGCTTGTTTGGTGGCGTGGAGGGAGGAGGTGTAGGTGAGGAAGGCAGATTTGTAGAGGGAGAAAGCTCAAGGGGATCTGGTTTTGCATCATAATCGCTCCAGCACGCGACTACATCATTTAAGATTTTTAGTGAGGTCTTTCTGCCAGGGTTTAAAGCGGTTGGGGTCTAATGTTGTTTGTGGTTAGGGGTGCTAAGGAGTCTAAGGCAGCTGACAGTGAGTCGTTATACGCAGTAGTGGCCAGGTCAGGGCATGACAGTGGAAGGATACTGTCGTACAGACGGTCAGCTGCAGAATGGAGAGGGGTTCAGGTTGCGGAGGTTCCGGCTGGTAATGGGGTAATTGGGGTACAGAGTTCCAGAGGATGGGGGAAACTTTGGAGAAGTCCTGGAGATGAGCATGGAGGAGGAGACAAGGGAGCTAGAGAGTAGGAGGTCGTGCGAGGAGTGGAGAGTACGGTTTGGGTGTTATTTGGAGAAAAGATTGGCGATGTAATTTGGGGCAAAGTTATAAATGGCTTTATATGTTATTGTTAATGTTTTGAATTTTATCCGTTGGGCAATTGGAAGCCAGTGGAGGGATTGGCAGAGAGGGATGGCAGATACAGAACGGTTAGTAAGGTGGATGAGTCTGGCAGCAGCATTCATGATAGACTGAAGAGAGGATAGCCTGCGATTAGGTAGGACAATGAAGAGGGAGTTGCAATAGTCAAGGTGAGGAGAGCCCGTGAGAGATACGTTGCTTAGTAGTTTCAGAGGTTAAGAACAGGCGTATCTTGGAGATGTTATAGAAGGTGAAGTCTACAAGATTTGGACAGCGATTGGATTTGGGGCTGAAAGGACAGATTGTAGGCCCTGGCTTAGCAGAATCTTCATTCACTTCACTTATGACTCTGATATAAGGAACCAAGTGCAGGCCACTGTGGACCTAGGATACATGATCCTGGAACTGAAGTTAAAGCATAATTTTTTGCAATATAACAGTACTTAGATGTGTTGGATGCATTTGTTTTCTTTTTAACTTTGTTCCTTATTTTTATGTGGTGATTCTAACAGTGAAGCACTTCCTGTACTAGGGGACAACGCTGACCTTCTCTGTTGTAGAGAAGCAGTGTTATCACCCTAGGACAAGAACCATGTTAGGACTATGGCAATTCTCCATAATATAGTGTTCTGTGTTTCACAAAGAGAAATGGGAGCAATGCTAAGCATGCAGCAGAGGCAGACAGCACAGAATGTTATCAACTCATGAGGTTTGTGGCAGGATCTATGGAATATGACTTAAACAATATAGTGTAAAAAGTGCTGAATCTTTTCTTTACAGCCCACAGTATCAATGAAACCACTGATATTTCATTTCAATAGGTCTCGCTGGATCTTGCTTGCAGCGCTTCAGCACAATGCCTTTCCTGTACTGCAACCCAGGTGATGTGTGCTACTATGCCAGCCGTAACGACAAATCCTATTGGCTGTCAACCACTGCTCCTCTTCCAATGATGCCTGTGGTTGAAGATGAAATCAAGCCTTACATAAGTCGTTGTACGGTCTGTGAGGCTCCTGCTGTAGCAATTGCTGTTCACAGCCAAGATAGCTCCATCCCATACTGTCCAGAAGGCTGGCGAAGCTTGTGGATTGGATATTCATTTCTTATGGTATTTCATTTCTTTACCCTTACTTTGTTCAGTTACAAAGCCACCCTGTGTATGTGTAACAAGTATTCCATGACAGTTTATACTTCCAGTACATCAATATGTTGGTTTACCAATGGACTTTGATAAGATCTGGCAAAAGGTGCCTCATCTTCGTTTATCTGTTAATCATCTTCAGGTTTTTTATTAGATCCTTGTGAAAGAGCAGGTATACATATTAAAATGGAATCACATATTACATAAGCACAGGAGAACAAGACAGATAATAAAACTCCCTAAAAGAAGTTATCTTGTGCTCTAGCTTGAAAAAAACTGATTTGTCAGGCGGTTGAATTATGACCATGTAGGAACAGTGGACACAGGCATTTAAGAGGAAGTTTTAAAACTGAACTTTGGGAAAACAGCTTCAATACACAGTTGAAAGTCTTATATTAGAGCAGTGGTCTTGGTCTTTCTGTTCTTTCAGTCCTGAAATGTTCACAGCCCTGCACAAAGCACAGCCAACCTAGTGGCCCGACTTTTGATGCAGCTGGGTCACTTATGGACCCACAGCCCATGACTGGGCAATGAAGGGGTAGGAGATGGATGAGGTCTTCCCTCTCTTCCTGTCCTTGTAAGCACACTTGAATGGTCCCTAGTGCTGGCGCTTGGTTTCCTAATCAGGTCTGCTGCAAATGGGGATTGCATTCTAGGGGTTTTTAAAGCATAACTAAAAGCCAAACTTTTTTTTGTATTTTTGATCGAGTGAAGGTGGATTAGAACAATTATTAGGTTTCTTACTGCTGTATGTGCCCCCGTTAGAAAGATTCACCCTATTTGTCCTTTCTTTATTTGTCCTTACCATTATCATTGAAACTGAAAATAAAGAAAAACACAATTTTTGGGTTGTCCCCAGAAAAGTAATAGAGGGGAAATTTTCCAATGAGGACACGAGTCCTAGTGACCTGGGGGTCCTCAAGGAATTCCCTTAATTTGCAGGGATTATCTCTTGACTATGGGCCAGGAAGTGAAGGGAAATCTCCCCAATGGGACACTGATGGCAAAAATTAAACTGACAGGAGTTATAACCATCCCTTAAGCAGGCCATACATGGGTCGAATTCCGAACGATTTTGCGATCGAAAATTGAAAACACTGTTCGTTCTGTAATCCGATGGTGCCACCAATGATTTTGAAAATCGGTAGTTTTTCATGAATTTTCCAGCATGCCTGATAAACAAAATGGGGAGGAACCACGAAAATCGGCCGGTGCCATTGCCCCACTAACAAAGCATTGCCCCAATAACAATTATTCTGAGGTCCGATTTTCAAATGAAAAATCGTTCTGAAATCGACCCATGTATGGCCGGCCTTACTCTATCCAAATTGCCTATTGTTCTACTTTAATACATAATAATGTTAAATAATGCATGTTTTATAGCAGGTTGGAGTTTAACATTTAAAGGGAACGTAACAAACACATATTTAGAGATATTTCAGTCTTTACTTCAAATCTTTATGAACTTGCTCATTCAACCTTTATGCTGAAACTTGTCCTCGGAAAAATAATTTACTGTCATTATAACCCTCTCCCAGTGATGATGTTATTTGCCTGGCAGTCTTGCTGATACTTTGGCCTCAATGAAGCTTTTTGACTCCCTGACCTGAAAAATGTGAAACATAGATAAGCAATTCTGCCTTTACTTGGACTTTTCATTCACAGCATGCTTATTCCAGGCTGATTATTTAAAGAACTTTAGCCATGCACAGCCATTTTCAGGAGGACAGCAATGGCACCTCCTATATTTCTCAGATAGCAGGTATTCTTTAACAATCTTAAGATTAGATAGATACTGTATACCCACACAGGGAGTATATGATTTTCAATGTGGCTGCTTACTCTTATGACTTACTTTGTGAGAAAGCAGCAGAAAAGCACAACCATTATGGTAGGAAGTAGATAATATATTCCACTTTTAACACCATGAGCTGCAAAGGGCTGTATTGCTCTAGTGCCCCTCTTTGTCAAAGGATATCGTACATATCAAGAGTTTTAAATAGAGGCTAGCCCCATAAAACCCTCATCGCAATTTAATACAAGTCAGTATCCCTATACATAGACACAGTAGAATTACAGTGCCTTGAAAAAGTATTCATACCCCTTGAAATTTTCCACATTTTGTCATGTTACAACCAAAAATATAAATGTATTTTTTGTGATTTTATGTGATAGACCAACACAACTTGGCACATAATTGTGACATGGAAGGAAAGTGATACGATGGTTTTCAAAATTATTTTTTACAAATAATTATTATTATTATTATTATTATTACTACGAGTTTATATAGCGCCAAAGGGTTTGCTCAGCGCTGTACAATAGGGGGGGACAATACATGGCACAGTACAACAAAGACAGACAGCGTACGAGGGGTAAGAGGGCCCTACTCTTACGAGCTTACAATCTAGGAGGGAGGGGTAAAGGTACAGTAGGAAGTGGCTGGGGGGGATGAAGTGGTAGGAGGAATGAGGGAGGATGGCCGTTAGGTGAGGGTGGGGTAGGCTTCCCTGAAGAGATGGGTTTTGAGGCCTGAATGTTCACAGCCCCTCATGTGAATAGAGAAGGCGACAGTCTGATGGATTGGGGCAGTGAGTTCCAGAGGATGGGGGAGGACCTGGAGAAGTCCTGCAGTCGTGCATGGGAGGAGGAGACCAGGGAGCAGGATAGAAGGAGTTCCTGTGAGGAGCGAAGGGTACGGGTAGGGTGGTACCTGGTGATCAGATTGGTGAGGTAGTCAGGGGCAGTGTTGTGAACGGCTTTGTAGGTCAGGGTAAGGAGTTTAAATTTGATGCGTTGGGCAATCGGGAGCCAGTGGAGGGAGAGGCAGAGGGGGGTGGCAGAGGTGGAGCGGGTGGTAAGGTGGATGAGTCTGGCAGCTGAGTTCAGGATGGTCTGGAGCGGGAGAGCCTGCACTTGGGTAGGCCAGTGAGGAGGGAGTTTGCAGTAGTCAAGGCGTGAGATGATGAGGGAGTGTACTAGAAGTTTGGTGGTGTCTGGGGTGAGGAAGGAGCGGATCTTGGCAATGTTGCGAAGATGGAGCCTGCATGTGTTTGTGAGTGATTTGACATGCGGTTGGAGGGAGAGGTTTCGCGTCAAGAATGACGCCAAGGACTTTTGGCTTGCGGGGCGGAAGTGATAGTGGAGTTGTTGGTGATGATGGATAGGATGGGGGGGGGGGTGTGGGCAGGGGAAAGACGAGAAGCTTGGTTTTGGAGAGGTTAATCTTGAGGAAAAGTGTAGCGACATCCAGTCTGAGATGTCATTTAGGAGGTGAGTGAGATGCGGGCGGAGATAGTGGGGGTGAGGTGAGGGGTGGAGAGGTAGATTTTGGGTGTCGTCAGCATAGAGGTGATAGTTGAAAGCCTTGTGAGATTGTATGAGTTTTGCCCAGGGAGGAGGTGTAGATGGAGAAGAGAAGGGGGTCCAAGGACAAGCCTTGGGGGACCCCAACAGAGAGGGGGAGGGGAGGGGAGGTGGCACCATTGTAGGTGACACTGAAGGAGCGTCGGGATAGGTAGGATGAGAACCAAGAGAGAGCAGCATCTCCAATGCCAAGGGAGAGTAGTTTATCTGAAAAGTGAGGCATGCATTTGTATTCAGTCCCTTTTACTCTGATACTCCTAACTAAAATCTAGTGGAACCAATTGACATCAGAAATCACGTCATTAGTAAATAGAGTCCACCTGTGTGTAATTTAATCTCAGTATACATACAGCTGTTCTGTGAAGCCCTCAGAGGTTTGTTAAAGGACATTAGTGAACAAACAGCTGCATGAAGGTCAAGGAACACACCAGACATGTCAGGGATAAAGTTGTGCAGAAGTTTAAAGCAGGGTTAGGTTATAAAAAAAAATTCCAAGCCTTGAACATCACACGGAGCACTGTTCAATCCACCATCTGAAAATGGAAAGAGTATGACACAACTACAGACCTACTAAGACATGGCCGTCCACCTAAACTGACAGGCTGGACAAGGAGAGCATTAATCGGAGAAGCAGCCAAGAGGCCCATGGTAACTCTGGAGGAGCTGCAGAGATCCACAGCTCAGGTGGGAGAATCTGTCCACAGGACAACTATTATGGGCAGCACAGTGGCTAAATGGTTAGCACTTCTGCCTGGCAGTACTAGGTTTGTTGGCTTGAATCCCAACCATGGCACCACTTGCCTGGAGTTTGCATGTTCTCCCTGTGCCTCCATTAGTTTCCTCCAGGTGCTCCAGTTTCCTCCAACACTCCAAAGACATGCTGGTAGGTTAATTGGCTCCTGTCTAAATTGGCCCTAATATGTGTATGTATGAATGTAAGTTAGGGATCTTAGATTGTACACCCCTTGAGGGTTAGGGACTGTTGTGAATGTACAATATATACAGTTGTGCTCAAAAGTTTACATACCCTGGCAGAAATTGGGAAATTTTGACATTGATATTGAAAATATCATATGAAGCCATTTATTATCAAATAGTTGTTTGGCTCCTTTTTTAAATCATAATGATAACAGAGGTTGAGGTTGATCAGGGCCATTTGGGTGATTTCTGTTACCATTATGATTTAAAAAGGAGCCAAGCAACTCTTTGATAATAAATGGCTTCATATGATCATCATCCTTCAATAAAAGAGCATTTTTTGGCATGATCCGTCATATTTTAAATATGAATGCCAAAATGTCATAATTTCTGCCAGGGTATGCAAACTTTTGAGCACAACTGTATGTAAAGCGCTGCATAAATTGATGGTGCTATATGAGTACCTGTAATAAAATAATAATATTAGTCGTGCACTCCACAAATCTGGCCTTTATGGAAGACTGGCAAGAAGAAAGCCATTGTTGAAAGAAAGCCCATTTGCAGTTTGCGAGAAGCCATGTGGGGGACACAGCAAACATGTGGAAGAAGGTGCTCTGGTCAGATTAGACCAAAACTGAAATCTTTGGCCTAAAAGCAAAACGCTATGTGAAACCTAACCGCACATCACCCTGAACACACCATCCCCACCATGAAACGTGGTGGTAGCATCATGTTGTGGGGATGCTTTTTTTCAGCATTGACATGGAAGCTAGGTCAGAGTTGATGGGAAGATGTATGGAGCCAACTACAGGGTAATCTTAGAATAAAACCTGTAAGAGTCTGCAAAAGACTTGAGACTGTGGAGGAGGTTCATCTTCCAGCAGGACAACGACCCTAAACATACAGCTAGAGCTACAATGGGAATGGTTTAGATCAAACCATATTCATGTGTTAGAATGGCCCAGTCAAAGTCCAGACCTAAATCCAATTGAGAATCTGTGGCAAGACTTGAAAATTTGCTGTTCACCAGACACTCTCCATCCAATCTGACAGAGCTTGAGCTATTTTGCAAAGAAGAATGGGCAAAAATGTCACTCTCTAGATGTGCAAAGCTGGTAGAGACATCGCCAAATGACTTGCAGCTGTAATTGCAGTGAAAGGTGGTTCTACAAAGTATTGACTCCGGGGGGCTGAATACAAATTTCCTTCCACTTCATAATAATGTGCCACTTTGTGTTGGTCTATCACATATAATCCCAATAAAATACATTTATGATTTTGGTTGTAACATGACAAAATGTGGAAAATTTAAGGAGTATGAATACTTTTTCAAGGTACTGTATATTGATCTTTATTATGGAAGGGGGAGAACAACCTTTTGCAAGTATTATTATTATTATACAGTATTTATAAAGCGCCAATAGTTCGCTCAGCGCTGTACATTACAAAGGGAGACAGAACATGTGACAGAACAATACCAATACAATGCAAATACCTCCACTCCAAAATTGTCTTCACTTACTTGTCACATGAGAGCATGTGTCTCTTTCCCAGAATGGTAGTAGATAATGAAAAAGGTAACTGACCAGTGATTTTCAGATAAAATACATTTGCAGAATACAGGGTAAGGTAAAGAAAACTATAATCCTAAATAGTATGTCAACAGAGTGCACATAACTCCTGATAGCTACCGATAGATATTCATTTTATTGTATCCTGCAGTAATGAACACAAGTGCAAAAAAATGCAATGTGGTAATTTTGTGAAATGTTGTCAACTGATTGTAAAGTAGAAGCAATGTTTAAGGTGTGATCAGCTAATTAGAAAAAATGTCTTTACGGTATGCTAATATATATGCAGTATATCCTGCCCCAAGGTTTCACTGTAGGCTTTCTAACCCTTGCCCATCTCAGTCTATCAGCAAATAATATTAATGTTAAAGTGTTACTAAACCCACAACAGTAAAATCAGTCTGTATATGCAGTGAAGCATGCTGGTTATACTCACTGTGGAACCTACGGGGTTAATCCTCTGCATTGTGTAAAAAAGGCTGTTTGATCCTGACTTCTCTGCCCCTCCTCTTGTTCAAATGTCTACACTGATAAGACAGACTGAACCCTTCTGCACATGCTCAGTTTAGTGTGTATTGTTAGAGAGGTTTTTTTTCTTTCTTGGGAGAGTGCATGTGATCAGCACACGTGCCTATCAGCACTGCCCAGTTAGAGGTCAGGGGTTCTGCATCCTCCTAGAGCAGAAAAAAACTCCTCCTACAAGATTAAACCAGTGTTCTGCTAAAGTCACAAAACTGCTCTAACTGCTGATGAGAAAAGGTATTTAGCGGTTTATATTTATTAAAATAATTGCATTTCCGTGTCCTGTGGGAGACCAGATATAGTGAATGAAGGGTCTTGGGTTTAGTAACACTTTAACTATGCATATTCAAGGTCCAATCACTAGAATCATGCAAACTTATAGCCATTCAGAAATAATGTATGCCACTTAATTGCCACCATTGTGATCTCCTGAAGTGTTGTTGATCATCCAGCATTTAATAGCTTGCAAGAGATCATATATATTCTCAGAGGTATGTTGAACCCTCCTCTCACATAACCAGGTATTTTTTATTAAATACCTTTTCAAGGAACACTTCCCCAAGCTTCCAGGTTTCTTGCACCCCAGGAGGCTGGGGAGTACTCTCTGGGAGGTGCATCAAGCTGTGTCATCAGGAGGGCCTGCTGTCTGTGCCTGCTTTTTTTGCAAGCTGGCCCTCTGATGACACACCACAGTGCATGCATATCATCACAGGGCCAACCGCAGGAACCCAGAAGAGACAAGCGGCCCCCTGGTAACATCTGAAGAAAATGACAGCACAGTCCTAGGTATGTAGGGGTGGAACCGTAAAGAACATCGCTGGATCGCTGAGCATGTGAGTAGATTTATTTTATGCAGAACCCAGCTATAGAGGTAAGAGGGTGAAAAATTTGTTTTGGTGGTACAATTCTTGTTTACCATACAATAGGCTAAGTGAACTGTTACTTTTTCTGGAGAGCCTTAGTACAATCGTCAATGTACACAGAACAGTAAAATCAGTCTGTATATGCAGTAAAGCATGCTTGTTATACTCACTGTGGAACTTAAGGGGTTAATCCCCTGAATTGTGTAAAAAGGATGTTTGATCCGTTGTTCTCTGATCCTCCCCTTCCATGTTCCCCATTTCATCTCGTGATAGAACACAGCCTCGGGGACACTCTGCACATGCTGGATAGTTCTTTTTTCATGGGAGAGTGCATGTGATCAGTACAGGGCCAATTAGTACTGTCCAGACAGAGGTCAGGGATTATGCGATTTCATACGGCAGTGAGAGGAGAATGAAAACTCCTCCTACAAGCTTTAAACAGTGCTCTGCTGAACACTGATAGAAGTCACAAGACTGCTCTAAACTGCTGATGAGAAAAAGGTATTTAGCCATTTATATTTACTAAAATAATTGCACTTTCATGTTCTGTGTACTGTGGGAGACCAGATATATAGTGAATGCAGGGTCCTGGGTTTAGTAACACTTTAATTTATGATTGCCTGGACTGCTAATAGGAGTAATTATGAAAGAAGTTTGTCAAAATTGGGGACATATTTTACTAAGAAATGCATAAAATGTATTCCAAATATTAAGTGAACTGTTGAATGTTTAAGTAATAATATAGGATCCATTAGTGGTTGTTCTTTAACCAGACTAACATTTGTTATCATCATTGTGTTCCAGCATACAGCCGCAGGTGACGAGGGAGGAGGACAGTCCCTTTCTTCTCCCGGTAGCTGCCTGGAAGACTTTAGAGCGACTCCATTCATTGAGTGCAATGGTGCTCGTGGGACTTGCCACTATTTTTGCCAACAAGTACAGCTTCTGGCTTACAACTATTAACAATGACTTCCAGAGCTCTCCACCTTCAGATACACTGAAAGCCGGCCTGATTAGAACTCATATCAGTCGCTGTCAAGTTTGCATCAAATACCTGTAACATATATTTATCTTTTTTATGTGAAAAAAATGAAATTAACAGAATTAATATTGGTGCTATATTTTTTTTAACTTATTACCTCACAAAATACAAGCTGATCACACATTTCTTACTCATACATATAATATTTCTTGTTTTCTCTTACACTTGTTGCTGGGATGTGTCTTCCAGAATGTCCATTTAGAACTCAGTAGTTAATGCCATAAACATGTATAGCTAAAGTTAGCCTAAGCATATTTACAGTATATGCAAGGTGTTCTACATTTATAATATTACTAGACAAAATAAAAATTGGAAACCCAATGGATTTTTGGCTGATGCATTGTTTCTTGCATTAGACCATTAGGGTAACTGCATACCACATAATAAGTAAGGCATGTCCACCCAAACCTGCTACTACTTAAAGTGGTTTTAAACCCTTATGTATACCTAGTGAAGTGACTGGGCGGCTCAGGTGATACACAGAGATTAAACATATCCTCCTACATAAGCTGTTACTTATGTATCTTCTTCAGTCTTCTCTTCTCTACATCCATTCAAAGTGATGAATTTATAAAACTTGTCTGAGCTTTCAGAAAAAAGGGGGCAGACAGCTGAAGTTACACTCTGCAGAATTCAGTGAGGAGGGTTCTGAGAGCTGATTGGAGGAAAGAGACACCCCCCTCCACACAGCTCACAGGAACAGAGCTGAGGCTGTCTATCAGCTGGAAGTCCCTCCCCTGTCACCATTTTTCCCTTGGTGTCAGGAAAACTTGTCAGACGTGTTTCATGCTGATAGCAGAGGAATGAAGCAGCAGACAGAAATGACACTTACTGCTCTTTACTGAGACAAGTAGACAATATAGAGGGATAGACTTTGTTCATATGTCATGCCTGAGGTTTACAACCACTTTAATGTTTGACCTAAATCATCAGAAATGCTTTTGCAACTCTCAAAGTCACCCACAGAATTATCTCCTTGGCTCTTAAACCACTGCCGTTGAGTTCAATTTCTCCTGATGCACTCTCCATAATGTAAAACACATAGGAAAAAACTCCAACAAAGTGAATGAGACCTGTTATATTGTCATGAACCTGGAGACTCAGGGGTAGAGATTTTTTATAGATGGTGTCCCAGAGAGATAACATGAACCAGAAGGGGATTCAGCCTACTAGCATCCGTTTTGTGTGGACAGGCCCACTGGACTTTTATTTATCTCACTCCTAGATTTCTTGGCATTCAGGGTTCATCCTATATAAAACAAGTGAATAAACCTATCCCAAACATAGAACTTATTAAAAATAAAGCAATAAAAATATGAGTCTAGGTTCACACTTGTGCGGCTGCATTTTCATGTGTTTTTTGTGCCCTCACTTTAAAGTCAATGAAGCCAAACTGCATTATGTTGCACCAAAAGAAGTGCCTGCACCTTTTACCAAGTTGCAAGGAAGTGTGTTACATAGGCGCAAACTGTCCCCATGAACAATAATGGGTATCTCTTGCTATGCATTTTGCACAACAACTCGCACAGGTGTGACTGGGTACTTGTGGGGGGGGGGGGGGGATTTACTCAAGCTCCATTCACACCTATGCAGTTTGCTTTTTGTCCTTTTTGCAGTGCTTTTCACGGTTCGTTTTTTATTTTTCTACACGTGTTTTTGATGCGTTTTTAAACGCGTCTTGTGTTTTGTTCAGCTTTTTTTTTTTTTTTTTTGCTGGGCAGAATAAAATGCAAAACGCGGCAAAAAACGCATTACCTTGCATTTCAGCAGCTTCTCCATTTAACTCTATTATAGCAAAAACGCTGCTTTTTGCTTTTAAAAAAGTCCCTGACCCTTTCCAAAAATGCAGCAGCTCAAAAAAGCATAGATGTGAACATGTTCCATAGGAAACCATGTTAAATGGACTGTAGTGCGTTTCTACAAAAAGCACAAAAAAAACGCATTGCTGTGAACGGAGCCTAAAACTGGAGCAGTTCTGCATAGTGATCGATCAGCTTCCAGTTTCAGCTTGTTCAAATTAGCAGGGGCAGACTGAAACTCATGGGGCCCCCGGGCAATAGGAGATCATGTGGCCCCTGTGTGTCCTTGCCCACACTCAAAGCACACCCAAAAAAGCCTATAAAAGGTACCAGTGGTATTTCATGGGGCCCCCTACTGACCCCGGGCCCTCAGGCAGTGCCCGAGTGCTCGAATGGTCAGTCTGCCCCTGCAAATTAGCTTTGGCAATCAAACCTTGAACGTGATTGGTTACTATGCACAGCTGCATCAAACTCTGTGTGCATCAGTTTTAGTCATTCTCTCCTATATGTCTGAATCTTTTCCTTTCCAATTGCACACATGTGAGCTGTGGACATGACTAGCATTACGTGAATATAATTCAGGCATACAGTGGACATTCCAGCATGCCAATGATTGCAAAGAAACCCACCTGCTGCAATCTATTGTTTCAATTCATTTAAAGAAATATCAAATATTTGTAACCTAAATAATTGTACTTGTGATATGTCTATCTTCTAGTTCCCTACCTAATTCCCTTATCACTCCGGCTATCCATTGTATTTGCATATATGTACGCTGCCAGTATCAGAACCATTAACTAGAACAGCTTTGCCAGGGTTGTCAGTCTGATGCACAATAGTGCCACTAAATTTGTAGTTGTGAATGGGGAGAGAAACTATGGGAGAGATTTACTAAAACTCGTGCACTCAGAATCTGGTGCAGCTGTGCATGATAGCCAATCAGCCTCTAACTTCAGCTTGTTCAATTAAGATTTGACAATTATGCAGGCCATAAATGGGTTGAAAACAGGCTGTTTTAAAAAAAAAAAAAAAAAAAATCGGCTGTTCAATAGGCCGACGTTACCACCGATGGTAAAACAAATTGGCCGATTTTCGTCCCGTCTACGGCCAGCATTTAATTACTTCTGTCCCTTCCAGAGAGCTCCGCTATTATATTTGAAATTAAAAATTATTGTGGTTGCAACAATGTATCCATTTGTATCCATATCGGATACAGATGTGTTTATTCGGATACCAATAGATATTGTTGCAACCGCAAGACTTTTCATATAAAATATAATAGCGGACTGGAATTCTTCTTTTTCTTTTTCTTCTTCTTACAGGTCACGGCTCATGTGCAGATTTTTTATCGGTAAAACGATCAGCCGATTTGCCCATCATTGCCAGGAAAATTGGGCGATCGGCAAAATCCGCCAATTTTTTTTCCAACTTTACCGATTAAAAAAATGTGCCAAAACCCCGAAAAATGGCCGACCAATTGACCCACTAACGGTGCGAAAATCGGCTGATTTTCTTTTCGGACAAAAAATCGGCCGATAAACGAACCGTCTATGGCCTGCATTAGGTTGCATTCACACTGTAGCGTTTTGTAGCCTGAAACTCCAAAAAAGCTCAAACTTAAAAAAATCAATTGTTCTCTATGGTGCCTGTTCACACCTGATCACGCGAACAGGCACCATAGAGAACAGTTGATTTTTTTAAGTTTGAGCGTTTATGGAGCTTCGAGGTTTGAGCGTCAAGCTACAAAACACTCAAGTGTGAATGCAACCTAATGGCCCACATTAACCAATCTAAAAAAATAATCCGTCGGGCAATACGTAGTGTTGACGTCTTCCATACAAGTGGAAGTGATGCAGTGTGCATGTGACCTTGTAGCCACGCCCTTCCAGCCAGAACAAGCAATATACACAACAATTAACAGTAATGAGTATAATATAGTTTATTACATGATCTATATACAGAAATAGTGATACATAAAATATAATATGCAGAATTCTGGTTTCATTATCTCATTCAGCCAATCTACTTTTAACATTTGGATTTTTCGTTCGTGTTTATGAAGATTCCTTGGACATAAACATCCGAGTCATTTTCTGTTTCCACTCATGCGTGATAGCGCTTGATAAGATTTTTTTGATACGACTGTCATACCACCGCATAGAAAATCGGTCGTTCGTATGTGAAACGACAACATTTTTCACTGTTCAACAGAATTTTTTCGTTCACAATATCGTTATCGTTTCGGCCAGTGTATATTGGTCACTATACGTGTATATAAAACAAAAAACGTTTGCGCTAGATGTGTGAGGAAATTTAAATAAAAACTAATTATAATAAATTATAATGAATTATAATAAATCATGCCTGTTCTATACAAATAAATATGATCAACAAAAAGAACCTTCAAAGTGATTCAGTAGCGCAATGAAATATATATGTGCATATAAATAAATCAATAAGTGATCATTAAAAATATGTGAAAAACTAAAAGTCCATAAAAAATCTTTTCCACCAAATGAATCTTCCAATTCTCAAAAGATTACCATGTGCAATAAAGATGGTGTTCCCCCCTTCGGGTGTGCACTCAGTGTATGTGGTTATATTTCAGAAATTACATTCCTTTTAAAATCGAATGTTAAAAGCAAAAGACAATTTTCTAACAACATTCATCCATTCAGCGAATGTGCAAAGAATTTTCATACAGCTTTTCTTATGACTATTCTCAGACGAAAATCTATACGTGTATGGCCAGCTTAAGGCCAGGTTCACACCTAGGCAGGTTCCAGGTGCATTTTGTGGTTTTTTTCACATGCGTTTTGCGTTGTTTTGGGATATTTTATGTTGCTAGGGGGAGGTGCCTGTTGTCATGCAGGAAAAAGCACCAAAAACACATGTACATGCATTTTGTATGCATTTTTTGTGCATTTCCATTGAAGTCTATGGAATGAAAAATGCAACCTGCTGCAGGCAAAAAAGTCCCTGACCCTTTAAAAAAAAACGCAGCTGCTGAAGTGCACAGATGTGAACCAGACCCATAGGAAATCATACTAAATGGACTGCAGTGCGTTTCTGCAAAACAGAAAACGCACTGGAAACCACATAAATGTGAACATAACCTTGAAGCTGATTGGTTTTTAGCCCTCATGCACACTTGACATTTTGATAACGCTGGTAACATTAGCTGTGTAAAGTCACATTAAAAACGTGAGTTTTTCAGCT